AGATGACTATTCAGTCCCTGTATACATCCACTGGTTCTGACAGATAGGTGTGTAGAATTCTTCTAGAACACTGTACATGAATGACTGGTGGTGTGGCTGCAGAAGGGGCTGATGAGTTGGGCCTCCAGGGTATATCTTCCTTGGAGGGTGTCTTCTGGTTTAATTTTCTGCATCTCATGTCTACAGTTGGATGTACTTGCACTTTTGTTGGAAAGTTTTAGTTCATGTGGACATAGTTTGACCCCAGTGTTTTGTTTTTATTTTTGAATTAGTGTACACCATTGTGCATATTTGGTTAGAGGACAATTTGCAGTAGTCTGTTCTTTTCTTTCACTGTGTGGATCCTATGAACTGAACTTGCTCAGTCTTCATAGGAAGTGCCCTGCTGAGTCATCTCACAGGCCTTGCCTCCAGTTTTTACTTAATTATAAATCTTCAATCCTAGCTTTCAAAATCCTTCAAAAACTTTTTTTTTGAGATTGGGTCTCACTTCAAGCCTGGAACACATTATGTAGATCAGGCTAACCTGAATTTACAAAGATGGGCTGGCCTTCCCCTACTTAGTGCTGAGATTAAAGGTATGCCACCACCACGTCTGTCCCTTTAAAAAAAAATCTGGCCTGCAGTGGTGGCACATGCCTTTAATCACAGTAATCAGGAGGCAGAAGCAGCTGTATCTCTGAGTCCGAGACCACTGCTTACTAGAGTGAGTTCCAAGACAGCCAGGGACACACAGAGAAACCCTGTCTTAAAAGCAAAAACAAACAAAAAACCCTGTTACCTTCTATAACAGAACTCTTTCAACTCTGAACATCTTGTTCCTATAAGACATAGGTGTGTAGGTACCTAGGGAGGGCAGAAAAGTATATCAAATCTCTGGAGCTTGAATTACAAGTAGTTGTGAACCCACTTAATGTGGGTGTTGAGGTTTGAACTCAGGTCCCCTGGAAGAGCAGTGTTTTTACTGCTGGACCATGTCTCCTGCCCTGTTTACTTTTGTTTTTTGTTTTTGTTTGTTTGTTTGTTTTTAACAGAATAGCCTTACTGTGTAGCCTATGGTATCTTTGAACTTGCAATCTTTGCCTTGGCCTTTCAAGTGTTGGAATTATAGGTATCTGCCATTATACTATGCTCCCTGTTTTTATGTCTTTTCTTTTTCTTTTTTCTTTTTTTTTTTTTTTTTGAGACAGGGTTTCTCTGTATTGTTTTGGAGCCTGTCCTGGAACTCTCTCTGTAGACCAGGCTGGCCTTGAACTCACAGAGATCTGCCTGCCTCTGCCTCCCAAGTGCTGGACACCCGGCTTTATGTCTTTTCTTTTATGGTTGCCCTTTCTTATTCTCATTCCTATCCACCCAGTTTTTTTTTTTTTTGTAATCAGTGTCCAATTTATATACCCCATATCCTTTTACCCCAAATCTACCTTGTTTTCATCCACTCTCTTGAATCAAAAGCAATCTTTCCCTAAATTTCTATAGTTGCTTATAATTTTTGCATTTAGCACCTTTAAAGTTCCAGTTTCATCATAGTTATTTTGTGTTAAACTGTAACCTAATTGAAAACAGGAACCATATTCTTAATCATTTCAATGGTGTTAACATTGTTCATTGTATGTAATAGATGGCTAATAACTATTAAATGAGTCAACTTGGTGATTTCTGCCAGTGATACATTTTTATCAATTCTCTGACATGAATATTAGTATAAACTTATTGCATCAAATTGTACTAATAGTACTACCTTCATTTATCTTTCATCTTTCTAATCTGAAGTTATACATGTTTCCCTAGTTGTTATCATAATATATAATTTTCTCCACTTAATAGCTATCACTCACTGGTTTCTTACTATTAACTAGGACAAGTCCCAAATATACCATGTATATGATTCTTTAATTCTTTTTTTTTTTTTTTGGTTTTTTGAGACAGGGTTTTTCTGTGGCTTTGGAGGCTGTCCTGGAACTAGCTCTTGTAGACCAGGCTGGCCTCGAACTCACAGAGATCCGCCTGCTTCTGCCTCCCAAGTGCTGGGATTAAAGGCGTGCGCCACCAACACCCGGCTCTTTAATTCTTGCAACACCATTGAAGAAGGCTTTTCTCCCATGAGAAATCCTTTTTACAGGTATGGATGCTCAGACACAGGGGACAAGTAACTTTTTAGAGACAGAAGAAATGACTCACATTAAAAGCACTTGTATCTTTTGTAGAGGACCTAGGTTCATTCCAAACACTGCAGAGCATTACAGTTCCAGAGAACCTGATACGTCTTCTGGCCTTATACGCATTGAATACACTAGGTGCACAGACAGACATGTAGGCAAAATAACCATGCACATAAAATAAGTAATATCCATCATATGTTAGGAGTTGAGGTTTCTTCTGAAGACTGAAGTTGCCTTGGTGGAGAACCTATACACAATCATTGAGTAATTAATTGAACGTGAAGCTCTATAAATAGACTAATAGGCACTCAGAATGGGAAAGAGTTGGTCTTAGGAGTAAAAGTTTTAGCAAAAGGTGGTATTTGAGCTAGGCTTTGAAAAATGAAACTTCATAAGGTGGGTCAAAATTGTCATTCAGTAAAAGTAACAAAAATAGTTCTATAGAGTTTGGTAGATTGGTGGGCTTAGGCAGTGATCAGTAGTCCTTTGAAGCTATAGCATAGAAACAGGGATTGTGGGACATTGACAAACAAAATGGTTGTGGCTCAGTGGTAAAAGAGTTGCCTAACATGCAAAGCCCTGGTTTGAACCCCAGCATAGTGTGTAAGCAATTCCAATTAGCAAGTTTTTGTCGTATTTTTTTAAAAAGAAAAAAAATAACCTGTAATTTCACATAAAAGGACAAATGCCTAGAACAGCCAACAGAAATTTAAAATGAATATTGGGGAGATTTTCTTTATAATGTAAAAATATCATGTCTTTGCATAGTACATGACAAAAATAAATTAGTTCAATTTAATGCAATAAGAATTTTTATTGAAAATTTATACAATATATTATGATCATCCCCCCCCATCTCCTCTCAGATCCTTCTCATCTCCCACCCATCCAACTCTGTTGTTATAATTTAAGAAAAGCAACATGCAAGAGAAAGATGCTGTGCAACAAGGTTCAAGCAGAAGGGCTTTTTTAAATTAGGTACAGGGATCATAAAAAGGGGAAAGGGAAGTAGGGAGACCTGCCTCTGGAGATAGGAGCAGCAGGAGAGTAGAGGAAGAGGGAGAGGGAGAAAGGATGGAAAGTGGGGTAGGGTCCTTTAAAAAGGGAACATAGTGGATAGGCGCAGGTGGTGCTCTTAGTGGCTGCAGCTGAGGGTGTATCCTGTCAGAACCCCAAGGACAGGCCAGTACAGATGCCTGAATACTAACATCTACATCTTTTCTTCTTTCTCTTTAGAGAACAAACAGGCAAATAAAAAAAGGAAACAAGCTGGGCAGTGGTGGCACATGCCTTTAATCCTCAAACTGGGGAGACAGGCAGGTGGATCTCTGTTAGTTACCCATGCTGGTCTACAGATTTCCAGGACAGCCAGAGCTACACAGAGACCCTATCTTGAAAAAACAAACAAAAAAGGGTGGTTGGGTGTTTGTGGGGGGACAAACCAGAATAAAATACCCCAACAAAATGAGGAAGTAAGAAACACACAGAAATAAACGAAACCCATAAAAAACACAAAATCCAAAATTGTAATATACAAACAAAAAAATCAGTAAGATAAAAGATGCCCAGGCAAAGCAATGTGAGACAAAAATAGTCCACACAAACATCATTGGCTTTGTTTTTGTATTGGACACGGAGTTTACCTTTATGTGTTTGTGTTGGACATGGAGCCTACCTTTATGTTTAGTTTGTATACCCAGTGAGGCTGCATTAGAGAAAACTGATTTTTCCTTTATAAGCTGTTGTCAATTGGAAATAGAGACAACTGGACAATGGGTAGAGAGTGAGTCTTTGGAACACTGAGTTCAAAATGGGATATCTTCCTCAAACTCCTCCCCTCGGCTCAAGGAGCTCTGTAGAAGAGGAGGTAGAGAGGATGGGTGACACCAAGGATGTATTTTGAGTAGATGATGCCACACCTAGCTGCACACCTAGAAGACAGTCTTTCTTACATTACTTGTGGAGGTAAATAACAGATGAGCGTAAAAACTGAAGTGTGAAGAACACTGAAGGAAAATCTAAGAGACTGTGTACACATAAATCTCCTTACCCCTTAGGGCACTCCATCTTACATTTGTTTTCTGTCTTAGGACTGTTTAAGGGAAGAAGTCCTCATGTTATGGGGGCTTCTGGATCTCATCTTTCCATTTCTTTGAATAATGGCCTCTTCCGGTTTGTTTCAGGGCTTCTAGGGGCTTTTTGTGTTATTTTCATTTCCAGTTCTGATGTTTTGAATCTAGGGCCTTGAGCATGCAAGGCAAGTATTCTGTCACTGGTGTATATATTCTCAGTTTGTCCTTTTATTAAAAAAATTTTTTTGAGACAGGGTCTTACTAAATTGCCTTGGCTGGCCTTGAATTCACTCAGAAACAGAGGAGCTCTGTAATCTAGGTGTTCATACAACTACCTCTCAGGGTCCATCTTGTCACCTGATCTCACAATAGCTCAAAACATTTGGATATGTTTTACAATTTGTTTATATTTATATTCAATTATGCATGCTTGTGTGTGTCTGTGTGGGGTACATACATGGGAATGGAAGTGCTTGTGGAGGCTAGAAGAAGGTATTGGATTCTCTTGAACTGGAGTTACAGGAAGTGAGCCATCTGATACAGGTGCTAAGGATTGAACTCCGTTCCTCTGGAAGAGCAGCAAGTACGCTAAACTCTGAGCCATCTCTTCAGCTCCTCTAGATAAATTTTGTATTTTTCTGAAATAATATTTTTAGAATCAGTGTGTTGCAGCCCATTTTATATGTTGCCTAGTAAAAATCTTTTACTTTTTTTTTTATATATTAGCAGTAAGCATAGTTTGACATGCATGTCTGTTTTGTCTTTTCAGGTGCCATTTGGATAGTACTTTAGCGGCACGATGTACTCTGAGTGGCGGTCACTGCATTTGGTGATTCAGAATGATCAAGGCCATACCAGTGTGCTACACAGCTATCCAGAGAGTGTTGGGCGAGAGGTGGCAAATGCAGTGGTCCGTCCTCTTGGGCAGGCATTAGGTACCTCTTCAGTGGCTGGTAGTGAGAGTTTGTTAAAAACTGACAAAGAAGTAAGTGTTTCTTCATTCATTCAATTGTGTGAAAATATGAATTGTTTACTAAACATTTTATATAGTATTGACATTTTAAAAAGTGGTAGTTAAATTGTTTTATTATTTTTAACTTTGTATATGTATGTAAGTCTGTGTATGAGTATGTGCACATGAATGCAGGTACCTCTGGAAGCCAGTGTTGTTGGATCTGTCTGCAGCTGGAGTTGGGGGCAGTTGTGAGCACAGGGAATCAAAGTTAGGTCCTCTGCAGGAGCAGTATGCACTGTTACAGTGCTGACTTTTTAATGGATTGCTGCCTGATGTAGTGAGAATTCTAGTTTTTATATTACTTGGGTTGTATGCTGGGACTTGGGGCCGATGAAGATATAAAGAAGGGCTTGTACCTTTTTGCTGTTGAAGTTTCTCACTGGTCACACCTAGTTCTCCATGTGAGCTAAGTAGTCAAGACAGAGAGTCATGTGTCAGACCCTTAAGCACTAGGTTCAGTCTTCACATTTCTGTTTCTGTTTAGAAGTCCCTGTCCTAGTTAGGGATACTATTGTTATGATGAAACTCCAAGACCAAAAAAGCAAGTTGGGGAGGAAAGGGTTTATTTGACTTACTTATCCAAAGTCACAATCCACTGAGGAAAAACAGGGAAGGAACCTGTAGGCAGGAACTGATGCAGAGACCATGGGGGAATACTGCTTACTGGCTTACTCATCGTGGCTTGCTCAGCCTGCATTCTTGCAGAACACAGAACTACCAGCTCAGGGTGGCACCACTCCTAGGAGTGGGCCTTCCCCCATCAATCACTAATTAAGAAAATGCTCCACAGGCTTGCTTAAAGCCTGGATTTACGGAGACATTTTCTCAACCAAGGTTCCCTTGTGTCAAGTTGACATAAAACTAGCCAGCACAGTCCCCACCCCCATCCCTGACTGAAAGCCTCACTTATGTCAGATTTTCAGTCTACACATATGTGCTGAGCTTGAACTTTCCTGTGTCCCTCACTGTAACTGATTTAGCCTGGCTTCAAGGTTTAAGTGCTGCAGAAGATCACCACTTACTGGTTGTAAGCCTAGGTGGTTGGAACTGGTTTTGGAATTCCTAAACTTGTTGTCCAAAGGGATCTTGGGATGATTTATCTGGGAGATAGTTTTCTGTTCATAGGTTCAGGGCACTAAGATGACATTAAACCTCAGTGGGAGTTCTAAAGGAACCTTGAGAATGGTGTGGAGTAGAACTTTGTACTCTCTGTTTAAGAAAGCTTATGCAGAGCCGGGCGTTGGTGGTGCACGCCTTTAATCCCAGCACTCGGGAGGCAGAAGCAGGCGGATCTCTGTGAGTTCGAGACCAGCCTGGACTACCAAGCGAGTTCCAGGACAGCCTCCAAAGCCACAGAGAAACCCTGTCTCGAAAAACCAAAAAAAAAAAGAAAAAAAAAAAAAGAAAAAAAAAAAAAGAAAACTTATGCAGGCTTTTTAGGCCTATTCTCAGGACCCCCCCCACCCTGTTTTTTGTTGTTGTTGTTGTTTGTTTGTTTGTTTGTTTTTGGTGGCAGAGTTTCACTGTGTGTTCCTGACTGGCCTAAAATTCACTTTGTAGATCAGGCTGGACTTGAACTTGCAGAGTTCCACTTGCCTCTGTCTCCCAAGTGCTGGGATTATAGGTATATGCATTATTACTGTTATTATTATTATTATTACTATTATTATTATTAGTTGTTGTAACATGAAAAAATAAGAGACAGATATTGGGGTTCAAGCTTCAAGCTGAATATCAGAAAGCTGGCCACTAGCTTTCACCTCTAGCTCAGACTGAAAGGGCTGATCCATGCATGAGCTCTTCACCAAGTCTCAAACTGCTGCCTCTCCTCAGTGTGGCTGGAGAACAAATGCCTCAAATTAACTACTGAAATCCCTGCTTGTATCTTTTATAACCTTCTAGTGCTGGGATTATAATGGCAAGTGATCTGTTACTCTTAGACTGATTCAATCTCATGTATCCCTGGGTGATCCATCAATCTCTTAATCTTGAGTCCTAGGATTAAAGGTGTCTACCATCACTTCCTAGCTTCTGGTTGCTGGGATTAAAGGTGTGTGTCACCACTGCCTGATCTCTATAGCTTGAGACTGACTTTGCTTTTCTGAATCTTCAGTCAAGCTTTAATAAACCATAAATAATATATCACTACAAGTAGTAGTAGTAGTATTGCTTTAAAGACAAGATTCATTCTATAGATCAGATTGGCCTAGAACTCACTGTGTAAACAATGTATTCTTAAACTTGTAGTCATTCTGCTGTCTCAGCCTCTCAAGTGTTGGGATTACAGGTGTGAGCCACCATGCCTACCTATCTTTTCTTTCTTTTGATCCTCACAATCAAACTCAGGCTACAGATGATCAGCAAATGGTTTTACTCACTGTGCCATCATGGGCACTTTTCTTTTACAACAATTAAACTACTATGACATTATCACCAAAGCTAACTTGTCTTCTTTCTTTCATCTAATAATTAGGAACCTGTAGCTCCTTTGCTCCTTTCTTTGGAGCATGAGCATTTAGTTTTGTTTTTTTGAGACAGGGTTTCTCTGTGCATCAGTCCTAGCTGTCCTGGAACTCGATTTGTAGACCAGGCTGGCCTCAAATTCACTGAGATCCACCTTCTGCCTGCCTCTGCCTCCCAAGTGCTGGGGTTAAAGGCTTGTACCACCACCACCTGGCCTATAGCTCCTTTTAAGATTCCTTTCTGTAGCTGGGGAGATGACTGTGTATTTCAGACTGTCTTGAATTTGAGATATTTTAAAAAATAATTTATTTAACAGATGATTGCCCATTATTATTATTATTATTATTATTGAGATAGGATCTTTCTGTTTAGTTCAGGCTGTCTTGGACTCAGTGTGTAGTTCAGACTCCCTTGAACTTGAGATCTCCCTACTTTAGCATCACGAATGCTGGGATTATAGGAATGCAGCATCAACCACCTAAATAAAAATTTAGGTAAGGTAGGCTGGTGGTATAGCTCAGGAGTAGAGTGCTTTCCTGCTGTACTTTGGGCCTGAGAAACACAAAACAGCAGCAGCAGCAACTGGAACTTAGTGGGTGTGGCCTTTGGTAAGCCAGTGGCATTGTTTCCCTAAATAATTTCAGAACCTTCACCCTGTTATTGTCTTGTGTGGTATTTTGGCCATTCTACAGCCCGTAGGATACCCTTTTGCCGGAAACACCCCTTAGTGGGTTGGTGAGAGACTTCAAAACTTGTGGTTGGAAAATTGGATTCATGTTTCTCGTTGGAAGACAAGATTCGTCTTCAGCTTCACTATTTATAAAACAATGGTGGGCTGGATTACTTAAACATGCTAAATTTTGTTTTTCTGATGTATGAAATGAGGCTAGTTTACCATGTTACACCAGGGTTATTGTGGTGGTGACATTTATGGAGGTACTGTTTTAACTGCCATTAATGTATAATTGTCACTCTCTTCAAAATAAGACTGGTAGTAAAGAAATGAAGTTTATCTGGCTTGACTGGTCTTTTTGAGCAGCCTGGTTCTCAGTGATCCATGCATCCTTTTTTTTTTTTAAGATTTATTTATTTATTTGTTATGTATACAATGTTCTGTCTGCATGTATGCCTGCAGGCCAGAAGAGGGCATCATTACAGATGGTTGTGAGCCACCATGTGGTTGCTGGGAATTGAACTCAGGACCTCTGGAAGAGCAGTCATGGCTCTTAACCTCTGAGCCATCTCTCCAGCCCCCCCATGCATCCTTTTTGTTAACTGTTTACTGATCATCTGCTTAGTATTTGTCCCAGATTTTTTTGTCTGGAATTCACTTTAACCTTCTAGGCTTTGGTGTCTAAGAATATAGTTTCATTTTCTTTTCCAAATAGGGAGATTTCCCCTTTGTCTTAGCATCTTATTTCTCAAAGCACAAACAAGAATGTGTTTCAGGTGGTCGGGTTAAGTGTGGCTAGATGTCTAGTTAGGACCATACCCATTCAGTCCCTCTTCACCTGTATGTGTTCTTACCCGTCCATTTTAGTGTTGCATTTTTTTTGACAGAGAAAACAAGTTGTATAAGTTGAATGATTCATCTTCCTTCCTGTCATTTGTTCCTATTGCATAATATGAAGATGGAGCATAATTGAGTTTATATACTTGATTTCTTAAATGATACATATTTATATATGCAAATTGGGCAATTAAAATTCTACATTTTCTATTTTCTGTTTCCAATATCTGTAGAAAGTTGAAAGGATCATTTCATAGAGTGATTGGTAATAATATCAAAAGGGTAAAAGCTTGCATGGGCTTAATATTTAAAAATATTGAATTTAATTTCTCCTGAAATTTGCTCAGCAAATATGACATGAATATGTATATACATAGAAAGTATGTGACTAGAGTAAATTTGATGTATATGTTGAGATGACTAACTTCAACTTAAAGCATCTGGGTACTAGGAGATATTATATTTTAAATTAATCTAGTGAGATACAGATAAAGATCTATAATCTTTGTGAATGTTTTCTTTTGCTTAGGTAAAATGGACCATGGAAGTGATTTGCTATGGACTGACCCTTCCATTGGATGGAGAGACTGTAAAATATTGTGTTGATGTATATACAGATTGGATTATGGCTTTGGTGTTGCCAAAAGATTCTATTCCATTACCAGTTATTAAAGAGCCTAATCTGTATGTTCAAAGTATATTAAAACACCTACAAAATCTTTTTGTACCAAGGTAAGAGTTATACCTATCTGGTCACCATCAAGGTCATAATAAAGTATTTATAAATGTTACTTTATTAAATTTAGATGCTGATTTTATGGTTCTTTGAACTTTACTCATTCACTTATGGACTCTATTAATATAACTAAAGGAGATAGGCTTACAGGGTTACGTAAGGTTTACCAAGAGGTTTTTGTTTGTTTGTTTGTTTGAGATAGCATCTCACTGTGTATCCCAGACTGGTCTTGAACTTCTTATATAGCCCATGTTGATTCAAATTTACAATCCTCTTGTCTTAGGCTTTTCAGTTCTGAGATTATAAGAATGTTCTACCACTCTTGAATTTACCACAATTTTTTAATAGATGTATCTTTATTTTAAATACTTTTTGGCCTTGTATCTGAACTCTATAGATGTTGGATATGTGATGGTGACATTTCCTTTCCTTGTTAAACATTTCTTTTTATTTTTGGCTGGCATGATAGCTCAGTGGTTAAAGGTCCTGGCCACAAAGCCTAGTGATCAGAGTTTGATCTCTGGGACTCATATAGTGGAAGGAGAGGAGGAAACTTGTGGGTATCCTCTGACTACCACGTGTGCCCCATGGTGTGTGTGCACACATGTACACCAATTAAATATTTAAAATAAACATCCAACTTGTACATATTTTTGTATATCATCCCCCCCTCTTTTTTTTTTTTTTTTTGAGACAAGCTTCCTCTGTATAGCTTTGGAGCCTGTCCTGGAATTTGCTGTATAAACCAGGCTAGCCTTAAACTCAGAGATCCTCCTGCCTCAGCCTCTCAAGTGCTGGGATTAAAGGTGTGCGCCACCACCAGCTGGCATATGTCATAATTCTTATCTCCATGTACATCCAAAGCAACTGTTCTTTTCTAACATGATCCTGTGAAATATAGAATTAGTCAAACAGGTCAGGCATGGTGGCTCATGCCTATAATCCCAGCACTTCAGAGGTAGAGTTGAAGACAGTCTTGTCTACAGAAGGAGTTGAAGCCCAACCTGAACTACATCATGAGACCCTATCTCAAAGAAACCAAAAAAGACTGGTGAGACAGATCAGTAGGTAAAGGTACTGTCACCACGCCTGATGAACTGAGTTCAATTCTTAGAGTCTACATGGAAAAAGGAGAGCACTAACTGCTGCTAGTTGGCCCCTTAGTTTCACATGAGTGACATGGCATGTCCCCCCCACCCACATAAACAAATAAAAAAATTTTGTTTTGTTTTGTGAGACAGGGATTTTCTGTGTAGCTTTGGATCCTGTTCTGGAACTCACTCTATAGATAGACCAGACTGGCCTCTAACTCACAGAGATTTGCCTACCTCTGCCTCCTGAGTGCTGGGACTAAAGTTGTTCGCTACCACTCTGGCTCAGGTGTAAAAGTTTGAAATTTAAAGTTTGAAATAAAAAATTTAAAATCTCCTTTAAAAATAAGCTAACTAAAAAAAAGAAGAAATAAAGATAATGGATTTTTTTTTTTTTTTGATGAAGTCTTACTGTAGATCCCTGGCCTGAAACTCACTATGTAGTCCAGGCTGGCCTTGAACTCATAGAGATCTACATACCTATGCTTCCCAAGTGCTGGGATTAAATGTGTGCCCCAGTACCTGGAAAGCAAACTGGAAGTTACAGACATTTATGGTAAACCAATGGATTACCCTTGAAAGTTTGTTACTAATTTCTTCTCTATATTCTGAGGCAAAGGTATTAAAGCCAAAATGCAAGTTATCTTAATATTTTTTCTTAATTGTTAAGAATGTTACATTCTAGTCCTGTATAGTGGCTCATGCATTTAATCCCGACTCATAAGGTAGAATCAGGTGGATCTCTGTGAGTTGGAGGCTAGCCTGGTCTATATAGTGAGTTCCAGGTTTGCCAGAGCTACATAGAAAGATCATGTCTCAAAAAACAATAACAAAAGAATGTTACATCTGAGGCTAAAGCTATAGCTCAGCCAGACTGTTTACCTGCATACCCAAGAGCTGTGGCTTCCATCTTTAGCATCTGAATATATCCATATGGCAGATCTTTGAGAGATACAGAAACGAGTGTGTAGAAAAAAGCAGTAGTTTCCCCACCAGTTCATAAGAGTGTTTTTGGCAATTTTGTGTTTGTGAAAGAGACTTTTGTGGCTCATCTTCGTATGGAAAAGTTTTTGCTAGAGCTTTCAGTCTGTCTGGTGAATTACTCAAAAACCAACTCTTTAAATTTTTAGCTTTGTAAATTTAGAAGGAAATTTTTGTTTTAGAAAATTCAAATTGAAAATGAGAAGTCTGTTACAACTCTGTCCTATGGATCAGATATAAACTCTGCCATACAAAGTGTTATCTAGGGCCTTTTGGCCCTAACTAGACTAGCCACTGTTAATTTTGTGGGAGTCCTGATTTTTAGTCAGACTTGTAAACATTCCCTTAAGTCCCCTCAAAGCTCTTTTCTGTCTTCATCTGTCCTTATGTCATTTTCTTTCTCTCCCTGACTATTGCTTGGCCATCTAACGCACTCTTCCTGGTTTCCAGTAAAGTCTGTCTTATGACCAAGCCGGGCCGTGGCAGCGCATGCCTTTAGTCCCAGCACTCAGGAGGCAGAGGCAGGAGGATCTCTGTGAGTTCGAGACCATCCTTGTCTACTAAGAGCTAGCTCCAAAGCCACAGAGAAACCCTGTCTCAAAAAAACAAAACAAAAAACAAAAACAAAAAAGAAGTCTTATATGATCACACAGACCCTCTATGATCACGTCTTCTTGAAATTTGCTTGGTACTTCCCATTTTACTCTCTTATCTCTCATTGTTTTGTTTCATGTCCTTTAACTTGTTATGTTTCATTTTTCATCTAACCAACTTAGAGACAGGAACTCAGCTGGGTTTCTCTATTCGGGGCATCTATAATAAGTATAATGCAGAACTGACCTTAGGTATGGATTAAATGTTTGTTGCTTGTATTTGTTGGCCTTAAGTGGAAACAACAGGAAATGTATATTTGCAGCTAAGCAGGCTTCTCTAAAATGGTATGGTTTTAATCTTTCTGGCCATCCCATCAGAAGATTGATTTACAATATTTTTCCATGTGTGGATGAAATGATCTTGTTTGGAATGTTGTCGCTATATCTCGTTCATTTACCATATTTTATTGCTCAGTTTTTATTGCTGAAAAAAGTAATTAAATTTGAATAAATTGTGCTTTTGTTTTGTTTTTCTCTCTTGAAAAGTATGACTGTAAATGTTTTTACTATTTGATAATTAGCATGTTTCTCAGGAGTGTGTGTGCATGTATGTCAGTGAATTCTGAAAGGCACTGATTTAAATATTAGAGTTCTCTTGGCCAATGATAGTATAAGTGTGGGTACACCCACCTCCAGAGGTCAGAGGAGGAAATTGGGTTTCTTCCTCTGCCTTATTCCCTTGAGATAGGGCCTTTTGCAAACCAGAAGCCTGCCAGCTTGCCATTTCAACTAAGTTGCCTGGCTAGTGAGCTTCCAGAATCTATTGTCTCCACTCCATAATATTGGGGTTGCAGGTATGAACAGCCTTTATGTGGGTGCTAGGGATTCAAACCTAGGTCCTTGGGGTATGAACTTAAGTCCTTTTATGATTTTACAGTGAGTGATCTTGCCTATTGAGCCATCTCTCTGGCCCTGCTTTGTCTTCTTTAGGGAACATTTAGTTATTTAGTTGTGTCATTTGTATGCAGCTTTAAGGTAGGATCCAGTTTTCTGGGTTATGGCCAGCCTCTGAGGAGTGGGAGTTTTAGTAGATGATTTGCTGACATTTCTTCAGGACACTCCAGCTCTTTGTGGCAAGTCACAATTTATAGAAATTGACTTTAAGTGACTTTAGAGTTTATATCATTGGGCTTATTGTGATTAAGCTAGAGGCCAAGTCAGTAGTCATTAAAGCTGTTTTTAAAATTCTCAGGTGGGGCATCTTGGAAAGTGAGGCAAGGGCTAGCCTCTGAACCTCTAGCTTTCTCTTCTACCCCGTTTTATGGAATAGTTGTCTTCTTTATCTCTCTCTTTCAAGACAGGATCTTACTATGTAGTTCTGGCTGCTCTGTTACTCGCTCTATAGACCAGGCTGGCCTACAACTCACAGAGATTCACTTGCCTCTTCCTCCCAAGTGCTGATATTAAAGGCCTGTGCGACCACCTACCAGGTCTTCTCTTAAGGAGCAAATGTGTCCTATGGACTAAAGAGAATTTTGCAACTGTTGTTGAGGAGCCTTTGGATCCCTTTGAAATGCTTTGTTTTTATTTAAGCAATGGTAGCAGGTGCTCTTTGAGGAAATGCTATCATGTCTTGTCAAGTTTGGATACTCCTTTGGGCCTGTAACACATACTAGCTTTAGGGTGACTGTGAAATCTGTAAACACTTGAATTCTGTGAATGTGTTTCAGAAAATTGAAAAAGAATATAAGGGCTTTTCTGCTTCAGTGTAAGAGCAGAGGTAACTAGGTATGTACTAATCTAGCAGAAAATAGTTGAATATCTGCTCTTATGTGCCAGACACATTTCAGAAAGAAAATCCAGAGGTGAAGTTTACATTCCAGTTTTTCTTCTTTTCTCACAGAAGCCAATTTCTCACAGGAGAGGTAGGTGAGATCTCAGGGTGCTGAGCTGAATAGTGGAGGAAAACTAGCTGTAAACTGAGGAGAGCTGTACTTAGCCCTGTCCACTGGTACTTAGGCAGTGTCATTGGACCGACCACTCTTCTGCATCAGTAAGCTTCCTGTTCTTTGGCTGTTGCTGTCTCTCTTCCAGGCCTGTCAGTGATATCTGTCTGTCTTCTTCAGACAGGAACAAGGCTCCAGTCAGATCCGACTGTGCTTACAGGTTCTGAGAGCCATTCAGAAACTGGCCCGTGAGTCATCCATCATGGCCCGAGAAACCTGGGAAGTCTTACTGTTGTTTCTTCTGCAAATTAATGACATTCTTTTGGCCCCACCAACTGTTCAAGGTTTGTTAATGAACTTTTTGCCTTATATTTCTGAATTCCAAATATAGTTTGCATTTAAACTTAGTGAGTGATAGAATCAGCGGAATTTTAAAATTTTGGTAAAACTGTTGACAAACCAAAGTTACCAATTTATACTGGAAAGATACAATATGGACTGGATGTGGTGTTACATGCCTTTAATCCCAGAGCTCATGAAGCAGAGACAGGTGCATCTCTGAGCTCAAGGCCAGCGTGCTCTACATAGTGAGCTCTAGGCCAGCTGGGGTGACATAGTGAGACTATAATAATATAGTGCAAGGTGGGACTGTTAGTGGGTCCCATGTTGAGTTGAGGGACAAATGGTGGGTGAAAAACAGACAGAGACCTGCAGACAAAATTTATGTAGAAAGTTTATTAGGGGAAGGTAAGGGAGTAAGGGAAAGGAAGAGAGAAGGGAGAGAGAGGGAGGGAGGGAGGGAGGGAGGGAGGGAAGGAGGGAGGGAGGGAGGGAGGGAGGGATGCCTCCTCAGCCCTCTTAAGTTATTTTACCTTTAGGAATTTGACAGCCCAGGCTACACAGAGAAACCCTGTCTGGGAAAGGGTGTGCGTTTGTCTTAAATTATATGTGTGTGTGTGTGTGTGTGTGTGTGTGTGTGTGTCTGTGTGTGTCTGTGTCTTAAGTTATTTTGCCTTCAGGAATAATTTTGCTAATATAAAAAATAAATTGTGCCGGGCGGTGGTGGCGCACGCCTTTAATCCCAGCACTCGGGAGGCAGAGACAGGCGGATCGCTGTGAGTTCGAGGCTGGGCTGGACCGACAGCTTCCAAAACAATACAGAGAAACCCTGTCTCGTAAAAACCAAAAAAAAATAAAAAAATAAAAAATAAATTGTAATTAAGCATGTTGGAGAAGGATAGGAACAATTAGCTTGTTTTGTGCAGTAGTATAGAGCCTCTATAGGAAACACACAATGCTAAATTAGGATTACGATAATGTACTGAATGAAAAAGTTTTTATCAAAGTAGATAGTATTATCATAGTAAATAGTAAGTAGGTAGATAACTTGATAGTGATGATAGTGATAAATCTTGTTTGTTTGGGGTAATGTATATGTATGTTTTGTTTTTTCCCTGAGGTACTTAAGGAAATGGCCCAGGGCCTTGCTTGGCAAACACCCACCAAGACTGAGCTTTACCTCCAGCCCAGAAAACATCTTGTTTGGCAAATAAAACCTTCAAAGTCTTAAGGTGTTTCATTTGGAAGTATGACATTTATTAGCTAGCCATTAAAAGCCTCTAGTTTTAGGGGCTGGAGAGATGGTTAAGAGCATTGGCTGCTGTTCCAAAGGTCCTGAGTTCAATTCCTAGCAACCATTTGGTGGCTTACAGCCATCTGTAATGAGATTTGGTGCCCTCTTCTGGTAGTGCGGGCATACATGCGGGCAGAACACTGAATTCGTAATAAATAAATCTTTAAAAAAGCCTCTAGTTTTCTATAGTTTTGCAGCATTTCAGAAGCCCTGCTTTGTACATTAAAGCAGAGCATACATAAACGATGTTTATATTCAAGTTCCAGGTTCTCTTCTTATTGTCTTTATACTCTCTCTACTAACATAAGTTAGTGTGCATGTGTTGTCAGATAGATGCAGTGACCAAGGAAGGGTTTAGAAGGAATCATGGAATTGTAATGGGGAAAAGGACCCTCAGTAGGAATACAGTCAATCTGTATTGACAGTAGCTTGTCAGTCATAGCACTGATTCATTGGCTCTCTGCTATTGTCCCCCATGCCAGTGACTAATCTCAGAAGGATGAAATCAGGCAGCTTTCCCCCTCCTTGACCTGTTGATTATTGGAACTTTGATTTTGTTTGTGTGATGTACACTTTCTATTTACTTTTCCTTCTAGTCCTAACTTTACTTTCTTGAGCTGTGCAGAGTAAAGTCCACTGCCCCTTCTGGTTTCAGGACTTGGACTAGAATGACACTTTGCATTCTGTTTAAGATTCACCCTTGCCTGGTGCCATAGCTTAGCTTTCCTTTTGTTTTTCTCCACTCAGCAGCAGCTTAAAGTACCTGGAGCATTTTGTTACAAACTTTGGACTCAGGAAGACCTTGGCATTTTTCCTGATTTCTTTTTTATTAGCTGAATGGAATGAGTACATACTGGCATGGTGGTTCACACCTATAATCCTAGCACTGAAGAGGTGGAAGCAATAAGATTAGATGTTCAGGGTTACCCTTTGCCACATAGTTAACTTGAGTTACATTACAGGACTGTATCTTAAACCAAAAAGCTAATAGTTTTTACAAATAACCTGTCCTACATAGATAAATGGGAGGATTATGTCGAGGTAACAAGTGAATTGCTTGTCGCAGGTGACTTGTAGTGGTCACTCATTGTTGGCATTCATCTTTTCCTTTTGTTTTCCCCTTGCTGGAACCTTAAAATCTGCACTAAAAACTAGCAGGACAATTATAAAATTCTCAAAAAGTAATCATTGATGTTCTCTGTGATTCCTTCCTGGGAGCTTACTTCCAGGTTTCTTTTTTTTTTTTTTTTTTTTTTTTTTTGATTTTCGAGGCAGGGTTTCTCCAAGGCTTTTGGAGGCTGTCCTGGAACTAGCTCTTGTAAACCAGGCTGGCCTCGAACTCACAGAGATCCACCTGCCTCTGCCTCCCGAGTGCTGGGATACTTCCAGGTTTCTCAATTTAGTTATTAGAAGGATTGATATTAACATTATACCTACTTAATTTTTGACCAGTTTTCCCATATAATGAATGAAAGATTCTGCTTTAAAGATAAGTATGCCAAAGATATGTTTTTGTTTTTTTTCCCATTGACCAGGTGGCATTGCTGAGAATCTAGCAGAGAAGTTGATTGGTGTTCTCTTTGAAGTTTGGTTACTAGCTTGTACCCGGTGCTTCCCAACACCTCCTTATTGGAAGACGGCTAAGGAGATGGTGGCTAACTGGAGGCACCACCCTGCAGTGGTGGAGCAGTGGAGCAAGGTCATCTGTGCACTCACCTCTAGGTCGGTCATTGCCTTCCTATAGTCTGACTTCGGGGAGACTCTGATTCTGTCTTTATGGGATATATTTTGAAAACCTGGACCCATCATTATTGTTCTTTTGAGCCAATTTAAAAGAAATAAAGAAGTCAGAGAAATGGCTCATAGCATAGGCACTTGCCATGCAAACCTCACAACCTAAATTTGATCCCCAGAACTCATATAAAGGTGAAGGAGAGAACAGATTCCATAGAGTTGTCCTCTGACCCCCACATTGTGGTATGGCATGGTGATGACTAATACTGTGTCTTTTAATTAGTTTTGATTGCAAAAGCCATATGTACTGATAGTAGAAAAATTGGAAAATGTAGAGTGAAAGAAACATCCATCACTTAAAATATTCTTAAATGTATGGAAATGTTTTTTAATGTACTTTCCAACCATTTAGTTCCCTTTTATTAAAAACAAAACAGGGTAGGGGGACGCTGGAGAGATGACTCAGTGGTTAAGAGCATTGGCTGCTCTTCCAAAGGACTGGGTTCAATTCCCAATACCCACATGGCAGCCTACAATTGTCTGTAACTCTAGTTCCAAGTGATCCAACACCCTAACACAGACATACATGTAGGCAAAACACCAATGCACATAAAATAAAAACAAATAAATTATTAAAACAAAAAACCAGTTTGAGATAGTATTACCTATGTTTTTCATTTGATGACTGATTTGAGACATTTTAATTCACTGTATTTATTTGTAAATAATTTTTGAGGTTGCATTTTAGCTAGCTTTATAGTCTTATATAATTAATAATTTATATTTTGATAAATATGCTGTCCTGAGTGTTTTTTACTTTAGAAATTTTATTGAAGGAATACTTTATATAGTTTTATATATATACTTTGATGTTTTACTAAGACAAAATCCTGAGATTTGAGTCAAATGACTGAAAAATTCTAGTACATGTAGAATATTACTATTAGTAAATAAGTTGTTGAAGTCAGTTAGTTTTCATGGTACATCATAAAAATGTACCATATTTTAAACATATAAATACTAAGTTCTGAACTTCATATAAAGTTGTGAATAAATTATACCTTAGTTGTATTGAAGGATTTACAATAGTATCAATTTTTTAAAAAAAATAGAAAGCTGGGTGTGTAAGCATACACCTTTAATCCCAGCATTCAGGAGGAAGGAACAGGCAGATCTCTTGAGTTTGAGTCCAACCTGGTATACATAGTGAATTCCATGCCAGCCAGAGCTATATGGTAAGATCTTGCCTTAAAACAGGCAAATACAAAAACGGTAACCATTCAACCAAAACAAGAGGAAAAAATAGTTTATACACTATTTTCATGTTTAATGATGTAATTACATAGGCACAATAACAAAAATTCATAACTTATTACTTGCAAGTAATATAAAAAGTTAAATAGTGTGACTATTTCAGATAAAAGTTTCTATCTTTTAAAAGCTGGAAATCCCTTATAGTTTATCATTTTACAAATCAGGGTTTTCATATAGCTTTTTCACTTAGCTGAGGTATGTTAAATCTATTTTCTCATAAAGTGGTTAAATATATGTTTATTTTTGTTAATAATGGACTTGGTAGCTGGACCTGATGGTACAGGACTATATAACCTTTGTTAATCAGAAAGAGATAGTAGGATCAGAAGTTCATAGCCAGCTTCTATAATTTAATGAGATCATGTCTCAAAATAAAAAAAATTAGAATGAGCTAGGATTAAATTAAAATAGCTCAGTGATAGAGTGCTTACCTAGAATGTTTGAGATAGGTTCAGTCCTTAGTACCATGAAAAGAAAAACAAAACCAAAACCTGAAAGACAGAAATGGACGTAGTGGTATGTGATTTTATTTTCCAGATTGCTCCGCTTTACATACGGTCCTTCATTTCCTCCATTTAAAGTTCCTGATGAAGATGCCAATCTGATCCCTCCAGAAATGGACAATGAGTGTGTTGCACAAACATGGTTTCGATTTTTGCACATGCTAAGGTATTGTCATGTTATTTCATGTGTTCTTTACCCAATAAGTATCTTAGGGCAATAGCCTCACTGCTTCTGTTGAAATGTAGCATTTGAATGCTAAGTACAATCCACTGGATGGAGCCAAACTGAACACTAATGCGTGTCCTCATTGTGATGCATGTCTGCATTGTGCATTTCCTGCTTTCCCTATTTCTGTGTGGTTAGGTTGCCCTTGGCTGTTCTTAGAACCCTCTCTAGAAACTTGTTCTCTTTCCTGTTGCTCAAAAGAGATACATTAGGCAGGTGGTGGTAGCGCACGCCTTTAGTCCCAGTACTCGGGAGGCAGAGGCAGGTGGATCTCTGTGAATTTGACGCCAGCCTGGTCTACAGAGTGAGTTCCAGGACAGGTAGGGCTACATAGAGAAGCCCTGTTTCAAAAAACAAAGACAAAAACAAAACAAAAGCCCCCCCCCTCAAAAAAAAAGAGAGAAGTATACATTAGGCCAATTTCCTTTTGTTAATTAGGCTAAATCGTGGGTTTCTTACAGACCTTTGGATAGACTCTGTTTGGATAAGTTTTATATCTTTGTTTAAGTGAGCTGTGGATGACTAAGAAGATCACTCGGGGGGCCCACTCTGTCCATTGGTAAATTTCCTGGGAAGAGGTCTGAAAGCGTTGTAGAATACAAACAGAATCTTGTTCAGTATGGTAGTTTCATCTTTTTTTCTGGAAAACAACATGGTTCCATTGATTTTACTAGTGTTAGTCTCACTTGCACTTGTTAGAATGTCTAAACATACAGGCAAATGTTTATATTAAAATTTTCTCAATTTTGACGTTAGTTTTCTATTATTTAGTTCCAAACATTAGTAAAAAATATTCTGCCCTTCTTTCCTTTCCCTCTTTTTTTTTTTTTTTTTTTTTTTTTTTTTACTTCCCTGAAATAGGGTTTCTCTGTGTTATGTCTGAGCTATCTTGGAATTCCTTCTGTAGACCAGGCTGGGCTTGAACTCACAGAGATCATCCACCTGCTTCCCAAGTGCTGGGATTAAAGGTGTGCACCATCACTGCCCATCAGAAAAAATATTCTAAAGAGTTAAAACTTTCTTGTCCTACTTTGTTTCTCATTCTATGAAGAAAGTAGGTTTTTGTTTTAAAATAAATAAGTAAAAGAACAAGCTGTTCATGATGGCTCACACCTTTAAACCTAGCACTTGGGAGGAAGAAGCAGGAAGGCAGAGGCTGGACAGCAGACAGAACTAGATCTGTGAGTTAAAGGCCAGCATGGTCTATATAGACAGCTTCAGGTCAACCAGGCTACATAATGAGACCCTGTCTCAACAAACAAATACATTGTATTAAAATTTCAAAGAATTAATAAAAACATTAAAAAAGCAAATGAACAGACCTGCAAGCCTATAGAGATATTCATGTTTGAGTCCCTAGCTCATCAAATAAAGTTACTTTCCTTTTCACATCAAAGAAACAGGCACAAATAGTCCTGTTCTTGTTTCTTGTTGTTTTGGTTTTTTGTTTTTGAGGTAGTCTCTCTCTATAGTCTTGGTTGTTCTAGAATTAACTCATTGTATAGACCAGCTGGCCTCAAACTCAGAAATCTGCCTTCTTCTGCCTCCCACGTGATTCTTTTTTTTTTTTTTTTTTTTTTTTTTTGGTTTTACGAGGCAGGGTTTCTCTGTATTGTTTTGGAGGCTGTCAGTCCAGCCCGGCCTCGAACTCACAGAGATCCGCCTGCCTCTGCCTTCTGAGTGCTGGGATTAAAGGCGTGCGCCACCACCGCCCGGCTCAATAGTCCTAATTCTTAAATTGGATTGCAAGTGTTTTTATTGCTGTAGACATTTCTAAGTGTGTAATGATTTATTTTCTCCTTTTTAATAGTAATCCCGTGGATCTGAGTAACCCAGCCATTATAAGCTCAACCCCCAAGTTTCAGGAACAGTTCTTGAGTGTGAGCGGCATGCCACAGGAGCTAAGCCAGTACCCCTGCCTTAAACATCTGCCTCAGATATTCTTTCGTGCCATGCGTGGAATCAGCTGTCTGGTGGATGCATTCTTAGGTGAATTTTGTGTGTGTTTCTTAGATGTTTGAGAGCTGTGTGTAGAAATTCTACAGTTTAATGCTGGAAGCTCTTAGGAAAGCCCAGAGAAAGAGGAATAAACTTCATGACAAATAACAATCTAGGGAAAATTATTTTCTTCAAATTGTGATAGATAGAATGCTACTGTCTTTATGTAAATCAAACAAAAATACCATGAAAAAGAGAGTAACCTAGTAGATAAAAAACACAAATAATTTGCAAAACATTGTAAATTGTAAAACTCACTGTCTGAGTTACCTGCAAAAATAGTTTAAAATGCTCTGGCGACTGTTTTCATAAATATCATTGATTTAGGTTTTTTTTTTTGTAGGCATTTCTCGACCAAGATCAGACAGTGCTCCCCCAACACCCGTGAACAGATTAAGTATGCCGCAGAGCACTGCTATGAATACCACACCACCACATAACCGGAGGCACAGGGCTGTCACTGTGAATAAGACTACCATGAAGACAAGTGCAGTAAGATCATTCAGCATCATTTGCTTTATGAAGGTTAACTTTTACAAGTCCCAGAACTTCCTCCAGTTTTTCATGACTGTGGACACTTGTGTTCTTCTGCTAGGTTACTACTGCTCACACCTCGAAAGTCCAGCACCAGGCATCCTCTACTTCTCCTCTGTCAAGTCCAAATCAGACGAGTTCAGAGCCCAGGCCACTGCCTGCCCCTCGGAGACCAAAGGTTAACAGCATCTTGAATCTCTTTGGATCATGGTTATTCGATGCAGCATTTGTTCACTGCAAACTCCATAATGGAATAAACAGAGACAGCAGCATGACTGGTAAATATGCCCAGAAACATGTAGTCATTATTCCCTTTCTGTTTCTTTCTCTTTAGTCTTTCCTACCTGCAAGATTAATACAGCTCTTGAAAAGCACCCTGTTTCTCAACAAGCAATGTGTTGTGCTTAACCCCTTCCAGCTGAACCAATAGAAACTTGTGAAGTATTCCTATCTGTCCTTTTTATGTATACTTTATGAAGTTTGGCCCTTTGTCTGGTTTTATTAGGGACTCTTCAGGTTAGCCACTTTTTGTTGAATCAAATTCTTTTTTGTAGGTGACCTGGAAATTCCCTTCATGTCAGCCAGGATAATAATAGATATATGAACAATTAAAGATTTTGAGTAAAAGTTTACTCATTGGAATGTTTTCTTAGATTTTTCACCACCATTTAATCATCATTGCATGTAAATATCAGGAATTTTCTGTTTTCTTAATAAATTAACCCCAGTATCTTCATTAGATTTTACTGTAGAATGTAATTATCTAAATGAAACTGGATTTATTTTGTCAACTTACTTCTATGCTTAGAGCTAGTGCCAGATGGATAGGTAAGACAGGGCAGAATGTTTGGAATGGTTATCATCTGTCTTGCACAGTTGAATAACAATAACGGCTGGCATTTATTGAGTTGCTGTTAGTGTGTGCCAGGTCCCATGTTTATGCATTAATTAGTGTATTAGTTGTTTTCTAAATACTTTTCTACAGGGGTTGGAGACAGATTGAGGTAAAAAGATTTCTGATAGTATTACTTTCTGATAGTATTATTCTCCAGGGGACACTGTTGAATTTAGGGATAAAATTAACAGTGTTCATAGGGTCTCTGCTTTTTCTCAGAAATTCATTCACAGCTAGGTTTATGTCTATGAATATTTTGTAAGTGTAATTATTTTGGATGTTCTTAGAATCTTTTCAATAATTTAGAAAAGTTTTAAGTATGAAGTTGTTATGGGATATGAGGTTGCATGAGTGAGTTAGAGATTGTTTTGCTTGCTTTATTTTTTTCAAATTCAGACACATTATATTTTGCCATTTCCACATTATGGTTTTATTCATAAGCTTGATTACATGAAAAGTTTTAAAAACCATTCATAGGTATATTTCATTATGTTATGTGCTATATATTTTGAATTTTCTGAACCATGTTTATTAATTTATATAGTATTGTCCAGAGTGAGTTAGCCTTTAATTTTTTGATAAGGTATATTTCTTACACGTAACCTAACTGTTGAGTATGGAGCTGTTGGCTTTGCAATCTCTGAGTCTAGCATGGCTCAATCTGCTGCTTTCTGGTAGGCTTGTATAATGAGTATCTAGAGCTTTCTATCTCTGGGGAGTTTGTAACAGCTTTGTTAGTTTACTGTACTAGAAGAATTCAAATGACAAGTGAGCAACATCTCACTTTCCCTTCTTAACCTTCTGCCTGGTGGAGGAAGGAGAGACACTCCTCCTGTCTATATTCAGAGACGCTAAAGGCTGTTACATTACCCAGGAGATTTGAGGTGTCCAAATAGTTAAAAGTGGATTTAGAGTGCTCTTGGTTGCCAGTCTGGAAGCCTTGGATGGGAGGTGGGGGGATTGGGGTATTGTGTGTTTTATAAGTACTGGCTGCCATCAAGGAATTCTGCCATGCAGTTCACCTTTAATTCAGTATTTGCTCGAACTTGTTAGCTTTCAATTTACCTGATGCACTGTGCTTTGTAAAAGTAACATTGAGCTGGGAAGGGTTAATGAACTAAACATTTTGATGCACGATATGGGCAGTTCAAAATCTCAATTCTTTGTAGCTATGTAATTTTCTTTGTTCATTGTTTTGCATGATACAAAATCATAATTTTGGACCTGAATGCACAATTTCCTATGTTTTTGAACTAGCTTGTGGTATCATAAACTTTAAATCTAACTTTTAAAAAGCTAAAAAGCTTCTTAATTTATTGTAAAATTTCACCATCTTTAAAGTATTTTATAATTACTGCTGTCCTTTGATTTGTTCCATTTATTTCTATTATCTTGCAGCATCTTTTATCCAAATTCTTCTTTCTTATAAATCTTGTAAGTAGGAACCAGAAGCTTCTCCTTAATTGCAGTCATGTTTTTATTTTTTCCATAATTCCATTAAAATTTTTGATTGTCATTGTCTATTGTAGTTTTTGCACTTGGGAAGGAAAATATTTTTTCTGTGTTTTGAATGGGGAAGATTGTTGGCAAAAGCAAATTAATCTGCCTGAATCAATCCCATTATTTCTGTATACTAGTCTGGTCATGTCATGAATTCCAGGACTTTGCACTAACTGTGTTTTGGCTTTTTTCTTTTCTTTCTTTTTTCTTTTATTTTTTTAAGCTTTAAGCTTATTTTTATACAGATTTAGTGTTTGATTTGTATGCATTCTGCATGTAGTGTTTTCCAAATGTATTATTGATGGATAGCTTATTCAGGACGAAAATGGCTCATGGGAAGTTGCATAAAGATTTATGCTTGACTCTGCCTTTATTAAGCCTCCTATCATTACAAAACAATTTAAACATTTTATGTAGAGTAATAAAAGATTTCAGAGTGATCTGTGTGCTATGAAATCTTTTGTTAAAAGCAACTTTCGAAGGGCTTCTGTTTTGGTGACAATGAATGACCATGATAATCCTCCTTACCAACCTAGTTTTCTGATTATCAACCTCAAGTTTGCTGCTGTATGTGGTTGTTAAAATTCATTCTCATTTGCTTGGTTCGGCAGCTCTTTGGTATGTGTTTTTGGAGCTGGGTGGGTGGTGGGAATGCCCTTTCTTCCTCCCTTACTCAGTTCTCATCCTTACCCTGCCATATTCAAACTAAGAATTGCCCTCTTAATTGCTTTGTCCATTTGAGTTAATTGTATAAATTATAATTACTACTCTTCTTAATGGTTAAGCATCATTCTATAGAAGGAGGAAAAAACCAAAACAATAGAAAAGGCAAATTCTGTATATATCTGTATGCAGATGTATACAAATATAGTCTTTTGACTAGAAATTCAGTGAAAAAAATCTTTTTGTAGACTCTGTTAAGTTGACAAAGCTATTGTAAATTGTTACCTACTTCAGAGAAGATACCAGAGAGCCCTTTAAAAAAATATAAATTAAGACATAGTTGCTAAACAAAAACATTATTGGATTCTATTGAAGTAGTTATGTAATGACACCAGTATTTGATCTTTGTGTCCAGGGTCCCATGAGCCTATTTGGCATTTTGACAAAAGTAATAAAATGCTCCTTTTCTCTCCCCAGCCATTGCAACACAAGCTAGCATGGAGTTTCGGCGAAAAGGGTCCCAAATGTCCACAGACACCATGGTTTCCAATCCCGTGTTTGATGCAAGTGAATTTCCTGATAACTATGAAGCAGGAAGAGCTGAGGCTTGTGGGACATTATGTAGAATTTTTTGTAGCAAGAAGACTGGAGAAGAGATTCTGCCAGCTTATTTATCCAGGTTTTAGAATTTTTTGTTTATTTTTGCATTTATATGATTTGATGGTGAAACGCTTTTGTGGCATGGTTTGGTAGGCTAAATCAATAAGCTATTGTTGATCTGAAATGCCTGCCAGTGTCTTAATTTAATTGAAACTTGCTTGAATTCTTCCATCTTCCCTGCCTCATCAGATTTGATAAAGACTTTTAAGGTTCTATTCTAGAGCTGTTATTTATTCTATCATTTATAAATTCTGGAGAGATTTGAAAGTACCACAATAGTTTGTTAATAGATTTTTTGGCACAATTTTAGGTTCTATATACAGTCCAGAAATAAGCCAGTTGTAAATCCTTAAGGAGTTAAGCGACTGTGGTGAATAGGTTCATACCAAAATAACAGTGATTCAGTAGGAACCAGAAGTTGGCAGGAGAGACACAGACAAATGGTTTTGAGTGTTTGGAGTAAGCAACACTCATACTTAGCCTAGAGGGTTCAATAAAGAGTTCTGGCATATTATTAGATGTTTGTGCTAGATTTAGGAAGGATGGGTAGTGTTTAGACTGTTGGGAGGTTGGGTAGGATTATCCTTCCCAGATCTCTGGCTTCCACCATCTGTGTGTGGGGCTCTGCCATCCAATTTAGCTCAGAACCTAGCCATTATTTGCCTCTGCTTCCTCTATCTTGAGTTGATTATTCAACTCCTGCCTTGTAGCATTTGACTCTATTATTTCTCTCTGCACTCTGCTCTTACCGTGGCACTTCAGACATTGTTATCCTTCCTAAATTTATAATTTTTGATTCTGCTTTGCTCTTCTCTACTACTTGTTTACGAGGCTGCTGAAGTAAGGTTACAATTAAGTAGAACTTTGAGATTCCTGTACTGCTAGGTGCTCAGGAAACATTAGGTCAGTTAGGTCAATTGACTCCCAGCAGAGGGAACCAGTCTGAAACATAAAGCATAGAAAAACATGGTATTTACTGGTCAGAACAACCTTAACTGTGAGCTCTTATCTTTAAATCTGGTTTAAGTCAGTGAATAAATTACAAGACGCTAGTGATACTTAACAAAGTCTAAGGTCAAGCAGTACAAGTGAAGAATATAAAATGTAAAAAGTAGGAACTAGGGACTGGAAAGTGTTCAGGGACCAGAGCAGCACTCCTGCTTCCTTTGGCACTTACCTCCTAAAACTGCTTCTTTCTTTTCTGTAGATTATTTTTCTTGTACTGCAGTATGCTTCTAAGTTCCTAGTTGTCATAGAAGACCAGTGAGGTCGGTTAACATTTCAGAAATAATGTGAGATTTGTGGGAAAGAAGATCTGATTAATTAGGTGTCTGTCTGCTCTAGCTGTGTATAGCTGTGAGAGAAGGTCATATGTGGTGTTGGAGTTTACTCTTCAGGAGTAGACCCATTTCACTGAGGGAGACCCTGGGCTGGAGAGATAGCCCAAATTATATCAGTAGCAGTAAGGGATAAAGCTGGATGACTGGGTGAGGGGTCGTGAAACAAACTCAGCAGGTTTGTGAGAGTACAAACGAAGTATTTAAGTGTCAGTGTTTCGTTTCATGGGCTTGTGGGATATTCAAGAACTGCGTATTAAGTGCCTGTTTTTAGTTGAGTTCTATGCCCAGAAGATAGATTGAAATGAGTTGAATAGGTACCAGCGAATGAGAAGATTGTTTCCAAAGAGTTTTTCAGAGAAGAAAGAAGTGTCTAGTGGTAAGAATACGGCAGTGCAGTTGCTCTTGAATAGCAGGTGCCCGAATGCTTAGTGGCTCGATTGAGGGTTGTAGGAAAAGGAAGATATGCTCAGGAAGATTTCTCGAAAGACTCTTTGCAAAATTTTCATGTTATGATGAATGCAGAGTTTAGTGGGGTTTCTTTCTGTCACCCCTCAGAATCAGTAGAGGAAGAAAAAGATACAAACTCACTTCTGTTTCCTAGGATTGTGAATACTGCAAAAATGTATTGCTTTAGAGTGCAATTAATTTATTCCAGTAATTTAATGATAAGTACCCAGACATTTGTTTTGTTATGGGTACCTCATTTGTAGGTACATGTAATTTGATTTATAAAAAATTTAAAACTTTGAAAGTGTAATATATTTTGAATTGTTAAATCCTTCCAGTACCTTTAAAGTCTGTAAAATAGAGTGAAGAGTGGACAAAAAGGCTCTTCAGATAACTATGTAGAAAATATTAGTAATTCTGGAAACATTTGGTTAGCAGTTTGTTTAAAATTTTTTTCTTGCTTTCCTAGATTTTACATGCTTTTAATTCAAGGTTTGCAGATAAATGATTATGTGTGCCATCCTGTCTTGGCCAGCGTTATTCTAAACTCCCCTCCTTTGTTCTGCTGTGACTTGAAAGGGATTGATGTTGTGGTTCCTTACTTTATTTCAGCTCTTGAAACCATTTTGCCTGACAGGTAAGCTGCCATTTTGTACTACTATGTCAGTTGTCTAGTTTGGCTTGGTCTATTTTGGTATTTCCTCTTGTTTGCTAATTTATCCTATCTAGTTGTTTTCACAGTCCAGTGGGACCCAGGCTATATTAAATTGAATAAAGAGCATCCAAACCCTCCCAGTCCCTGAATGCCTTCAGTTCTAATATGTCCATGGGCTTCCTGGATCCTTTCTGGGATCTAGATGGGTCAGAAAAAACCCAGCCCAAGGTCCTACTGTTACAGTGTAGGCCTTACATTTTCAGTCAACTTCTAGCATAATTCAATAATAGTGTAACATAGAAGTTCTCATGTATACAAGCAATAATGTAATATAGAAATTCTCATATGTACAATGCTTGGGTCGTGGGGAAAAATGGCATAGAATATATTTGGCAGTAGGTAAAAATACTCTTTAACTGAAAAATACTAATAGTTTTTTATTTCTTGGCAGAGAACTCTCAAAATTCAAAAGCTATGTAAATCCAACAGAATTGAGAAGATCCTCCATTAATATCCTGCTTTCTTTGTTGCCCCTCCCTCATCATTTTGGCACAGTCAGATCTGAGGTAATGTTTCTTTAAATATTGCACTCCCTCACTTTTTTTGCTTGATGATGCAAGGTCTTGCTAGGTAGCCCAGTTTAGTTGCAAACTTGAAACCCTTCTGTCTCGGCATCCTGCCAACCATTATTAACATTTTTTTTAATGCTAATTCAAGTCAAATTGAACTTTTAACAAAATGGAACAGGGGCTTTAGAAAATTGATTTTTCTAGCCCTGCATGCTCACATGAGCCTTTAATCCCAGCACTTGGAGGCCCAGGCAGATGGAGCTTTGTGAGTTTGAGGTCAGCCTGTCTCAACTTTAAATAAATAAACAAATATTTAAAATACACATTTCTAATGGGTAGATACAGTATTCCTAATAGATTAATGAAGTTTTTCTGGTTTAGGTATTTCTTCTTTTGGAAGTGCCTTGGCTTACTATTCATGTGCTTATAGTCTAATGGAATCTGATTACAGGTGTCAAGTAGGAGCTACAATTAGACTGGAGACCTGGATCATTAGCCTGTTCACCTTCTGTCCTCCCTTGTTTCTAAATGGGCATCATGTACAGTAACTGATGTGAAATATTTGTTTTTTTTCTCCAGGTGGTCCTAGAAGGAAAGTTTAGCAATGATGACAGTTCTTCATATGATAAACCAATAACTTTTCTGTCCCTGAAGTTGAGACTTGTGAATATACTAATAGGTGCCTTGCAAACGGAAACGGACCCTAACAACACCCAAATGATACTAGGTTTGTGTGCAGATAGTTTTTTTGTTTGTTTTTGGTAAGTGAAACCCAGGTACTAATGACTGCAGGCATGCTGAGGATACAGGTTGAGAGGTGCCTAAGCCTGATACAACTCTTATTATTCTGACCAGAAGTAGAGTGTTTTTGTGTTTTGCTTTTTATAGAAAAAGATTTAAGGGGATTTGGTAAGATTGCTCAGTGGTTAAAGATGCTTGCCATCAAGACTCAGTGACCTGAGTTTGATCCCCAGGTCCCACATGGTGACAGAAGGAACCTGGTTCTTTTTAGCTGTCTTTTGACCTCCACACAATACCATGGTATGCATGTAGCCCTCCCCCCAATAAGTAAATAAATACATGTAGTAAACAATTGAAAGATTTAAGGAGATGAGCTGAGGGAAGGAAAGCACTTAGTTGTCTCGTTTATGCTCCCCCACCTTCCTTTGTCCTTTTCCCTTTCAGTAGTTGGGGTGAGGGCTTAGGATCCTACCTTGAAAGGGCAGAACTGATTTCTGAAAGTTGTTGTCTAACATCTACATACCCTATGGCATACATATGTATGCAGATCCTCCCTCCCTTGACCCAAATTAAAAAATAAAATCTTTGCAGGCATATCAGAATTTGGGGATTTCTAAGGCATTATCTTTTTTTTTTTTTAAGCCATCAATATATTTATTCACAGTCTTCAGAGAATTTCAGGACTGCTTTACCAAAATTTCTTTCTTTCTTTTTTTTTTTTTTTAGAGGAAGGAGAGGAGACACAGGGTCGTATATAGCCCAAGTGGATTCCACTGATAGCAGTCCTCCTCTCTTAGGCCTCAAGTGCTAGGGTTATATGTATGACCACTGCTGGCTCCAAATCATAACCTTTTTGCTCTGACTGAGTCATTGCACTGTCATTATATGTCATGTAAACTGTTTTGTTTTGCTGTTTCAGGAGCAATGTTAAATATTGTTCAGGATTCTGCACTTTTAGAAGCCATTGGTTGCCAAATGGAGATGGTAAGAAGCTTATATAATCTGTCTGATTTTATCTAAATCATACTCAACAGTGCTGGAATTGAACCTAGGGCCTCACACATGCTAACCAAGCTGTCTACCACTGAGCTATGTCCTCAACCCATTGGTTTTTTTTTTTTTTAATATGTATATTTGGTTTTTCGAGATAGGGTTTCTCTGTGTAGCTTTGGAGCCTGTGCCAGAACTGACTCTGTAGACCAAGCTAGCTTTGAACTCACAGAGAGCCACCTGCCTCTGCCTCCCGAGTGATGGGATAAAGGAGCATGCCATCACTGCCCAGTTTATTTTTATTTTTTGAGGCAGTGTCTCATGTAACCCAGGCAAGTCTCGAACTGTGCCTATAGCTGAAGTTGATCTTAAACTTCTGGTCCCGCTGGGCAGTGGTGGTGCACGCCCTTAATCCCAGCACTCGGAGGCAGAGACAGGCGGATCTCTGTGAGTTCGAGTCCGGGCTGGTCCAACAGCCTCCAGAACAATACAGAGAAACTCTGTCTCGTAAAACCAAAAAAAAAAAAAAAAAAAAAACACTCCTGGTCTCTCTGTCTCCACAGGTGTCCACCACCACACTTTTTTTTTTGGTTTCACAAGTCAGGGTTTCTCTGTATTGTTTTGGAGGCTGTCGGTCCAGCCCGGCCTCGAACTCATCCTCCCGAGTGCTGGGATTAAAGGCATGCGCCACCACCGCCCGGCATACTTTTTTTTTTAAAGATTTATTTATTATATATACAGTGTTCTGTCTTCATGTTTGCCTGCAGGCCAGGAAAGATCTCATTACAGATGGTTGTGAGCCACCATGGAGTTGCTGGGAATTGAACTCAAGAACCCTGGAAGAGGAGCCAGTGCTCTTAATCACTGAGCTCTCTCTCCAGCCCCCCCCACATGTGGTTTTTGAAGGCATTTTGTTTATAAATTTCAGCTCATAGACTCAGAAGGATCCTATTTTAAAACATCACACATTTTTGAGATTTCTGCTTGTTCAGTACCTCATCAGCTCCTTGGGAAATCCTGCATGAGAGAAACCCAGCTGGGATGGTTTTGTCTGAATAGTTTAGGAAAGGCCTTTCTAGTTCCTACTATACCTAACAGATATAAGACCTGTAAGATCTGCCATCTTTTTTGTAGTTTCTGTAGACAAAAGTACACAGGTGTCCAAAGCACTAGTGCTTTTAAATAATAATTTAAAAGCTCCCTAGAGACGGACGGTGTCCCTTATCTCTTTGTTCAAGATACGTGACCATTACACTTGGCGTAGGCTGTGGTATGGGGAAGTGATATGTTATAATGGGGTAAGCTGGATAAATGAAAAATTATTAAGGAAATTCGTGTTCCAGTAGATGGCTAATAATGTACTTATTTGGATGCAGTGAGTTCTCTATATATGGGGAATCTTTAACAAATGGGTTTATTTGCTCTGATGTGTATGGGAATTTATACAACTATAGTGTTCTATTGTTTGTACTTTATGGTACAACTACATTTAAAAGTTGTTGTTTTGTGAGTGTGTGTGTACATAAATGGATGTGGGTCTTCATGTATGTGCAGATATATGCATTTGGGTGTGCTTGCGTGTGTGCTTGTGTGTGTGTGTGTGAGAGAGAGAGAGAGGGAGATCGTGCATGTGCAAATGGGTATGGGTGGGTGTGAGCATGGAGGATTTCAGGTATTCTGCACTATTTCGTTGCCCTATTCCCTTGAGTCTTTGATCATGGAGCTAAACTGACAGCCAACAAGCCCAGTGATACTCCTGTTTCTACCCCTCACAGCGCTGTCTTTATAGGCATGTGGGTGGCCATGACCAACTTTTTACATAGGTGCTGGGGATTAGAACTGAGGTTTTTATGCTTGTATAGCAAGTGTTCTTTACCCACTGAGACATCTTCCTTGCCCTTCCTTTCCTCTAGCTTTTTTTTAAGGGGGTTCTGGGGATCAAACTCAGGTCCTCAAACTTGAGTGGTGAAGACTTTGACTGAGATCATCTCCTAGCCCCATATTGTCTTTATTTGAAGATTATATTCCTGTTCTGAGGTTTTGCTCTAGAGGTATTTGAAATATTTTCTTTAATGACTCAGAGTTATTACCCAGTAAACTGTAGTGATTGTAAAAGGCTCTTAGGTGGCCCTTTATAAAACAGCATGGGAGACCCCCCAGTATGGATGCTTGTAGTTACCAAGCCCTATATACCCTTTTAACAGATGGCATCAGAGCAACAATACCAGTGATTCTAACCCCTTATGCTAGTTAACCTGTTATGTTTGCATTATTGGGGATGAACCTATAGCCTCATGCATGTGAGGCAAGTGCTGTACTCCTTTGAGTCATGGCCCCAACTCTTAACAGTTTTTCTCTTTTGAGACAGGGTTTCTCTGTGTAGCCCTGGCTGTCCTGAAACTCAATTTGTAGACCAGGCTGTCCTTGAATCAACAGATCCTCCTACCTCTGCCTCCCAAATGCTGTGATTAAAGGCATGTGCCATCAACATCCAACTTTCTAACAAATTTTTTAATAATTAACTTCTTTTTATACTTGCAAACTGTTCATCTTGATTCTTTGTATTTGACTAGGGTGGTGGAGAAAACAACCTGAAGAGTCATAGTCGCACTAATAGTGGTATTAGCTCAGCAAGTGGAGGAAGCACAGAGCCTACAACGCCCGATAGTGAGAGACCTGCTCAAGCTCTCCTAAGGGATTATGGTAAGCTGTGTTTAAAATAGCCTGTTGGCATTTGTACGTGTATTAATTCTCTGTTAACAAAATAAGCAAAATTAAAACTTTTCAAGAATCAAAAAAATAAATAAAAATAAAACTATCTACTTAGGTATAATTGACAGAAGATGTTAGTTTTAAAAAACTAAGGAAATGTATTCATGATTTCTTGTAGCTTGTTTTGGAGTTTGTTAGATTCTTTTTTTTTTTTTTTCTGGTTTTTCGAGACAGGGTTTCTCTGTATTGTTTTGGAGGCTGTCCTGGAACTTGCTCTGTATACCAGGCTGGCCTCGAACTCACAGAGATCTGCCTGCCTCTGCCTCCCCGAGTGCTGGGATTAAAGGCATGTGCCACCAACACCCAGCTGGAGTTTGTTAGATCTTACAGATGTTTATGATGAGAGCTCAGGGGGTGTTTAGGTTCTATACAAGGTGCTGGTGATACAGGTATACATAAGATGTGGGGCTTGCTTCAGAGCTGTCAGAATAATGGCAGAGATGGTCAGTGATCTGCATCCTTGAAGTTGTGAGAGAAGAGATGGAGTTTGTATTAGAGGAGACCCAGAGAAGCATTTGTCTCCATAATAAAACTTACATATTCCATCTTGTTAGGTTCTTCTGTTACAAGAATAAAGAGACACTTTTCTGCCTTGCTAAATAAAACACTTGCCAGCAAAGCATGCTGTTTAGTGACGTCCTTTACACTGAGCAGTTATTTTATGGACTTAGTGTGAGCGCTTTATATTTTTTTTCCCGTTTTTATTGTTTGAGACAGGGTTTCTCTGTATTGTTTTGGAGGCTGTCCTGGAACTCACTCTGTAGACCAGGCTGGCCTCGAACTCATAGAGATCCACCTGCCTCTGCCTCCCAGTGCTGGGACTAAAGGCGTGCGCCACCACTGCCGAGCAACTTTATAATGTTTTATGCACAAATGCTGATATTGATTGAATCTGTGTTTATTCCTTGACATTAGAATATCTAATTCCCTAGATGTGAGCTTGATTTTTTTTAAATAATCCGGAGAATCCATGAGCCATGTTCATGAGGCATGCTTTCATAATTGAATATATGATCAATATTACCCATCATCATGTCAAACACATAGAGTCATCATGTGGATATTTGATACATTTAAATTGTTACTCCTTGTGTAGATTTAGGCATTTTCTAGGTTGAACTGTTTCTTGTAGTTTCTAAGACATTTTAAAACTAAAGATAATTTTGCATTACTGCATGTGTTGTATATAAGTGTTTGAACTGATTGTTTGTTCCAGCATTTTCAGCTGGTGTTAGTGAGCTCTGCTTGTTATGTCATATTTTTTACTAAGAAAAAAAATCCAGATTTGTGTTAGTGTCGCATGACTGTCTCTCTTTAATGATCATTCCTTTTTCTGTTGTCACTGCCCTCTTTCTGATAGGATCCACAGGTATAATGCCCCTAAAGCTTACTTTTTAATTACAGTTTAATTTATCCCACTTTAATTTCTTGGAATTCACTATTAAAGTAACAGTTACTTTAAATATAAAATTGAACTCCAACTAAAAACAATGACTTGGTTATTTAACCTTTTTAAAGGTATTAAAATGGTGGTAAAGAGCTAAATGTAAACATGGGTTTGAAAAGGCATTGCATGTGGTTTTTACTGGTTTAGACCCTGTCATTTCAACAGATGCGTTAAGGTAATTCCTAGCATCTAAGGAGGCTATCAGGTTGAATTCTTGCCTCTGTAAAACTCTAAGGAAATACTTGGTTGCCTTTTCATTGTTCTTTTTGAAAATTAAATAAGTTATTTATTTAAAAATTTAAAACACCATTTTTCATTATAAGGATGTTACTGAAACTGCCAAGTCCATAGTGTTCTTTGTCAATATGTGGATTGGTAGCTAGAAGCTGGCCAGCCCCATGTGTGCCTTGTACACCATCAGTCAGGCCTGGTGCTCAGGCTGGTGGGCGGGGAGCATAACTCTGTGTGGGTGCCCATTGTGCTCACTGTGGCTGCTGTGGTCTGTGCCTGGTGGAATGCTGTGCTTCTGTTACTAATGCTTAGTTGTTTTCCCTCCCTGTGGATGTGGCATTGGGTTATATCCTAGCTCTTAATACAGATTCAGCTGCTGGACTCCTGATTCGCAGCATTCATCTCGTCACCCAAAGACTCAACTCCCAGTGGCGTCAAGACATGAGCATATCCCTGGCAGCTCTAGAGCTCCTCTCAGGCCTGGCAAAGGTGAGGATAGTCCCTTATTTTAGTCCAGCAGACTTGCCTCAGTCTTTTTTTTTTTTTTTTGACACCCACACACTTTGTGTAGGTATTTTAGGGTTGTCAGTACATGTGTGTATTTTACATCTAGAATGTACAAAATTGAGCTTCCAAGTGAAATTTTTCAAAATGAAAAATAGGTGCAAAGGATATGAATGTTTCTGATAAGGTACAGAAAGCATTTTAATACTGGTGACTATTTGCACATATAATGTATTTATTGCTTGGATAAGGAGCATTTGTCATAAAATATTTCTGTGATTACTATTTTCCATTATCAAAAGCAAAAAATTGACTATATGTTCAATTTTCTCTCACAGTTGTTTCAGTTTTGTGGAACCTTAGAAGTGGGGTTCACCTGCACTTAAGCCTCAGTCTTTCTCTTGCTCTTTCTCTGAAATTCCTGTAACATGAAACTAACCATTTTAAAGCAAGTGATTCTGTGGCTGTTAGCACATTCGCAGTGTAGTGCAACCCACCACCTACATTTCCAAGTGTTTTTGTCACCCTGGAGGAAAGTCCCTAAGCCCCAAGAAGTTTCTTGCCCACTCTTCCAACCATCACCTCCTCAGACAGTCACTGATCTTCATTTTGTCTCTTTGTCTCTACCTAATCAGGACCATTCACAGAAAGGGATCAGTAGGAAAATCAAGTGATGTATGTTTTTTCAAGAGTAGCTGTCTTTCTCACTTGAGCACTTTTTTGAGTTTTAGCCCTTTTTTATGATTGCACAGCACCATGCTGAAAGCAATTATCACTGTTTGTTTGCCTGCTCATCAAAGTGGTTTTTAGACTGCTTCTGTCTTTAGACTATTATTAGTAGAGCTATTGTGGACTATGGGAATGTGTATTTGTTTGGAATATCAGTTTTCAGTTCTTTGGGGTATGCAGATTACTTTAAATATAAAATTGAAGTCCAAGTGAAAACAGTGACTTGGTTATTTAACCTTTTTGAAGAACTGTAAATTGTTTTCCACAGCTACTGAATCTTTTTTCGTTCCTTTCAGCAATATACAAGGGTTCTAATTTTTCCACATTCTCACTAGCATCTCACTGAGTATTTTTTATTATTAAAGTGGAAAGGATTGTTTTATTTTTTATATACTACTTGGTGTTGTGAGGATCAGATGAGATGAAAGTATAAAATACATTGTGGTCATACAGTAATACTTATCACGTAGTAGTAGTGTCTGAGATGAACCTTAGCCATTTACTTCAGAGTTGTCTTACAAACTGTGAGACAGAATAGACAAGAAAACTTAGTATGTTCTCAACACCATTTGGGACTTAACCCAGAAGCCCTCAAATGTCATAGATATGTGAGGAGCATTTGCTGATTTAAATGTTAGGGTAACCATTCATGAGACATGGTGGGCCATACAGAGAGCGAGGTGCTGCTCCCCTGGACTTGTGGTTCACTTTCAGTTTAAGATGCAGTTAGCTTGGATGGAGCACTGCTCTGTACCTTTGTCATCATATATATGGGCTAATACTACCTGATTCCATAACTCTCTGTAAAGATAAAGTTGATTAAAACTGGTGTTAGAGCAGAGTTGAATGAATAGATCAGTGGTCTATAATTGAGACTTCAACATCATACTTATATGGCTGTCTGGTTTTTAACAAAGGTGCAAAGATAACTCTAAGGAGAAAGGTTGTCTTTTTGACCAGTGGTACTGGTAGGAAACTTGGTTTCATACCTGTTTTGTAAATGGTAGGTACAAAAACCAGCTAAAAATGGATTGTAGACTTAACTGTAAAAATTTATTAGTTACTTGTCTCATGCTGTGACAAAATACCCTGACAAAGGCAACTTAAGGATGGAAGGGTTTATTTTGGCTCACAGTTCAAGGGTACAGTCCATTATGGCGGGGATGTCAAGGTGGCAGGAGCTTGAAGCAGCTAGTCACGTTGAGTCTGCAGTCAGGAAGAAGAGAGCAGATGAATGCTTGTGCTCAGCTGGCTTCCTCCTTTTTATGCAGTCCAGGACTCAAACCCAGGGAATAGTGCCACTCTCCTTTAAGGTGAGTTTTCCTACCTCAATATCATTAGTTGTTAGGGAAATGTAATTAGATTCACATTGATATACTATTACATACTCATAGTAGAATGGCTAAAATTGAGGGTTACGAGCATAGCTTAGGGTAAGAGTGCTTGCTATGCAGGCATGAGAACCTAAATTCATATCCCCAGCACCCATTTAAAAAGCTGGGAATGACTACATGGACTTCAGAGTGGCAGGTGGATAGACAGTCTGAAGGAGTTTCCTAGCCTGTCAGCCTAGCTGAAACAGGAAGCTTTAGGTTGTGTGAGAGACCCTATCCCAAGAGATAATATTGAAAGTGATTCAGCTGTGGGTCAAGACTACTTTGGAGGTTGAATGACCCCTTCATAGGGGTCACCTAAGGCTATTGGAAAACACAGATATTTACGTTACTATTCATAACAGTAGCAAAATTACAGTTATGAAGTAGCAGCAAAAAAATATATATATATATATGGTTGGGGTCACCACAGCATGAGGAACTATATTAAAGGGTTGCAACATTAGGAAGGTTGAGAACCACTGTGATAGGGAAGGCACCCAGTAGTCCTTCTGTGGCCTCTGCATACACACAGATGCATGTACTCATAGAAACTTGATGTGTGCTTGCATGCATGCATGTGCACGCATGTGCACGCACACACACACGCACACATGCACACAGAGGCTAGATTTAAAAAGACTTGACCATACCAAATGTTGATGAGGATATGAGGAAACTGTTAATGAGAATGTTAATTATAATAACCATTTTGGAAAATAGTTTGGCCCATCCTTAAAAATTTAATATTTCATGTATCTTATGACCCTGTCATCCTAATCCCAGTATATAAGAGAATATACATCCAGTCAATGAAGTGGATGTTCATAGCAAATATATTTGTAACATCCTCAGGATGGAAATAACCCAGATGTCCATTAACAGGCTACTAGGTAGATACATTGTACTGTATTCATATGCTGGAATACACTCAATAAAAGTAAGAAGTATTACAAAAAGTAGGTAACATCTGGAAGTAATTAATTATGCTAAATAGAAGAAGCTAGCTAAGTACCTTTCCCCCAAGTAGATACTGTAGAACTTACATATATCTAATATGGTAGCAGATAAGCAATCCTCACAAGAGGAATGGGAGGAAGCTTACAGAGGTGCATGAGGGTATTTGGGGGTGATGTTGGTGTTATCTGATTGTAATGACAATTCTTTGAGGTTACATACTTTGAACATGTGTAACTTACTGTAATTGAAAATTGACCCTTTAAGCTGTTTCACTAGACTTTGTGCAGAGCAAAAACCATCACTGTGAGGTTGGGTTAGGGACTAAAAACACATGTTCCTTTGCTGGCCATTCACATTTTACAAGTAAGTGCATCCAAAAGCTTTGGGTTTTAAGGTGTGAACAACCATGCTAGAGTAAAGTACTGTTTTAGGGTTTGAGAATTTTACTTTTTTGTAGTATGTTTGTAATATTCTGTTCCTGTATATAAATAATATTTTAAAACAAGGCCTCTTGTGTATCACATTATCAGATAGGCTCAGTTGCAGAGCAAATGCTTGGTGTAGTGGTTCCTGACTAACTGGTTTTGTTCCTTAAATGGACATGCTTAGGTGAAGGTGATGGTTGACTTGGGAGACCGGAAGCGTGCCATCAGTTCTGTGTGCAGTTATATTGTATACCAGTGCAGTCGGCCAGCTCCTCTTCACTCCCGGGATCTGCACTCCATGATAGTGGCAGCATTTCAGTGTCTCTGTGTCTGGCTGACAGAACACCCTGATATGCTGGATGAGAAGGTGAGCTTATTCAGTCTTTTTAAAAAAATTTTTATTTATTAGTTTATTTTTTGGTTTTTCGAGAAAGGGTTTCTCTGTAGGTTTAGAGACTGTCCTGGAACTCTCTTTGAAGATCAGGCTAGCCTGGAAGTCACAGTGATCCGCCTGCCTCTGCCTCCCGAGTGCTGGGATTAATGGCGTATGCCACCACTGTCTGGCGCTTATTCAGTCTTAAAACACCAAGTAGGAATAAAACAGTTTGTTGAGAAAATACCTTTTGAAAGAGAATATGTAAATTAAAATATAGTGTCATACACTTGGAATGTATTTGTTTGATTTCAGTAGAACACTTACTCTTTTGAACATAACTTGTAAACTATCATCATGTTTAGAATTGTTTCCAAATAATCCTACAGAGAAATTCTTTATGAAAATAGAAGATCTTGCCTAATTTTTCTGAACCAGCAAGACTTCTTTTATAAAAATAATATTATCATTAGTTCTTGTAAAAATTCAGTGTATTTTGAACATACTCATCCTATTTTACTAATATCTGACCTCACTTTCTACCTAACCAATTTGAGATCTTTTTTTCCATCTCTCTTTTTTCCCTATATTGAATCCAGTTTGTGTTTCCTAGCTACTATTAGGAGTAGGGCCTGCCCTGGAGTGTGGTCAACCTACCAGTGATCATGTCATTAAATAAAATTGATCCTACCTCTCCCAGCAGCTATCAAATGTGATCACACATGCCAGTAGTTCTCCGGCTAGTGATAATATTTTTGCCTATTTCCACTATATCTATACTGAAATTTTGGTTTAGCTTGAGCTTGCTCAAGTCTTTTGCATGCTTTCACAGTTGCTAAGAACTCATATGGGCAACTGCTGTATCTGGAAAAATACTTTTTTTTGGATAGGATGACAGATGAGATAACTATTAAAAGCTATTTGGTTTCCTATTATCAAACAAAGAAGGGCACTTAATTGTGAATCTGCAAAGCTAGGGCACAGCTTGGCTATAAAAGTTACTTTTATTGAAACATTGTATTTCTCACAGGTTTCTACACTTTTAAATGGACACAGATATCTAGTCTGTTTTCTCTACTGCTGTACCTTACAGAGAAGCAGGCATAATAAGCTCAGTGACAGTAGAGCTTCCCAAGGTTACTGGATATTTAGAAAAAAAAAAGGTAGAGATCTTTGTAAGTAATATTGATAAAATCTGAGTTACATTCATTGTGGCTTTTAAAGTTATGGTATCTAAAGTTTTTTTCAGGACTGGACTTTAGCCAAGTGTAATAGAATGCTTGCTTAGCATTTCTGAAGTGTTCAGTTTGATCCCTAGCACTACGTTAATCAGTTATGATGGTCCCTATTCCAGGTACTTGGGAGGTAGAAGAAGGAGATCAGAAGTTCAAGGTCATCTCTGACTACATAATGAGTTAAAGGCCAGCCTGGGCTACATGAAACTCTGTTACACAAATAGTTTTAAATAGAAATTAGCTTAAGATATAAATCATTGGAGTTGGGGATGGTGGCACCTGCCTGTAATCCTAGCACTTAAGAAGCAGAGGCAGATCCTGGATTCAGGGTCAGCTTGGTTTACATAGTGAGTTTGAAACCAGCCTGATCTCCATAGTGAGATTCTGCCTCAAAAATTAAATAATTAACCTCTTTGATATATTAGGTAATCTGATGTGTCTTAAGCCATCTGAGTCTAGTGGAATTACTTCTGAATCTATTTTATTTATTAGCTGTTCTGGGTTTATGACAGTCATGGCAATTTTGTGAGCTCTGTGACTAAAACATGTCAGTCTCTTTCTGAACATACACATTTAGTTCTTTTAAGAGAAACTTAATGGAGGTTTAAGTTTATTATGATACAAAAATATCTGTTAAAGAATACTAGAAGCTGGAGCTCCACCTCTAAGACATAACCACCGTATGGGCTCCTTGTCTTCTCTGTATATATGTATATATGATGTGTATAAAAGTTGACCTGGCTCAGCAGGTAACAATGCTTGCCTCCAAGTTTGATGACTTGAGTTTGATCACTGAGTTCTATATGGTAGGAGGAGAGAACCAACTCTCAAAAGTTCTTCTCTGACCTTGGCTTGTACACAAGCACACATACACCCTCTCTTAAGTAAATAAATATGTTTGAAATATTTTAAATAATCTCTGTATCTTTTCCCACTTCTAGGATTGCCTTAAGGAAGTACTGGAGATTGTAGAACTGGGTATCTCAGGAAGCAAGTCCAAGAACAGTGAGCAAGAGGTCAAGTACAAAGGAGATAAGGAGCCAAACCCTGCGTCCATGAGAGTAAAGGATGCTGCAGAAGCCACTTTAACATGGTATGGAAACAGCAGCTGAAAACTGAGCTGTAACAGACAGGGCAGCAGTGATCTTGGCCCCTGTGGGGTGCTGTGTCTCCAGATACAAAATGGAAAGGAAATACTCTTTTTGTACTCATTCTTAGACCATCAAGACATCAGAAATTTGGAGTCTTTGTATTTCCATACTTGCTGATAACTAACTCAGGTCAGATCATTGTAGAGCTAGGAAGTATCTTGGAGCCACTTCATCCCCTTCTTTGATGGCCTAGTTTAGAGATGAGATGTGTCATAGCATCAGATCTGATACCCAGTGCTGGTCACTACTACATCTTTTATGTTCTATTCAGCTAAATTTTTTTAACTTCCTTAAGAACTTGGTAATGGAGTCATACAGATAAGTCAGATTTAGTTACTGAATGAATACTGTCTGGTGCAGTAGGGAAGATGAAATAGAAACACAAAGTCTCTCAATATCAGGTGGATAATAAGTAACCCCAAAAGAAGAGACACAAATCAAATGGCAGGGAGCTGGGAGGAGGAAGTGAAAACTTTGAGATGAAGTGAAAGCAAAGTAACATGCTTATGGAACCAAGGGCTTGTTTCTTTGAAAGAATGGCAGAAAGAGCTGAGAAAGTCCTTTGTGCTCAGTGGATTGGGGGACTAGAAAGAGGACTGAGTTTGGGCACATCTGCAGATTGAAAGAATAGAATAAGTTGAGATTGCATAGATTCGTAGGATATGGAAAGATGTAGCTCATGCAAGGATAAGTATGAATGAAAACCTGGGGAAACAGAACCACAGGATGGAAGAGTGTGAGGTTAATTAATAAGGGCTGGCTTGAAGATTTGTGTGTAAATCAGCACTGCCTAAGATCCTGACATCTTTTGTGAGTGCAGTGTCCTTTTATATTCAAATTAGTTAGATTTGTTTCTGTTGTTCTTGGGCTTAGGTCATAATTTTCAGGATGCTTGCTTTTGTTTAGAACTGTACAGTCTGGTAACAGGTAAGACTTTCAGTGCTTTTGTTGAGGTTTAGCTAATAGCTAGAAAATTGGTGAGGATAGCTATGACAGCTAGGAGATAAGCAAAGAGAATCTTGCTCACTAGGAGTTCTTGATTTCTTAGTGCTGCAAGAACTTTGTTCCACTCTAGCCTGATTGTTCCTATAAGAGCATCATTGCTGCTAGGGGTTGCTATGAGTCTGGGGTTTTTCTCTCAGACTGTAGTTATCTAAATGGCTTAACTTCATTTTTTGCTGTGTTGTATCTACAAGCAAGTCTACCATGATGTCTTTAATTTCCACTCTTCAACAGTGTAGCGTTCCATCATGGTGGAAAATACTAACAACCAGTTTCTGTTCTCTTACAGTTGCTGCTGCTTGTCAGCATCACCATTGGTTCTGTTTTGTTTTGATTATTTTTTTTCAAGGCAGGGTTTCACTGTCTCTGACTGTTCTGGAACTCACTCACTATGTATAGACCAGGTTGGCCTCAAACTCACAGAGATCCACCTGCCTCTGCCTCCAAAGTGCTGGGATTAAAGGCATGTGCAACCATGCCAGCTGTCACCATTGTTTTCAGTTTTTTTTCCCCTCTGATTTGTATGTCTGTCGTTCCTCATGAGGCCAGCAACCAAGTCTAGTAGACTATCTTTGTAAGGTCTTCCCACCAACCCCTGAAGCCTCAGATAGGATTCTGTACTAGGTCACCTCACTTCTTGCATGGTTTCTGTTGGCAGTCTCTTTACTCTTCCCATTTGTCTTGCACTCTGTGGATAAACTCTTCTTCAACAATATTTCATCCTACTGCTTGAGTGATTAAAGACCTTGAGTAGATCTCCTGTTTCCTACCATGTCTGAATTCCAGTGGAAGGTCATGGAGTTGATCTGATTTGTCCCACCACTGCTTCCTAGTACTTCCTTGCCATAGTTGGGCCTCTTGTAATGGTGAACTGGGCATGCTCATACCTGCTTATTCATCTCTCTGTATTTCCAGCAGCATCATACACTGTTCCATGATCACAGTACATCTAGCTACTTGTACGAACCTCTGTCATTCTCATTTTTGAAGGACAATGGTTTTCACTACCTCTACACTCATTGTCTGCTTGTCTCACATAGTGTGGAGTTCCATACTGTCATAGTCGTACCAAGTTTATTTGGTACATGCCAGTCTGTCTTTCATAACCTTTATAATGTACATATTAACTTGTTGGGTTTCTTGACCTTGGCATATTAAAGTATAAATTCAGAATTTGTGTTCTTAGAAGTCATTCAGTGGTCCCCCTGCTTAAGGCACATTTACTAAATGCTTAGCCTTTAATATGGGTTTAGAGTCTAGCCCCTAAGATTTCCCACTTCATTATTTATTTATTTATTCATTCATTCATTCACTCATTCATTCATTCATTCATTCATTCATTCAGGGGCAGGGTTTCTCTGTGGTTTTGGAGGCTGTTCTGGAACTAGCTCTTGTAGACCAGGCTGGTTTCGAACTCGCAGAGATCCGCCTGCCTCTGCCTCCTGAGTGTTAGGATTAAAGCATGCGCCACTACCACCAGGCTTTCCCACTTCATTTTAATTATTAAAAGCTTGATGTTCTATATCAAACTAAAATCTCTTATGTTAACTTGTTCTCATTGGTTCTTACTCAGACTTTTGGTAGTAATTCTTTGTCCAGGCAACAGCAGTATACAGAGACAATGTTTATATTGCTCTGGTTCCTTTCTGCTAGTGCCTTCACGTGGTTTTTGTATTACATGAGTTTGAGTACCTTTATCATTCTGTCACTCAACTGGTATAGCTTTGGCCATGTATCTCTCATAGGTACATCACTGCTTTGACCATGAATCTTTCACAGGTACATCATTGAGTACAGTGTTTTATTGGGGTCTGAATGTCTTAACCTCTGTTGAACAGTATAACTCATCAACCTCTGTCTGGAGACAGCACCAACACTTTGAGCATTGGAGATTCATGTTAAATTAACTAGACTCTTGAGTCTTTTTCATGCTTTCTTTTCATCTGTTGTTCTCATCCTGTGCTTATTTGTTTGGGATTGTTGAAATTTCTTTTTGGAAGATAATTCCACATTATCTATAGGCTTTTGAAATCCTAACTCTTATTCTGATATATGGTCTCTACAGATTAAGTTCTATTATAGCTTTTGGTTTGTTCTTAATTATTTTGCCTTCCCCCTTCCCCAAGACAGGGTCTCACTATGTAGCTTTGGCTGTCCTGGGACTCACTGTGTAGATCAGATTGACCTTGAACTCTCAGAGATCCACCTGCCTCTGCCTCTCAAGTGCTGGGATTAAAGGTGTGTGCCATCACACCCTGCTCTTTTCAAAAACAAAACAAAACATGTATTTGTATGTGTGTATGGGCATATGTGTATCAGAAGACAGCTTTTGAGAGTCTTTTCTCCTTTTCATGTGAGTTTCAGGGAATCCAACTCTGGTTGTTGGGATTGATGGCAATAGTCTTTGCCCACTGAGCCATCTTGCTGGTTCTTGTCTGTTTTTGAGGCAGATTCTCACTTTTTAGCTGAGGCTAACCTCAAATTCATGGCAGTCCTCCTGCCTCAGTTTCCTGGGTGTTGGCATTACAGGCAGAGCAAACATTATGAGCCTGTTTGGTATGTTCTTATCAGAGCACTGCTTATAGAAAGGAGAGGTTGAACTTCAGAGCATAGCAACAGAGATTCCCTGGGGGTTCACAAGGATTCCAGTCTTTATCTACAGGTTTATCATACAGTTAAGTACTTGTTTTAATTTCGGAGATATTTACTCCACATACCAGGAAGAGAAGAATGTGGTGAGACTATAATAACAATTTCATTAAGTGGCCTAAACTCTCCCAGAAGCCTGTTTGATATCATAGATCTTACATGGAACATGACAAGTTCACCTGGTCTGTGTACTTTGTGATATCTGCCTCTGTTTACTGGTGAAAGCCAAAGCTGTATTTTCTTAGTACTGGTCTCCTGGGATGGCTCCTGTTTTCCACAATCATTAGAGTACTGAATTTGCTGAGTTCTATCATTCCTTGAATTGTAGCAGTCTTTCTGGGAGAAGTGAAAACTCCAAGGGAGACATCTGCTGGAAAACAGTGCCTTCCATCATCAGAGAGCTTAGAGAGCTAAGGCCAGGCTGTCCAAGCTGAAGATTGATTGATAAATGGTGTTGAGGGTTATGGAGATGGTTCAGTGGGTTAGAGCACTTGCTATACAAGCCTGAGTGCCCGGGTTCAGATCTCCAGTACCCATGTCAAAAACTGGACATACCCATCATCTCAATGCTACAAGGGAAGGCAGAGACAGAAGGATCACTGTGGCTTAGTGGCTGCCAGCCTAGTTCTACATTCCTTAAGAGACATTGTCCCAAGGGGTTAAGGCAGGAAATGATACAACAGGATATTTCATGTCCTCCACATATGCACCCCCATACAACACACATACAATACACAGTCATATGTATACACATATACACAAAGGTGTTGAGGAATAGTTTTCTGAATGGGATGCATTTGAAAGGCCACACTGATAATATATGGTAAAAATCTGTTTAAATACAGAATGCTTTTTTATTGAGTCTCTGTTTATTATACACGAGGATAATAAAAAAAAGAAAATGATGGTATCTATTTCATATGGTTATTATGAAACTATATGAAAAATGTAAAGTGCCTAGAACAGTACTTGACACAAAGAGCTAGATTAAATTCATTGCTTATATGCATAAATCTTTGTAAATTTTTATTCCCTCTGTGTGTGCATGAATGTGTATACATACTGTATACACATGCAAATATTTCTGAATGGTAAGTCTTGATCAGTGAAATTGCTTTTTAAAGCATTTTGTGTTATAGATTTTTTTTGTTATAGATTTATTTATGACAGTTTAGAGATTTAACTGTTAGTGCCTCAGGTTCCTTACCTGAAATGAGGATATATCTATTCCTGGACATGCAGGAAGAAGGCAGCAGGTCCTGAGGTTTGGCCTCTTAACTATCAGTTAGCTCTTTGGAGTTTTAACTTTCCTTATCTTAAAAGGTGATGGGTTTTGGCTGATCATTTCGTCCTTTTCTAGGCCTAAGATATTTCGGGTATCATAATCCTGAGACCTAGAGCACACAGCAGAGTTTGAAATGTGTCTTTAGGGGTTTCCTGATCTGGAACTGTAGTTAGTTATGTTCCCTGGTTAAAAGAGGGAAATTTGTTTGAGGTCTTTTGTTGGGACAAAGCAGGATTGGTCAGGCAGAAGAACAAAGCTGCTGGACAGTAGAGTGTTGCAACAAATGCTAACGCTGACTTGACCTTGAGTATTCTCTCTACCTGGGAGGGAACTGGGACCTAGGAACTTTGCACTAACTAGTTGTTGAATGTGGTCTGTTCTAGAAAGAAGCAGAGGTCCTGAGTGAGGCATCCATGGCTGAGGGCAGTTCTTAGGCCAGTTGAAAGTTGTGGCTACTGTTATCCTGCATCTGGGAGAGTGGCCTTTCATTCTTGGGGCACAGATTCTACCCAGCATGCCAGAGTAATTTTTTTTTGCCACAGGGAATAAATCTGACCCGTGAAGAGGAAACATAGCTGTGTTCAGTTAATTCAGTGGAGTAGAAGGGTACATAGATCCAATAGGTAAAGTTAGAATTTTCTTTGGGAATTAATTGTTCTTTATTCCATTCTCCGTAGTATCATGCAGTTGCTTGGCGCATTTCCTTCACCCAGTGGTCCTGCCTCTCCTTGTAGTCTGGTGAATGAGACCACTCTGATCAAATACTCCAGGCTGCCAACCATAAACAAGCATAGTTTCCGGTACTTTGTCTTGGATAACAGTGTCATCCTGGCAATGCTGGAGCAACCGCTTGGAAATGAGCAGAGTAAGTTGTAGTACTCTTAGCTTTCTCTACTGCTCAAACAGTGTGTTCTCAGTTCTGTCAGGGAAGCAAAGACTGTAAATCCCAAGTAACTATTTGTCAGAAAGACTTGAAGCTATAGGATAACATCACTGGAGAAACAGGTCAGAAAAAATAGAATGTGCAAATGAAGTAGCACTGTTTAAAGATTCTTTATGTGTGCTCAAAATAGCAAAGTATCTCAAATATTTATGGAAAGTTTGCCTTAGTGAGATATTTTATATTTACTATTTATAAAAATCATTGTCGTTCTTTCTTTCCTTATGAACCTTGGATCCTACCCCTCTACTCCCTTTCCCTTCACCCATCATTGTTCTGTTTGGATACTACTACCCACACAGGTTAGAAATTTGAAAAGTCATCTTTGCTTCCTCCGCCTGTTACTTATATAATTAGTCTCACTGTCTCTATAATACCAGTGACTCTTGAATCTTTTCCTCTGTATTCCTCCCAATACATCTAAATGCAAGGCCTTATTAATTTCTTTCTACGTGGTCTGATAGCCCCTTTGGCAGCTCAAAAATTTGCTTGCCCTTACCACTGCCCTCCTTGCACCATAGTGTTCATCCTTAAGCATGTAGATATGTTTGCTGAAAAACCTTCAGTGATTAGTCATTGATAAGATGTGCACTGTCCCATAGTTAGGAGGATCACAGGGTGTTTTTGATTTGCTTAGGGTAACTTGAAAAGTTCAGGCTTTCCAAACAATACTATTTTCTGTTATCCCACCACACTAGGACTTCCTCAGTGACTAAAGACACATGCAAACGTAAGCAGAGTCTTAGTCTTGTACGGCTGCTGTGACTATAAGCAGGATGTCTCGAGTCTACAAAATGAGAGACCTAGCCCTGATTGTAATACAAGGACACTGTTTCCATTTCGTTGTGGTTAAGTTTAGTGACATTAGTATGAAATAGGATGGCACTATTCATCATTGATCAACTCTGCCTTCTTTTCCCAGAGCTAAGGCTTCTCTCCCTGCTGCCTACTTTTCATTATTCCACCCCCTCACACACACCCATAAACCATCTGCCGAACAGCCTGCAGAATCCTAGTATCTCCTTTAGGCTTCCGGGTTCTCTTGCAAGTATTTTTAGGACTGCCTTGTTCTTATTCCAAGTAATTTTACTGCATAGGTAGTCTACAAAAAAAAAATTAAAAAGTGAACAATTTTATATAATTAAGGATTTTTTTGTTCATTGAAATAGTTAATAACAGAAGAAATGAGAACATATGAACCACTTTTAATTACCATATCTGATACAAAGAAAGGGAATAAAAAGGATCCTGAATTTTTACATGTCTTCATCCCTGGACTTATGCTGGGAGGAAACAGTGTCTGCCTGTAGTCGCAGGACCCCAATCTATAAGCAAATGTATGTCAGCACTGCAGATACGGTATGTGAGGATGTTAGGAAGGTTAAAATAGAGTGGTTACTACAGAGTGGGATAAAAGTACTCATGGTACTTAGCTGTGGCATTGCAGTTTAGGAGGTCCTGTGCTAGGGATTTGATCATGAAATGTTCTGCAGGTGATAGCAAGTTGTATATTAAATGGTTGTTATCTGAAGTAAAAGTTTTTACACATCCGTTTTATTCTAGATGATTTTTTCCCCTCTGTCACTGTGTTGGTCCGGGGAATGTCTGGAAGACTTGCTTGGGCTCAGCAACTTTGCCTTTTGCCAAGAGGAGCAAAAGCAAATCAGAAGGTACATCAGAAGTTACAGTGTGTGCGTGAGTACATATACATGGATGCATATGATTGTGTGCATGTGTGCGTCCATGTGTGTGGGTGATTTAAAGTCTAAATAACATTCCAACAAAAAGTCACAGGTTACATGTTTCTGATCCCTAGCGAGGTCCTCTGTCAATAAATTTACTTAAGAATCATCCTAGGAACCTAGAATTCAGGTCTACTGAACTCCTTATAAGTAGGTACCTGTAAGGCAAGGGTAGTTTTCAAAATTTTCTGGTGATGGTGATGCTCAATTAGGAATAAGGACTACTATCCTAAACAGTGGTCCTAGGCATTTCTGTGCAGCTTTAAAAGTCAGATGCATACCATATATGGGAAAATTTTGCATTGGCCTTTGAGAGGTCTAACATGTAAGACTTAATTTCACATTGTTTGCATGATTCATTATGTATAATTGCTAATATGCTTATATAATTTATTGCAGTATTTTACAGATTTAAAATTATGTGGCCATTTTCTGCTTGTTGGAAAGTTTAGATGAAAGAAATGTTAAATCATTTGCAGTCACTTTCAGCGGTAGCTAGCTATAGTTTGATAGTTCATGTTTTACTGAGTTTTCTTCAAATCACTTTTCTTTCTGTATAAGTTTAACAGCTTAAATAAGCATTTGCTATACTGATTTTAATTACTTTTAAGAGTTTACTTATATTACTAAAAATTACTTTTAAATATTATAATGAAATTCCCCAGCATTTGGGCTCTCTCCATATTTTACCCCTGAGATGAGTCTGTTAGTGATCTGAGCAAATTGTATTCCATCAGTGACTCTGTAAGACTCAAAGGAGCAGAATGGGAAAGAAACTGAATTCACTGAAGGTCCAGGTATGTCGTGTACATACAAGGACCCATGCTGTTATTAAAGCCAGCTAAGGTTCTGATCAAACACACTTTCTAGAGATGCCCAGGGATCCCAACTTACATTTTCTGTGTGAATAGTTGAGAGCTCTTAGAAAAATAGGAAGTCTGGGTCTTTGGTCTTTTGTCTTCTGTTTTTGTTTTGGCACTGATAATACAACCTAAGGCAGTGCACATACTAAGAAAATTTGAATCTTTTTTTTTTTCTTTTCTTTCCAAGACAGGGTTTTTCTGTGTAGCCCTTGGCTGGAACTTGCTCTGTAGACCAGGCTGGTTTGGATCTTACAGAGATCTACCTGTCTCTATCTCTCATGTATTAAGACTAAAGGCATGCATCACCATACTTGACTGGAAGTTTGAGTCTTAAAACTCTAAACTGCCTTAATCATTAACTTAGAATTGAATGCAGATGACTGAGACCTGGGCAGTAGAGATGCAAACTATTTATTAGTCATGAAATATATAAGTTGACAAACATTTTTAGAAAAATGAAGTTGAGTACACAGTATATAGATTTCCTACTTGTACCATAGTACAGCATGTGCAGATTGTTGCTGAGTGTTGGTGATAATGCATGCATAGGAAAGTAGAAGCATTAAAGGGACATGACTAGAAGACATGTCAGAGATAGTTGTTGGATAATGTCTAATACCCATAATGTCATTTGTGTTATTTTAACAGCTTTTTGTGCCGGAACCTCGCCCAATTCCTAAAAATGATGTTGGATTTAAATATTCTGTGAAACATCGACCATTTCCTGAAGAGGTGGACAAGATTCCTTTTGTAAAAGCAGATTTGAGCATTCCAGATTTACATGAAATTGTCACTGAAGAAGTAAGACAAGTTACTGTTAGTTCTTTCCAAAAGGATAAATGCAAACATTTTTAGATGGTATATGTGGTCAAGCATTGCCTTTAGTGTTAGGGAGGAGAGGCAGATGATGACTTGGGTCTCTGTCATCAGGAGTTGTCATGTTAGAGGATAGATGTATAGATTGGGCCAGCTGATAAGAACTAAACATCTTTTAGAGACAGGGTCCTTGACTGCCTGGGCTGTTTGCAATAGGTTTCAGTAATAGGATAACATGATCAGACTCTGGTAGTAAAGGCAGATATTTGGCTAATACAGGAACTGGGGTTGGATTGGAGATAAATACAACCCTTGAAAGTGGCTCACATCTGAGGCTCAGGAGCATTTGCTCATGTGTGGTCTAGGTAGTTAAGGCTGAAGTGGTTGTATAATTATGCCAGTTTATTTAGAAGTATCTTCACACATGAGGGGGTGAAACTTTAAAGTAGGATTGACCAAAGGTAAGGAGTTCGTGTGGGTAAATATTTCAAAACTTTATGATAGATACCTTGTGAAGGATGGATACAAGGGTCAAGATAACCATCTGGGGGTTTACTGAGAAAACAGCTTTGCCCCTCCAAGAGCAGAGATATAGTGTCAGGAGAGATTCTATAGCCAGGAGATGAAGAAGCAATTGGTTAGACCCTGGGAAAGAATTTTTGGATATAGGTCTAACTTTGAACCATGTCTGTTTAATTCTCTACTCTGTTTAACTGAAACATAATGTTGATCAACAAAACTTACCATTTTCTTTGTTGTGTTTTGCTTTATTTTTGTTTTAAAATTAAAAGAAACATTTCATTTTAAGAAAATGCTTTAAAAATATCTGATTTATTTCAGTTAGAAGAGAGGCATGAAAAACTAAGGAGTGGTATGGCCCAGCAGATTGCATATGAAATACATCTGGAACAGCAGAGCGAGGGAGAATTGCAGAAGAGAAGCTTCCCTGACCCTGTTACGGATTGTAAGCCCCCACCTCCTGCCCAGGAATTCCAAACAGCCCGCCTTTTCCTTTCTCACTTTGGATTTTTATCCTTAGAGGCATTGAAGGTAAATTTTAGGAACTTCTATGAATATAAGTGTATTCACAAATTAACCACCAGCTGATGATAGCTATAATACTTTTTATCAAAATGAAGAAAGGTTTAAAACAAGTGAACAAACAAAAACCCAGCCTATACTGCATGAAAATCAGTGGAGTTCTGTGCTGCTGTTGTGGGTTCAGTATGGGCTGCAGGACAGTGCACCTGTGATGGGACGGCTTCAATGGTGAGTTCAGCTTTGAATTGGCTTTTTCATATCATTCTTTAAAAGAATGAAATTAATTCTGTAGTTCTCTAAAATTTTCATGTTTGGTCTTCAGTTTTCTAGTTGTAAGGATTGAATACAGGGCCATGCACATGCTAGGCAAGTACCCTGCCAGTGAGTTACGTTCTCAGTCCCAATCCTGTACTATTGCAATGCAAGCCATCTCTTGTGTTGTATAGTTGGTAAGATTACCTGATTATGGTGGCTCGTGCTTACAATGTAGAGACAAAAGTTCAAGACCCATAGTGAAAGCCTGTCTTAAAAAAAATTAAAATAGGCTGGGCTCTATGCCCTAGTAGCATAGGTAGTAGGTAGATAACTTGTCTGAAAAGTGCAGTTAACCTAGCCATAGGTTACTTAATGTTTTAGGAAAGCAGAAAGACATTGATGTTCGATTTATATTTCAACATGTAGAGAGAATATATTTTATACTATAGAAAATAGTTTGAAATGTGTAATGTAAAATAAAACCTCTTAAAGTGAGAGGCAGAAGCAGGTAGCTAGATCTCTTAGCTAGAGGCCACCCTGTTCTACAAAGTGGGTTTTAAACCAGTTCATAGTGAGACCCTGTCTCCAGATAAAATAAATGCAAAATAAAAGACCAGATAGTGGGAAACAATAGATACAGAAGTAAATAAGGAAGGCACAAAACAAAGATCCATCTACAAATGATTAGTGATATTCCTAGTAGATTAATTACCATAGTAGAAGTAGTAAATCAAAATATTTGGAATGAAAATTATTAAATCCTTTAATAGCCTTGTACCTGAGAGTGTAGTTTTTTCTATTCATGTTAATACTTTAGAATATTTAAGGTTTTAAGAAAATAATGTTCATTGCTTCTCAGACTTTTGCCTAAGATCAAGTAAATAATGTTCATTTTAAAATTTTCTACCAGATTTTAGGGAAAAGTTAGCAAGTTGCAAGTTTATTTTTATGAATTTTAGCATATGTCTAATAATTTAAATAAGATATTGCATAAAAAAGCAACTGCAAACCAATTTTTTGACTATATGTACAAAAGTATTAAAGAGAATGAATGCTGAGTTCTGAGTCAGTAGCATATTAAGTGAATTATCTTACAACTTAATATGATTTGTCAAAGAATATAAGGGGAATTGATTATTGGGAAATATTAGTAAAATGATTAAGAAAATAATTTGACTCCATGAAACAGTAAAATAAATCAAGATTTTTTTTTTGTAGAACAATATTGATTTGATCTTAAAAATATCTGCAAGTAGCCGGGCGTTGGTGGCGCACGCTTTTAATCCCAGCATTCGGGAGGCAGAGGCAGGCGGATCTCTGTGAGTTCGAGGCCAGCCTGGTCTATAAAGCAAGTTCCAGGACAGCCTCCAAGACAATACAGAGAAACCCTGTCTCAAAAACAAAAAACAAACAAACAAAATATCTGCAAGTTTTTGCATAGTATGGGCCCTTAAAGGTCTTTGAAATGTCAGCCCCTCTAACAAGTTACAAGCACCTCTTGGGAAAAAAATCACATAATTTGTACCTTGACCATATGGCAATATATAACAATGAGAAAATTTTAGACAGTTTTTTTAACTCTTGCCCTTAAATAATTGTTGATAAATGAATGTTGAGGAAGATTTACCCCTGTTGTAACATCTTGAATAAAATGGGAAAATGAAAATAAACTACATAAGAGATTTCATTGGAAAGGAGTCAGTTTGAAGGGAGTATGACTTCTTAACTAGGTATCCATCAATAAAATACTTAAAATAGATGACTTAAGAAGTTAATCGCTATTTGTAAGATACACCTCAGAGTACAATGTGATGAACTGTTGTTGATGCCTTAGCTGGGAGAGGTGCATGTACAAGGGCAACAGAGTTTCCCCACAGCTGGTAGTAGGGAGCCGACTCCTGGAGTTCTCTAACCTTCACATAGGTGGATGCATACACTTTACAAAATAAAAATAAAAATTTTAACTGCAATGTGAAGTTAGATGTGGCACTCTAGAGGCAGAAGCAGGCAGATTTCTGTGAGTTTGTGTCTAGCCTGGTCTACTTAGTTGAGTTCCAGGCTAACTAAAGCTACATAGTGAGATCCTGTTTCAAAAATAAACAAACAACAAAACATATATACACACAATACTTTATCTGCAGCTGAAATACCAACACAAAATACATTTATTTAAAAAATAAAACGTTGTGCAAAAGCTACAGGAAGAAATCTGATGAAAAAACACAAGTGTGTGAACACTGCTTACATGGTGTGTACAGCATGCCAATATCCACAGTTCCTCATCCACAATTTCAGAGTGAAAGAGGAAAACTGGGACGTTTTGACTATATTTCAAGAAAATTCATTGAGTGGCAAAAATCTGAGCACACGTTTAATCCCAGCACTTGGGAAGCAGAGGTAGGTGGATCTCTGAGATCGAGGTCAACCTGATCTACATAGAGAGCTCCAGACTAGGCAGGGATACATAATAGAACCTTATCTCTAAAACTTGAAAAAAAAATCTGCCTTGGATTAGCATGGGACTGTTTGTAATCTTCTACTATGACTTCTCTTCTGTTTAATATCAGGAAGATAATGTCTGTGGTCAGTGTTTCACAAACCTTGGCAGGAATTTTAAGTATCATATTCAGAGACCAAGATCAGAATCCCTACTGGTGAAAAGAGTAATTCTTACCACCTCTGGGAGTGGCCTTCCTAAAACAACAACAACAAAATCACTGTGGGCAAAACCTTGTTTTGTTAAAATTTTGTTTGGCAAGATCAAAGAAGATAAGGGATTAGAAGAAAAATGAAACAAAAATGAATTTTGGAAGTTAATGGATCTTGTATTTTTCAAGAACCTGTAGTTTTATAGACCAGTCAAGCAAGAAGTATAGGGAGTGCCTTTACACCTGCCCCCAGAGTTTTCTGGATTAACCAGTTGCATTGATGTGCTGCTACAGTAGTCATGGTTTATAAACCGAAGTCTCTGATTCACTTTAGAATTCAGTATTGTAAAGGTCAGTAGGTTTTGACAAATTGTATAATGTGCTCACCATTGTAGTACTTCAAAAATATTACGGGTTTTGTGTATGTATGCATTTATGGGCACGTGCATGCTCCCATGTGCAGAGTTCCACTGCCACCACAGATCCCTGTAAACACTGGTCTCTCTGCTATCTTCTGTGTTGTTTTGCCTGTTTCCGAATGGCATATGATTGGAATCATGTACAATGCAATCTTACAGTGTTATTTTTCCTCTTAGCAGCAATGCATTTAAAATTCTTCCATGTCTTTTTAGGATTTAATATGTCAGTTTTTCCATTAATAAACAATGTTTATCTATTCACCTATTGAAAAAAATAAACAATTTGTGTATCTATTCACCTATTGAAAAACATCTTGGCTGCTTGTACATGTTGGCAGTTATGAAGTTGCTGTACAATTCATGTCCCATCATTTTTGTGGTTAGGTTTTTCTCTCATTGGAGAAAAATACCAAGGTATGCAGTTGCTACATTGTATTTAAGACAGTTTGTTGGCAAGAAACTGTAACTGTACTGCTGCATGTATATGAGCAATGGATAAGTTTTTAAAATACATTTTATAAAGTTCTAGAGGAACTGGAGAGATGGTTCAGCTTTTAAGAGCGTTGGCTGCTCTTACAGAGGACACAGATGGGGAATGTCCAGCACCCACATGGCTACTAACAACCATTTGTAAATTCAGTCTCAGAGTATCCTATACTCTCTTCTGGCTTCCATGGGCACCAGGCACACATGTGGTGCACATACATACATGCAGGCAAAATGACATTTGTAAAATAAAATTAAATCTCAATTATATATATATATGTACAAATATGTATGTATGTATGTATGTATGTATTTTTGGGAGGGTGCATTCCAGACAGGGTTTCTCTGTGACTTTGGAGGCTGTCCTGGAGCTAGGCTGGTCTCGAACTCAGAGATCCACATGCCTCTATCAAATTTTCTTATATTTTATGAAGCATTATATTCTAGACTAAACAGGCTTTCAAATTATATGCACAGTGTAACCTCAGTTGCCTGAAGCAAATAAAAAATTGAGGCATAAAGGGCATAAACATATTAAGCAGTTTCCTTAGGATTGAAGTTGTATTTACACCTGCTGCATTATAATGTTTTATTTAATTTTGATTAAAATGAGAAAAGGTGGTGTGGTGACAAATGTCTGTAATCCTAGTACTTGAGAGGCTAAAGCAGAAGGATTGCAAGTTGATCGCTACCCTGGCTGCCAAGCTATCCTGAGACACTGTACTAGAATAGATGACTGACCAACCAAAACTATAAATGCTGCTTTATGGGTAGAGTAATGTGGTGATAACAATTGCTCCTCTCTTGTATGACAGGAACCTGCAAATAGTCGTCTACCTCCTCACCTCATTGCACTTGATTCTACCATACCTGGATTTTTTGATGACATTGGATATCTAGATCTCTTGCCATGTCGTCCTTTTGACACAGTTTTTATTTTCTATATGAAGCCAGGTCAGAAAACAAACCAAGAGGTAAGAATTCTGAAGTTTTCTTGTCTTCCGTGTTACAGACACTGTTTGTACTTGACATGAGAATTTTGTATTCTGTGCTTAAGACTTGTTTCACTTAGAAACTTGAATGCTCATGACTCTGCAGTCTAGTTTCCAGAGCCTTTGTACTCTAAAGAAGCATAGCTACAGTAGGAGTCAGTGTGGATTCCTTTCCTTAAGGAATTCATACTCATGAGGCAAAGAACAAACACCTGAAGGTTAGCCACAGGGAGCCAAAGCTAAACACTTGCTGACGATTTTCTCTGGGGCTCCTGCCAGGTAGTGTGAGGCTTTCTTCTCATACTAAGTCACTGCAGCTGAGGTAAAGCATAAAACATGATGAAGTAAAACACAGTTGGATACTAGTAACAGAAAAGACAAGGAGGGTAAAGGGATGTATTATAATATGGGTGAGAATGGAGAGCTGAGAGGAAGGCAGCAGATCTGAAGTTTCTGTTGGAAGCAAGTAACATGTGGCTGTGACTAGAAGAGAGTCAAAGGAAGATGATTTGAATTGCAGTATCATTAACCTAAGTCAGTAACATACCACACCTGTAAAAATTTACCAGCGTTACAGAATGTTTCCATAAGAAGCACTGTTTCAAATAGTGCTTTAGTGAGCTGCGGAAGACTTCCTGAGAAAATTCATTTGTATTACTGACTCAGCACCACTCATTAAGTTTCTGCTTTCTGTTAGGCTCCAGGGTTACAGGTAAACAAGATCTACAGTAAACAGACTGCAGAATTATCTAAGGAAAGGAAGACACTGAAGAAGCATTCATAGTTTATTTGTAGAGGTATTAAATTGTGCCTTAGAAGCCTGAGTTAGATCCCTAGACCTACACGAAGGAGAAAATGACTCCTGACTTGTGTTCTGACCTTCACATGCACACTGTGGCAATCTGCACACTCTTACACTTTCTCTCTTATGCATTTTTTGCTCTCTGGCTCTCTCACACTAAATAAATAAATGTTTAAAAAGAATTTGAGAGTTATGGGTGAAGAAAACAAATATAGAGGTTGATTCTGTGTACCAAAGATAGTTGTGGAAGTGACACATAATAGACTGACTGAGAAATAATAGCTGTAACTTGTTTTTTCCTTCTTGCTTTTCCAGGCTTGTGAACAGGGTGTTGCCATCAGTTAGCATTGTATAAATGACTAGAGATTCATGATGAGCTGCTTCAGTCATCTGAGAGGAGTGTTTAAATATGGCAATTTTAGGATCTTGCTTTTGATAACATTGTAGGCCTGGGCCAAGCTAAGAGAGTCTTATTTTTAGAAAATTCTCCAAATGTTTTTGACACATTCTCCCTGTCTCCTTTTTCACTTCTAATTTGAAAGGAATTCCTTATTTCCTTCCTTTGGAACTGAGCACTTAATAGCAGCTGTTTTGGCCAGGAGGCGGTGGTACACGTGAAACACACACACACACACACACACACACACACACACACACACACACACACACACACACACACACACACACAAAACTTAAGTGTCAATCACAGAGAGCTTAGTCATGTGGCAGTAATCTAATCAGAACAACCATTAATTACACCTTTTTCTTTGCTATTTAAAAATTTTTAATAAATTTTACTATGTAAAAACTGGCAAATAAGAACAACACACACCACCCAAAGGGTGATGATCGAACATGCCTTTAATCTCAGCACTGGGAAGACAGAAGCAGGTGGATCTCTTGTGAGCTCGAGGCCATCCTGGTCTACAAAGTGAGTTCCAGGACAGATGGGGGCTGTTACACAGAGAACCCTGTCTCACACTCACCCCCCAACAACAACCGTTTCTTTGTTGTAGGGGTTGCCCAGTATATTTCAGATCATAGAGCAACATCTTGGCTGTGGATCTCAACATTGTTCTATCACTGTATCTTAGTTTCTTTTCCTTGTACTGTGATAAAATACTCTGACAAAAACAACTTGAGGAGGAAATGGAGCTTATTTAGCTATAGTTCCAGGTTCATTGTGTCAGGGAAGTGAGACAGTAGCAGCTATATGGGGCTGGTCACTTCTTACCATATTCAGGAACCAGCAATGAATGCATGCAGGCTTGTATTATTTCTCCCTTTCATCAGTCCAGAACTGAGTCCATGAATGGAACCTCCTGCATTCAAGGTGGAACTTCCTGCCTCAATTAACCCAATTAAGAAAATCTTTGTCAGGCGGTGGTGATGCACACATTTAATCACAGCACCTAGGAGGCAGAAGCAGGTGGATCTCTGTGAGTTCAAGGCTAACCTGGTCTACATAGTTATAGTTCCAAGACAGCTAGGGCTGCATAGTGAAACCCACCTCACAAACAAATAAGTAAATAAATACAAACCCTTATAGGTAAGCCCCTAGACCACTCTAATCTAAACAATTCTTCATTGAGATTTCTTTCCCAGATTTTGTCAAATTGACACTTAATACTAACCATCATACTGTGATAGCCAAAAATGTCTCCAGGTTTGCCATTGTTGTTTTGACTTCCAGGTGAGAATGACTGTTTTAATTTTTTCTATGTTTTCGTTTCTATTTAGTTTGTGCTTGTGCCTATCCACATGCCATGGTATGTAGGTGGAGGTCAAAGGCCAACTTGTGGGAGTCTGTTCTCTCCTTCCACTGTATGGGTTTCTGGGATCAAATCAGGTGATCAGGCCTAGTAACAAGCTCCCTTATACACTGAACCATTTTGCCAGTCTCAAAACCACTGTTGAGAATGAGGGTCTCCCCTCTCTGGCCAATAGGAGAGGAAACCTTCTGGTTACTTTGTTTTCCTGTACTGTCTTCTCTTCTTTGGACTAAGGAAAGGGCATTTTCATATTCATTTATTATACATAATCTTTACTGAATTTGTGGTAGGCTTGTAGTTTTATTTCATTTGTTAAGGCTGTTACCACATTCCTGTTTAACATTTCTCATTAACAGGCTGTTAACTGTGAAGTCACAGACATTGTACCATTTATTTGTTTTGATTTTTCAAGACAGGGTTTCTCAGTGTAACAGCCTTGGCTGGCCTCAAACTCATAGAAATCCGATTGCCTCTGCAAGTGCTGGGATTAAAGGTGTGCACAACCACAGCCTGGCCTCTTTAGTTTATTTTTAATAAACAAGCCTGCCTCAGTAATCGTTTTGCCAGATGGGTAATTTAGGATTTTAGTTACATCTCACATAATCTTCACAATCATCATTATTCTTACTTTGCTATGGAGAAGCAGAGACAAGGGCCAGCCGGTCCAGGCAACTAACTAAACCAACTCAAAGAACACTCATTTTCACTGTGGTCGGTCATTCCCAAATTCACTCTGAACTGGGCCTTGATTTGTCAAAAGCTTCAAAGCTCAGTAGTTTTTGCATGTCTGTTTTTAATATATCTATATATTCCCCTCATAACTGATGCTTGTGTGTATTTCAGATTTTAAAGAATGTGGAGTCTTCCAGAAACGTTCAGCCACATTTCCTAGAATTTTTGCTTTCCCTTGGCTGGTCAGTAGATGTGGGCAGACACCCTGGTTGGACGGGACATGTGTCTACCAGTTGGTCAATTAATAGTTGTGATGATGGTGAAGTGTCCGAACAAGGTAAAACTCATAATAGCTTTATTATTTCTGATTTGGTTCTTCTTTCTCCTCTCTCCCCTTTCCCATGAACCTTTAGCATTTTAAACAGATGATATGGAGGAAAAGTCTCCTTTCTTCAGTTGTAGTCTTCATGGGGTCACGTCTGGTTTGTATAGTCTCTTCTCTTTTTTAAGTTTTTATATAGGAGGGTTGGATAAAGAGGGGTGTGGATGTACCTGTGGGTGTCAGGACAGCCTGAGGGAATGTGCTCACTCTTTCTTCTGTGAGCTGCAGCGATGAACTCAGGTCAATGGAGGCAAGAGCCCTAACCTTCAGAACCATCTTGCTACCCCTCACGTGTCTAGTTTCATAGATATTTCCTATGTGTGTGAAGATGTAATGGCAGGGTAACTAATATAAAATTAACTACTTAATTATTACTATCTGATGTGTTCCTTTTATATGTGAAGAAACAAATACAACTTCCTATAAAAGTAGTTAATAAGCCTAAGATGTGTCTAATAAACAGTAGTTTCTTAACAAATGGCTTTGTTTAATAAGTAATTTTCTTGCTGGGTGGTGGTGGCACACACCTTTAATCCCAACACTTGGGAGGCAGAGGCAGGTGAATCTCTGTGAGTTTGAGACCAGCCTGGTCTACAAGAGCTAGTTCCAGGACAGCCTTCAAAGCCACAGAGAAACCCTGCCTCGAAACCCCCCACCCCAAAGAAAAGTAGTTTTCTCTACTACCAAGATTTTTTTTGAGTGACAAGAAACAGAGACAGAGAGTCCCTATGTATATGAGGCTAGCCTGGAACAGGTCAGCCTGTACTTCCATGTCCAGGGAAAAAAGAATGTTTGATAGACTTTGTAGTATGCATCTATCTCAAGTTCTTACCCATCTCCACATAGCCTTCTGAGACTCTGTAACCAGGGTAACAAGAATAGTACAGATTGAAACTTGAGGCACAATCTAGCTCACATGTTCCTGGGATCCTGACGTTAAGTGAATAATCTTCAGCATTCATATGTCAAGATCATACTATCTCAGAATTTCCCTTCAGCACCATTATGAACTGACCTCTAGTTTCTTCTGATTTGTAGCATGAATAATAAAAGCCCAGAGACAGGTATTGGGGTTAAAGCTGAAGATCAGATAAGCAAAGCAACCAGCTACTAGCTCAGACCTCTATCTTGTCCTCAGCGTGTCTGCAACTGCAATGCTCTCCATCAAAAAACCTCAGCTGCTCTCAGCGACTACACTGAACTCCTGGCTTATATTTTCTCTAGTGCTGGGATTAAAGGCATGAGCTCTGTTTCTCTTTTAGACTGCTTCACTTTCATGTAGCCCAAGTGGCCCTGAACTCACAGAAATTCATCTGCCTTTGTCTCTTGAGTGCTGGGATTAAAGGCGTGCACCACCACTGCCTGACCTATTATATGGCTGTGGCCAGCTTTGCATTCTGATCTTCAGGCAAGCTTTATTACATCATAAACAAAAATAACCACATTTTTCTCAAGTTGGACTAAAATATTTTGAGATATACTATAATTTTAATTTCCATGTACTCATGAAACATATGCTTCTATGTGTGCATTACATTTCAGTAAGTAGAATTGATAAAAGGATATGCACGTTTTTCATTTCTATAACTATATCACTGAGCATGGTGGGATTTTTGTATATATGGTGCTGGGAGTTGAACTTAAAGCCTAACATGTGCTAGGCAAAATCTACTACTGAGTAGATTTCTCTACACATTTTATAAATTCTTTGAATGCTTATGGTTTTAAGTGACAGAAAACCTGAATAAAACTAGCTGAGATTTTAATTAATTAAAGAAATATTGGCCTGGCATGATGACTCATGTCTTTAATTCCAGTTCTTGGGAGGCAGAAGCAGGTGGATCTCTTTGAGTTCAAGGTTAGCCTGGTTCTTATAGAGAGTTCCAGGCTAGCCAGGGCTACATAGTAAGACCTTGTTTTTTATTTTTTTATTTTTTTTTGTTTTTCGAGACAAGGTTTCTCTGTGGCTTTGGAGGCTGTCCTGGAACTCACTCTGTAGACCAGGCTGGCCTCGAACTCACAGAGATCCACCTGCCTCTGCCTCCCGAGTGCTGGGATTAAAGGCGTGCGCCACCAACGCCTGGCTAGACATTGTTTTTTAAAAAAGTGTGTCACACATGTCAGAGGACAGCACTTTAGAGTCAGTTCTCTAACCTTCTCATGGGTTCTAGGACTTGAGCTTAGGTTGTTAGGCTTTGCAGTAAACTAAACCTGGCTTAAATTTTGAAGATGGTTGATTTCTCCAGGGGACCAAGAAATTCCAAATTGGTTAAGTGTTAATTGTAATGATTAGCACCCCATTTTGTTTGCAGTTTTCTTTTAGATCTGTTCTCTGAATTTTTGCTTAATCCCCACTTGTCTTCTGTCATAGTAAAGAAAGGCAATTTCAGACTTTACATGCATACACCACCTTAGTCAGAAGAGGAGGCTAGCTGGGCTCAAGTCTCTTTTCTCCTTAAACCCTGACTCTGATAGAGGATTTCTATGTAGAGTCAGTCCCACCTGCACTTTAGCTTCAGGCCTGCTCCAGAGTAGGATCAGGCAGAGTAGATGTTGGAATAATAACCATAGAAGATGCACAGTGCCTGCTGAAGAGTTTCAACTGTGACCTGTAACTAATTGTGTAAATAGCATGTTATTGGAACTTAGCCATACTCCCATTTATGTGTTGTATATGACTGCTCTGGTCCTACAGTGACAGAAATAGTTGTAGCAGAGATACAATCCCTGCAGAGCATCAAATATTCACTATCTCGTTTTTTGGAGGAAAAAAAGTGTCAACCTCTGCTCTGAACTTCTTGCTTACCATGTCTTCACCAGCATTAAGTATCTTCTGTTAAGTGAAATCTTTCTTAGTTTTGTGATGGAAAAATAAGCATGTTTCCATATTTTCCTTTTTCTGAAATCTGTGCCAGCTTCCTGTGAAGGTCCTGATCTTTGATGTCATATTGGTTATTGTATGTTCATTTTACTGAGACTTAGACTAGTTCAGTGTTTCAGCTCATTCTTTCTGGTGTACAGCAGATACTTCCTACTAAAACTCCCTGTGTGGTTTTACATCACTGATTACCATAGAAGGGAGAGCAGAAGCAGGGCTTCAGTAGTGTGTCCAGGTCTGCTGTAGTGTAATTTCACAAACTAGAAAATTATATAAATTACTGTAAGGACACTTAACATTCATGGTTTATTCTTCTCACCTACAAATTGGTTTTTGTTGGAACTGCCATTGCTTTATAAAGTGGCTAGAATTCATGAACAGGAGGTAAAGGTGCCCAACTTTCTTAAGTACTGATTCATTCATTGTTCCTTATTCCCAGATGAAGTAACTTCCTCTGAAGATGCTGGGGCTAGTATTTTCAATGGGCAGAAGAAGGTGTTGTATTATGCTGACGCCCTGACGGAGATAGCTTTCGTGGTTCCTTCTCCCGTGGAGTCCTTAAGTAAGAACATGTTTATGCATAGTGCTATTTTAGAATCTGTTTGTATGTTCACCATTTGGTGTGCTATGTTTTGAGCAAAGGTGCTACAACTAGATTATACACAGGTAAGAGATCCTAACATCTCATAATGTTCTCTAGTGTGTTAGTTACTTTTCTGTACTATGACCAAACAGGGACCAGGGCCAGAACCACAGGCTATGACCTCAAAGATCCCTTCCCAGTGACCTACTTCTGTTGACTAGATACCAACTCCTAAAGACTCTGCAGTCTCCCAAAATAGTACTAGTAATCAGAAAGGAAAGTACTTAAAATATGAGCCTACAAGCAGTATTTAAGATTCTACTTTGGTGCTCTGTCTCTATCCCTAGTGACTTGCAACTATCCCATAATACACAATGCTTCAGTCCATCTCTTAAACCACAGTCCTACAGTTTCCACACCATTCAAAAATTTCAAGTCTCTTCTCAGACCCTTAGTAGCTTTCAACTGCAAGCCCTTGTTAAATAAAAAGTTACATACTTCTGATATAGAGTGACATGGAATTAAAAATTGCTTTTCCAAAACCAGGGAGTAAAAATATAGCCAAGAAAGATGAGACTGAAGCAAGACCAAAACCCAGAAGTCCAAATGCTAAATCATGTAATTATGTATCTGGCAGTCTAGGAACATTGTTATGTGATGTGAAGTCATAAGACTTGAACATCCCTGCCCCTATGTCCTTGGCAGTTGTAGTACACTGCCAAGTCCCCCTCTTGGTCTGACTCCACTCCATTTATAGCTTTCCTTGACAAACCTCCCTTGTGCCTGACATCTTATAATTTCGGTTGTAACTTTGGTTTTGCCCTTAACAGTTTAGCACACAGCCTACTCTGGGGCGTCTTGCCAGGTTTCTTAATTCATGGCACATTGCCTGGCCTCACAGGTGCTTCTCAAAGGCTGGGCAAAGCCTCCATGGCTCCATAATTCTTGCATTTTTTAAACCTTTTTTAATTGCAAAAAAAGATTGCATACAGTATAATTTGAAAACGCTTTCATTTGAAAATACTTGGTAGGGTCTAACCCCTTCTTGGTGTATCCTCACAGTACCTTTTTCCTATTGTTCCCACACAAAGTACACAGCTTCTTTTTAGTGGTGCTTGTAGGTAGACGTTTGTTTATTCCACAACTGCTTTCAAATAATCCCTGAGACAATATTATTTACAAATGCTCCGTTGATAGCTCCTGCTTGTTACTAGCTAACTCTTACATTTAAATTAGCCCATGTTTCTTATCTATGCTTTGCCCTGTTGCTTATGGCTTGTTACCTCATTTTCTACATGTTCTGCTTCCTCTGTAGCTGGCTGGTTTCTCCTTTACTCTTCCCTTCATCATCCCAGAATTCTCTGTCTCAAGCTGTCTTGCCCAGTCTCTTCCTGCCCAGCTATCAGCCAATCAGCTTTTTATTAACAATGAGAGCAGTGCATATTTACAGTATACAGAAGGATTACTTCACCGCAGGTACTATTCTCCTTGCTTTGTCTAGGAGTTTAATTATATTCATATTCCTTTCCTGACTAAGCTGTACCATATCCAAATCTTGCCCCCACTTTTGCTCTCAGTTCCCATGTAATCTAGCTGGAAGCAGCCAGCAAGTAACCCTGATACCACTGGATGCTATGATCTCTTGAATTGTTTTCTGCCAAATAAATTAGTACATTATTTTTTATTTCAGCCTCATTGAGTTTTTTAAGGCATGGATAGAATGTAGACAATATTTTTTTTTAACCAGAATGTAACATGGATGGCCTCTGGTCAGTCCTTAGTAGAATCCTTGTTCTGAACTCAGTGAGCAGTCTTTACTGTCTGTTTCTGTTGACATTTCTGGTCCTACCAGAACTGACCAATAAGCTCTACTTACAGCATTCTAAAGCTCATTTAGCCTGCATCTCCAAACATCCCCCCGCATATCAGTTCTTAAGGCCTAAGAACCACATGATCAAATTTGGTCACAAAAGGTGCTCTACTTTGTTACCAGTTTTCTGTGATCGTTTTATATTTGACCTTGTTTGCTTTGTATTGCTGTCACATGACACCAAAACCAAGATGGGAGGAAAGGGTTTCTTTTCTCTTCCTTGTTTTTTTAGACAGGGTTTCTCTGTGTAGCTTTGAAGCCTGTTCTGGAACTCTCTCTGTAGACCAGGCTGGCCTGGAAATCACAGAGATCCTCCTGCCTCTGCCTCCTGAATGCTGGGATTAAAGGCGTGCGCCACCACCACTCAGCAGGTTTATTACATCTTAAAGGTTAGAATCCTTCATCAAGGAAAACTAGGGCAGAAGCTCAAGCAGGAACCTAGAATCAGCACTAAATTAAAGCAGAAACCATGTAGGGATGCTGCCTACTGGCTCTGTTCCCAGGCGTTTCTATTCAGCTACTTTTGTTACACAGCTCAGGCCCACCTGTGGAGACATGCCACATCCACAGTGGGTTGAGTCCGCAGGTCAGTCTGACCAAGGCATTTGATCATTAGATGTTCCCTCTTCCTAGGCACATTGACAGGAAAACTAACCTAAACAGTGTTGGTGACAGATATCTGACAGGAATGAGGGGAAAAGGTTTACTTCTGGTTGATGGTTCAGAAGTTCTCATCCCCAAGATGACAGTGGCATGATACAATGGCTTTCTCTAAGGCTATGCAAGCATATAACAAAGACTTTCCACCAGGGCAGACCAGGAACGGGGTCAGAACCAATGTCTAGTTACTTCAAAGGACCTTTCCCAGTGACCTACTCTCCCCATCCAGGCCTTACCCCATAAAGGTTCTGCAGCCTCCCAGCTAAAGAAGTATTCCAAGCATGAGACTGTGAAGATCTAGCAGGGCATACTTAAATAAGATAACTTATTTTTTTCTTTCTTTCCTGTGATATTTTCATAAATATATGTTGTGCTGCACATTTCCCTACCAGTCTTTTGCTTATCCCCCATACATACATAGTTAAATTGAAATTCAGCATGAGAAAAAACATGTTCTAACTTGTCTATCTTCCCCAACTCTATTACACTCTGTTGTTCCCTTCTCACATCAGGTTTATTCCTCTCTCTTTCTCCATGTCAGAGGTATGTATAGATGTCATATGAGAAAATGAAATGCTTGTCTTTAGGAGTCATTTCATTGGAAACCATGATTAATTTCCTGTGACAAAATTTCATTTTTCTTTATGCAGTCATCTAATGATAGGTATAAAATATTCTTTAACTACAACCACAATTCAACCCTAGCTTTGTCTTTCCTCTAACTTAACCAGTATATACAGGTTTTGCTTTCTGCTTTGGTCATTCCTTTCACAAATTATGAGTGAAGCACACATAGCTCTTGATTCCCATGTGAGAGTTTTTATATGGAACCCCATATAAACTTATAGCTAGGGGACCTCATGATGAAATCACATGGACAATAAGCTGAAAAAACTTGAGCCAGTCTAGAAAAGGCACACTTATGTGATTAATCTTTCTTAATCTAAACTCACAGGTTTATTTTGCTTAAAATAATTGTGTGAGCTTAGAGAGATGGCTCAGCCTTTAAGAGCGCTTGCTCTTCCTAGTCTCATCTCCAGAGTAAAGACTTTTGCTGTGTCTAGCTTAGTAGCTTCCCCACCTTTGTACTTGACCTTGATTTCTCACTGTAGGCTCCCATCTGTTTCATGCTCTATCATTTTTGTCTCTAGTAGAATGGCCTTCCATGATCAGTATCATAGTATTGATCTGTCTTCCATTCAGAGCTGTGATCTGCCTCCTCATTCCTACAGTTGAGGCCCAGCTGTCTTTTGAGTTGAGTACCTGCCTAGTTTCTTTGGTTGAATAGTCTGAACCAACAGTCTTCCCAGACCTAGAGCCTTTACTCACACTGTGGCTTCCCACAATTGAGTCTTAGCCTGCGATCATGGTATCTGCCTAATGCCACTTGCCATTTGTGGGCTGTGACTCAGATCCTGTTAATATTTATATTTTGGGGCTGGAAAGAAGGCTCTGATGTAGAGTATTTGTTGCTCTTTCAGAGGATCCAGATTTGATTTCCTGTACCTATGTAGTAGCCTACAACCATCTATAACTCCAGTTCCAGGGAATTCTGACTTTCTTGGGCACCAAGCATACATGTAGTGCATATACATGCATGCAGGCAAAACATTTGTTTGCATAAAATAAAATATCTCTATTTTCTTGTGGATTTTGTTCATTTCTTTTGTTTTTTAATTCCACCAGGTTTGTTTTATCTCCCACCAGATAGTTCTTTAAATTCAGACTAGGTCCTTGGTAGCCTTCAGGTGTCTCAGTGTCTACTTAGGATGGTGCTTTTGATTGAATACATAAATAATTCAGAGAATAACAGACAGCTTTGAATTTATAATTTTCTACTCTTACTTCAGTTATCCTGTAGAGCAGGAGATGATAAACTGTAGTGGACAAACCAGATTCAGCCAAGAATGAGCTTTATAGTTTTGAAAGATTGAAATGTTTCTTTTATGTGTATGATTGTTTTGCTTGCATGTATTATGTGCACTGAATGCATGCCTTTTGTGCCCATGAAGGCTAGAAGAGGGCAGGGATCCCCTGGAACTGGAGTCACAGATGGTTCTAAGCCACCTTGTAGATGTTAGAAACCAAACCCAGGTCCTCTGCAGGAGCAGCCATTGCTCCTAACTGCTGAGCTGTCTATCTCTTCAGTCCCAAGTTTTACATTGTTTCAAGTGTTTTGAATAAAATGCAAAGAAGAGTATGCAACAGAGACCTCTGTGATCAGTAAATCCTACAGCAAGGTCACCTGCTCCTTCATGGGATGTCTGCCAAGACTGGCTATGGGGACAGTGCTTGGCTTTCAGTCAGTCAAGGTAGTTAGACTAGTCAACATAATTAAACTTCTGCTCCAGAGAAGTAGCAAATATTGTAATTTTTTTCTTTATCTTACAGCTGATTCCTTGGAAAGTAATATCTCAGACCAAGATAGCGACTCAAATATGGATCTTATGCCTGGAATTCTGAAGCAGCCACCCCTGACACTTGAGCTGGTCCCAAATCATACAGACAGTCTTAATTCCTCGCAGAGAGTAAGTTGTTTTATTGATTTGCCCAAAATCTTGTGGTGAAGTGGCAGTAATTGTAGAACCAAGTCTTAAAGTTTCTAATGTTTTATAATGTAGAAGAAGGTATGCCAAGAGTACTAATTCATTAACTGGAGTATTTTAAAATAAATTTTTCATTTTTCTAATCTATAATAAATAGTTGGATCTAAGACAGTGTTTTCCTTGTTTTTGACATTCTGGTGCCCTGGTCAGTTCCCCTGCTCACTCCTGTTTAATCTGAGGCTTTCTGTTGTCCTTAATATCCACTAAGCATTACAGCAGGAGCTGTCTGTAGATTTCCCTATCTCACATTATTCAGCTAAGAACTGACTGTACAAAGCTGGCAGTTTTGGAGACTCTGTGTACTGCATTTCTCCTTTGTCTGTTGCTTTGCTTTCACCTTTTTAATGATCCATGCTCAACTAAGGTTTAAAAACATTAAAAGGAAAATTGTAGAAATAAGCAGTTTGTAAGTTTCAAATAATGTAGCATCTGTATAGCTTGGTGAAATCTCACAAAATCCTGCTACTTCCAGCCTAGGATGTTAATCATCCTTTTGTTCAGCACCTGTATCTTGTATGTGCTACCCTACCCAACCCCATCTTCACCTGCCACCTTAGTATTGGTTTGGTGTCATGAACTGTAGTATTGTGATGCTTATATTAAAGTTAACCTTACAATGCCTAGCACTGTGTCACAGTGTTTTACTGTGGCTCATAGGGCATTTCATCACCTTATGTCATCACAGGGAGAGGAATGAATATAGCATGGAAGGATTCTTGAAGGAAAGAAGGACCAAATTCACATAGGCTTTTACTGCAATATATTGTAATCATTCTGTTTTATTAATACATTTATTTCAAGTGTTTCTCTGTGGTGTGGTGTGGTGTGGCGTGTGTGTGTGTGTGTGTGTGTGTGTGTGTGTGTGTGTGTGTGTGTGTGTAGTTGTGCACTGGAAAAGAATGCATATAGGATTAGGTAGTAACTCTGGTTTCAAGAACCTATAGAACCTGGGCGTTGGTGGCTCATGCCTTTAATTCGAGCACTCGGGAGGCAGAGGCAGGCAGATCTCTGTGAGTTTGAGGCCACCCTGGTCTACAGAGCGAGTTCCAGGACAGCCTACAAAACAATACAGAGAAACCCTGTCTCAGAAAAAAACAAAACCTATGGAGAGTCTTTGAATGTACCCCCATGGATAAGGGAGTCAGCTGTGAATGGCTAACTCTATTGAGTATGGCATACAACTACTACTACATACGAAGAGCCTTTTGCTTTTATACTTATCAGTGGATGTTGTCTCTTATCTCTGTTTACCCCTTAATCTTTACTGAAAAATGACCAAGTAAGTGGTAACAAGAATAAGATTGATTTAAAACAAATAATTAAAAAGGCAAAATGTCAACCTGGCCAAAGTCATTCCTGAATTTATATAGGAATTTAGGCAGTGAAAATTATTTCTCGTCTTCCCCTCTGCCTCCAGTACTAGGGATTAAGCTTAGAGACATGTTAGCCAAATGTTCTCCCACTAAACTGTATCCCTAGTCCTCTTATTTTTATTTTGAGACAGGTTTTACTAAGTTGTCCCAGCTGACCTGGAACACATTCTGTAGCTCAGGCAAACCTTGAACTTCTTATTCTCCTGCCTCAGCCACATCAGTCATTAGGTGTAACGATGAAGGTTATTTTTTTAGCATAGATACATGCTTAAGGCCTCCACTAATAAAATTATTTAGTAAAAATATCAAGTTATATGACTCCTAATAACGGACTGGTTTTAAACTTCAGGAGGTTAAGAGGCTTCACAGAACACAATTTGAAAAGAATAGGGAATACAGACATTCAATGGCTGCTTGCCCTGATCCTCATGTTCTGCATGCTGACAGGTACGCCTTCACATCCAGAGAATGACAGCTCTTAAAGCATGTTGCTTTTTATCATGTATTCTTTTCAGACTAGAAAAAATCAAAACTGTTTAATACTTGCTGGTGAGGAGTCAGTCTCAGCAAACCCTGAACAGAAGTGAGCCTCTTTAACATGCTAAAGCACACTGACTAAAGAGCTCCAAGATGTCTGCTCTTTCTCCTGCTTCTTAGTGGAGAAGTGGAGTCTAACACAGAGCAAAGAGTAAAACTGTATTTGCCAATGGCTTGACTGTGTACAGGAAACCTTAAGGGATCTGTTTAAGTCCATTGGAATCATTAAGTGAGCTTATTAGCAGGACTGAAGGAAAGGCCATTGTGTTGACCCAGGTTTAAAGATGACCCCCAGTGATCTTGCTCTTGTGTCCTTCTCTTTTGTTTGATAAAACTATGAATATGATAGGGTACCCCATGATTGTTTATGTTTTACGGCAAAGGGAGTTTGTCATGAAAAGAAAAAAAAAATCACTGATCCTCAGTAAAAGAGAATCTCATGAGTGACTATAAGTATGTTCAAAGATGGCTACCTGTGGTGGTACACACACCCCTTTAATCCCAGCACTTTTGAGGCAGAGGAGACAGATTTCTGTGAGTTTGTGACCAGCCAGGGCTACAAAATAAGGCCCTGTCTCAGAGGGGGGAAATTAAAGAAGGCACAAACAAATTCCTGAATGAATTATAAGAAAAAAAAAAAACCCAGCTGAATGAACGAGAGAGCTGATACAGGAGTAAATGAAATGCACAGGGTAAGAGTATATGTCTTCACACCTGACAACTTGAGTATGATCTCTGTGACTTACATGGTGGAAGAAGAGAACCAACACTCACAAGTTGTCCTCTAACTTTACCATACAAGCTATAGCATGCACATAAAAAATAAATGTAAATTTTTTTTCAGGTTTTTGGGACAGGGTTTCTCTGTGTGCTTTGGAGCCTGTCCTAGAACTCAATCTGTAGACCAGACTGGCCTTGAACTCACAGAGCGCTGGGATTAAAGGCTTGCTCCACTACCGCCTGGCTATAAAATTGTTTTTAATTAAGACAGTCATTACAAGCTATGAAAGAGTGATTCAATAAAGAGAAATAGTAAAGAAAAACAAATTGAAATACTGGAAATGAAAAACACAGTAAGATAAATAAGAAAAACATTACTAATAGAAGTGATCAAAGAGAATATCAGAGTTTGAAAGCATGGTAGAGAAATTGGGACATGTGAACATGGACACAGATAAGAAAATAAGAGCAGTACTTTCAAGATTTATGGATACCATGAAAAGATCAAATCTAAGAATTGTGGGCATAGGAAAATGAGAATTCCATTCTAAAGACAGGAACCATTTCAGTAGAATCAGAACATTTCCCAAAATTAGAGAAAGAGATGCCAGTCCAGATACAGGAGGCATTTAGAATGGGAGTAGACTAGAAAATGAACCTCCCGCAATCCAGTATGATTGAATCACTAAATATACAAAGGAAATACACTGGGCTGGGGAGGTGGCTCAGTGGACAAAGTGGTGGCAAAAGAGCTGAGTTCGATCACTGGACCACATAAAAAAAGCTAGGAATGACGGTGTTTGTACTCCCAGTGCCGGAGAGAGAAGTGGTTCTGAGTCTGTCTGGCATGCCAGCCTAGCCTTCTTTGTGAGTTCCAGGTCAGCACAAGACTTCTAAGGTAGTGAGTTATCTCAGTTGATTGTTCACAGTCAGATCCAGAGTGAACTCCTGTTGTACATTTCCCTTTCTCACTACTTACTTGACTAGTCTAAAAAAGATCCCATCTTTATAATAGTGGACAACACCAGAGGAACAACATCCAAAGTTGTACTCTGGCCTCAAACAAAATGTGTATGTGTACACATACAAAGAAAATACTGAAAGCATCAAAATAGAAACACCAGGTCATATGTAAAGGAAGGCACATTAGAGTAAATGCAGATTAATTTTTCAACAGAGTCTTCTTTTTACAGATTTTGTTAGGTTTTTTTTTTTCCTTTTTGGGGTGTTTTTGAGACAGATTTTCTCTGTGTAACCCTGGCTATCTTGGAACTCAGTCTGTAAACCAGGCTGGCCTCAAACTCAGAGATCCACTTGCCTTTGCCTCCCGAGTGCTGGGATTAAAGGGGTGTGCCACCACGCCCAGCTCTTTTCATTTTTAAGAATATAATATAGTTACATCATTTTCCCCTTCTTTCCTTTTTTCCCCCTTCCAAATCTTCCCATATATCCCTCCTTTCTCTTTTTCAAATTCATGGCCTTCTTTTTTTTCTTACTAACTCCTCCATCTTCAACAGAAACTTTTTAAAACCATGGAGAATGATGTATTTTGTAAGGCAACTCAGACTGCTATACCCAGCAAAACGGTCATAATTGAAAGAGAAACTTTCTGTGATTAAAAACAGTCTAAAAGAACTCATGACCACTAAACTAAAAGATACTGAAAGGAATCCGTTGAACTAAATAGAAAGCTAAATACATCTGCGAGGATATATGAGTGGGCAGACTGTTAGTTAAGCAAGAGAGAACACCATTCTAAGACCAACAGAATGGCAGGAGTGAATATTCTCCTGTTAATAATACTTTTCAGTAGTATGGTCTCATTTCTCCAATCAAAACACAGACAGAACAGATTGAATTTTAAAGAGGGATTTGTTGCCACCAAGAAACACACCACAAAAGACAAATAAAACTAACTACCTTAGGGTTAAAGGATGGAGGAACAAGGAATCAAGCCTTTGTTGTTGTTCTAAAGCTGATAAAAATATCCTTCAAACCAAAACTAGTCCAAAGAGGCCCTCCATATTCTTCAAAGAAACAGTCCATTAAGGGGACATTATAATTCTAAGATATATATTGAAAACGGGTGCACACAGGTTCATAAAGCAAATACTACTAAATGTAAATTCACACATTAACCCTAGCATAGTAAAAGTATCCAATATTCATCATTTGACAGGTCATCCCAACAAAAAATAAACAGAAGAACAGGTCATTCAATGGTGTATAAAACAAGTTTTAACAAGTGTAAATACTAATGACAATTAAACAATACACTCGAATAATGAGTAAGAAAGAAGAAATAAGGAAATAGAGAAATCCCAAGTATCAAATGAAAATGAAAACAAATACCAAAAATGTGAAATACAATGAAAGCAGGCCAAAGCACAGGATTATAGCTGTAAATGCCCACATATATGAGATCAGTTAGATTTGGATAAGCTAACAGTTTGCATTAAGATCTGGAAAAACTAAGAACAGATCAAACCTAGCATCATTAGAAAAAATTAGTGAAATGGAAACAGAAGAACTGTACAAAGAATCATTGCAGCAATGAGTTGGTTCTTTCACAAGATGGACAAACCTTCAGCTACGCTAACTGAAGAAGAGAGCCAGGTGTGGGGGGGCATACCTTTAATCCCAGCACTGGGGAAACAGAGGCAGGTGGATCTCTTAGTTTGAGGCCAGCCCAGTCTAGAAAGTGAGTTCCCAGGACAGCTAGAGCTATTACACAGAGAAACACTGTCTGGAAAAAGAAAAAGAAAAAAGAAAGAGAAATCACAAATGGATAAAACTAGAAATGAAAGCAAGCAGAGTTTCTTATGACAGATAACAATGAAATTCAGAAAATCATCAGGAAATTCCTTAAAAATGTGTATTACACAGAAAATCTAAAACACAGACAGTTTTCTAGGTACATAGAGCATACCAAAATTAAACCAAAGTGACATCTTTTTAACAGATTTATAACAAGCAACATTGTTGAAGGACTTAAAAAAGAAATCTTTCCTAAAAGAGAGCCAGCCTAGATTAGCTTCACTGCTGAATTCTCTGACTTGTAAAGGATTAACACCCATGCTTCTTAAGCTGTTACCAACAGGAAGGGATGGAGCACTCCCAGAGCCTTTTCTGAATCATGTGTGCATGAGCTTGCCGTAAAAACCAGTGAACTCTTGTCTTTTGTAGACAATATGAGGAAAATCAGGTATAGATTGCAACTGGAATATGTCATTTTAGAGACTAAGATCCCCAGACAAAGTAGTGATATTTCTTTCTGGCCACAATGGAGATAGATTCAATCCTTTAAACCTTTGTTAAAACATGACATCCAAATTTTATTGCTATTCATGCAAATTGTAATTGTTTAGTACTCCTTTGGTACTTAAAAGTTATATAACATTTACGCATGCACCCCGACTGTGCACAAGTACATATATGCCATTGTGTATGTGTAGACATCAGAGGACAACTGACTTCTTGAACTTGAGTCATTAGGCTTGGTAGCAAGTGCCACCTCCCTGCTCCTCCTCTGATTCTGTTAAACCTTATTTCCCTTTCTGGGTCAAGCTCTTAAATGGAGAAAATGTAGAAGAGGTTTTTGTGCAAATGTATTTCACACTTCCCAAGTGGCTTTGGTGACATAGACATGCCTCTAGGCATCTTGATAAATGTCTGACCAAGTAGTTTAAAAAAAATTCTTTCTCCTCTCTTCTTTACTTAGCTCAGTCCAAGTTCCAGAATGAAGAAGCTGCCTCAGGGTCGCCATGTGCCTCCCCTTGGACCTGAGACAAGAGTGTCTGTAGTTTGGGTGGAACGCTACGATGATATAGGTACTGTATGAGGAAAGAGGTTTTCTTGAAGAATAATTAATGTGGGTACAGAGACTTGAAGTTCATAAACCTGGTTTTGTATTCCAGCCTCTTTATCCTTTTTCAAAAAACCTGTTAACTGGGAATACTTGTGACCCTTAAGTTTTAGTTGTGAATATTTGATAGACTAATAGATACAAAACTGTTGGCTGTTTCATTGATATCCTAGTCAATGTTCCCAGTCTTCCCAGGAGCTCTGGGCCACCTTGTCCATGGGTACAGTTGGTCTCATTTATATAATTGCTTCCTTTGTCCTTAAAAGTTCTGCCATGGATACATTTCTTAGGATTTTTGTGTAAGTAGCTTAAGAATATCAGAAATGCATGCTTAGCCTATACCCCTGTTCAGCTCAGAGTTGATAGGAAAGTGTCACAGATGTTTCTGACCAGGCCCTCACGGCCACAGGTCATATTCACTGAAAGCCCTGTTTTAGGTGAACTTGACTGAAACATGTTGTGAAAGACAATATGTTTTATGTGGGGAGGCATTAGGATTCCATTGTGGTCTAGCACAGATGGTACTTGTTGCTGCCTGTAAAGAGGTTAGGAAATGAATTTGAGAAAATCAGGTGGTGGTAACTGTAATGTTGTTTTCTTCCAGAAAACTTTCCCCTCTCAGATCTGATGACAGAGATCAGCACTGGTGTGGAAACTACTGCAAATAGTAGCACGTCTCTGAGGTATGTCCTCTTGTTTGAGTTTATCAGCATGTCTCTTTTTATCAGTTGGTTACAGCTTAATAAAGAATAAAGAATTCTAATCAAACAGTGGTTAAAGGCAAAAGAGTAAAGAATCAGGAGATGGAGAAATGGCTTGGGAGAGTTAAGAACACTTGCTCTTACAGAAGATCCAGGTTTTGTTCTTAGGCCCCACCCACGTGGTGACTCACAACCACCTGTGTAATTCCAGTCCAGGTGTCTGACCTCTGAGGGCAACAGGTACAAATGTGCACATACATACATACATACATACATACATACATACATACATACATACATACATACGTGAAAAGTACTTATACAAATAAGAATAAACAAAATACAGTTTTTAAATAAGAATCAAAGAAGGGGCTGGCAAGATGGCATATTTTTGGCCCCCTTTTCCATGTTCGAATATTTGGTAGACTAGTAAATACAGCTGTTAGCTATTCCATTGGTCTCCCAGTCAGTTTCCAGGAGCTCTGGAGAAGGGAAATGCCAGCATGTGAGATGCTCAGAAAAAAAAAAATTAAAAATTTACCTTATTGAAATATAGTTGTTATACAAAAAGTTGTATATATTTATCATGTTTAGTCTGTTAAGTTTGGAGGTATATTATACACATGAAACCATCACAATATATCCTGTAAATATGCATATCACTTCCAGAAGTCTCCTACTACCCATGGTATCTACTATTTACTATTACTACTACTACTACTACTACTACTACTACTACTACTACTACTACTACTATTTGCTCTGCCCCTTATATTTTTAATAATACAATACAGTGTTACAGACTTACTTGGTACAGTGGATACAACTTCTAGAACTTACTCTGCATAACTGAAATTTTGTATTCTTATAATAAAAACCTTCCTTTCCATCTTTTAAGTATGTGCTCTCTGACTTTATTTTATGTTCTTCAGATAAATGCCATTATGTAGAATTTATCTTCTTATGCCTGAATTAATTCTCTTAGATTTATTCCAACCCTTGTTAAAAAAAATAAGGTCATCTGTTTGGCGGCCAGATATTTAGCCCTCTGCAATACATTTGCCTGTTTTTCCTACCCCACATACCTAGAAGTCGTTTTTAAGAATCTTTTTTTCAGACTATTCCTATTTTAAAAGCCTAGCCCCAGGAATAAGTGCTTGTGATCGGTGGTTCCAGGTCACAGCAGCATGGGTTCCAGGAAGAAGATTCCAAGCAGATGCTGCTTAGACTTTGCTAGCAACAGGTCCCCAGGCCCTGGTGTGAGTTCTTACATCTCATAGGGAAGATTATTGTGTCTGAACTAAAATGACTTATCTTTTCTAAGATCTACAACTCTTGAAAAAGAAGTCCCTGTAATCTTCATCCACCCTTTAAACACTGGATTGTTCCGGATAAAAATCCAAGGAGCCACTGGAAAATTTAACATGGTCATTCCCCTTGTTGATGGAATGATAGTCAGCCGGCGAGCACTTGGTAAGGGCTTTGTGTGCTGAAGGGCTGTGGGCCTTGCTTTCTTCCTTTTCCCTAACCTTTTTATTTTAGTCTTACTCTTTGGCAATTTCATACACGAATTTAATGAATTTTAGTTCTTTTTCACCTCACAGTACCTTGCGCCTCATTCCTCTTCTCCTGAGGTCCTGTCAACCTTTCGTGTCTTGTGTGTGTGACCCACTGAATTTAAATAGGGCTCCATGTATATGTGTGGGTTGGAGGTTATTGTAGCATAGGATGTTGGTGACTAAACCACTGTTTGCCTTCTTTAACACTTTCATAAACCACAAATAAGTAAGGAAATGGTCTTAACACTTCATAGTTGCTGCATGTAGAAAATCCTGCTGCCTGTATAAGAAGGGGGGGCGTAGTATTATCATCTGTTTAAGCTTTAATCTGATGATACAAGGGGCCTTCACTAACTGAGTGAACTAACTAACTGAAGAGGAAAACAGCTATTCCGGTACAGAAAACACGGACTAAGGAAAAGCAGGCTTTGACTCTGGTTCTGTGCTGCTGTCACTCTCAGTAGTTTTGTCTTGGTGCCGTGTTTGTCTCTGAGATGATAACTCATGGGATTGCAGGGAAAGAGTTACGGTCCCCTGAACACAGCTTACTGACAGTCATTCTTATCTGTTTTCAAGGCTTTCTGGTGAGGCAAACTGTAATAAACATTTGTAGAAGAAAGAGATTGGAGAGTGATTCCTACAGTCCACCACATGTCCGTCGGAAACAGAAAATCACTGACATTGTCAACAAATACCGGAATAAGCAGTTGGAGCCAGAGTTTTATACTGCTCTTTTTCAGGAGGTTGGACTCAAGAACTGCAGTTCTTAAGCACAGTTTTTCCAGGGCAGTGGACTGCAGAATGGGCTCAGACATCAAAGCAAGACAGCCTTGAAAAATAAAAGCGAATCACTCCCAGGAACTCACTATTGAATCACCAGAAGAAACACGATGTGAAGCCACTGGTTCGAGGACCACCAGCTTTCTGATGAATGGACCTCACATAGTCACACTCCTGCTGAAAATGACAACAAGCATTTTAGCCATAAACTTTCTTTTAAAGTGACAGTTTTAGTAAAATACAAGCCTTTTGAGGATAAAGGCTTTAATGCATCAGTTAAATACATGCATTGGTAGTGTCAACAGGCTTACAAGTTAGGAGCTGAAGATAGTTTATACCTCGCTTTTTAGGAGGGTGTATTCAGAACAAAAATCAGTCTCAGAATCTTCTGGAACTTTTTAAGGCTCAAGTTGACACTGTGGAGAAGGAAAGAGGCTGCAGCTCTGTCCTCACGTTTTGATCCATTTGTCACCTGTCACACTGACAGGGTAAAACATAAATGGGTTTTGCTCAGTTAAGTCTGACATTAAAATATTTCCTATTTTCTCTCCATATTTAAGCAAGTTGTCCCTCTCATTGCCCTGGAAATCTGTCACAGGGCCTCAGCTTCTTAGCAAGCAGATGGAAATGGAGGCCCAGCTGTGTTCTCTAATGGCATACCAGTTTGGGTTAAAAGCTGTGAGTTTACAACAGGGACTGAAAATGATTTGGCTTCATCCTTTATTCAGGACCAAGCAGCAAGGTTCAGTAGTTCAGGAAGAAATGCCCCACTGCCACTCACTCAGCTCTTTAATGAGCACCTGGTTTGCAATCCACAGAATCTGTCATCTTCTTAGGTAGCTGCTGCTGTTATGTTCCTGGCCTTAGCCAGCTGAAGGCACAAGTCCCTAACAGGACTCTGGAATATTTCTGCCCCGACTGCTTTTCTGCCAGGGACAAAGCATAGGAGGTGGCCAGAACCAAACTGTTTTAGAAGGACTCCTGTTACAGTGCTCAGTGTATACCTAGTTTTCTGTTTTCTCCTTCAGTAAGATTTTTTTGTCTTAGAAAACAAATGACACATATAGTCCAAAGGAAGAATCAGAGTTGAACAGGGGTGTCCCACTAACCCTCTGTTGTCACTAAGTAATGTAGATCAGGGGTCCACTGTTTGGTGTGAGATTTGTTCTTTTCCTAGAATATTAGGGGCAGTGTTGTACCTGCTCCCCTGTGCAGGTGCCTCCTTTCTAGAAGTATTTGTTCTGCAATCTCTAAGCAAGACCCATGGGTGTAGCAGCCCTTGGTCTAAGTTCGCCACCACCCCCTTTATTTCCCAGCTCAGGTACAGACACCCCCTCACCTTACCCCCCCCCCCCCATGTCTTTCTTGTCCCTTGTGTCCTCTTCCTCTGTGAGTCCAGTTTCCATTCCAGGCATATAGTATTCTGTCTTTTGACTTTTTCTTTTTAAAGTCAGGCAATAATTTAAAGTTTCAGGTGATACCATGGAGTGGGGAATGGTAAAAATTAGTAGTGGGTTTTACCCTAAAAGTATTCTAGTAACTCAGCAAAAAGAGGTAAAATGGTGAAATTGAACAATCTTAAGATGCTTACAGATTGACACTTCATGGGGAAAATGGGTTCTTGTTCTATCTGAGTTGAACAAAGAATCTGTACATATATGTGTGACTTATAACATTCCAGAGGTTACAAATAACTGATAAAGATGTACTTCCTCACCATGATTCTTCTGAAAAACTTTTACTTTCGATATTGTTTAAATGATACCAGAAAGATAGCATACGGGATATGTGTTGGGCGGGTTTACTGGCCCTTCCCCTTCAGTTGGCTCTAGTTTCTAACTGTAATTCTGTTGATTTTGATAAGAGAACAACCATGGCAGATGCAGTTTGAAATCTGGGGTACGTGGTAGTTCCCTAAGGAGGGCTACACACCCCTGAGGCAGAGAAGTTCTAGTGTGCAGAGCCAACACAGCCCCCTCACTGGTTCCTCTGCTCCACACACCATCTACCCACCAAAGGAGTGCGGTAAGAGCCTTGGGCCTCAGAGTGTGATTTGGAATCCTGCTCCCTGAGTTCACTCCTGCCTGCGCTAAGATCACATTGAACAGAATCTTGTCAGAGGAACATACTTAGTACCTACAATAATCTTAGTAGTTCACTTGGTAAATTTGCTAGCACAGGTTCAGAAACTGGGGAAACACTGGAACCAGTCTGGACTGTGGCTTAAACTGCTCAGTTGCTGTATGTGGATGCCCAGGCAATCTCAAAGAGGAATATATTTCCTCAGGGTATTTAGGCTAGTGGCCCCTCCTGTTTACTTCTGAAGCTCGGGGCGGGAGAGGGAGCTTGCTCCTTTGGCAGGAAGCACAGGAAGCAGGCTTCCTAACCTCTTCAAACCTTGCAGCCACATTTCTCATTTGTCTAGTTTCCTCTTAAGACCTCCTGGCCTTTGGCCCCTTGAAAAGAATAATTACAATGGTCAGGCAGCCCTCCCCAGCCATACGGATGCGTGTGCCGTGCACATGTGTATATGAGCATCTCCCTCTTCCAGTGCCCCAATTTTAGAGTAGCTCCACCTCTGGACGCACCTGTAAAAATACCTACACTTTGGCTGGCCCTGTCAGTGTCTGGCTCATGGGTAGGTAGGACAGCCTGGAAGAACAGCTCCCCTGTCTGAGCTGGGGGAACAGTGGTCTTCTACAGACTGACCTTTACGGTGATGAGTTTCCCAGGGTGTATTCCTATTGAAAAGTGGACTTGTCCCACAGAGTCAGCCTTGGGCAGAGATGGATAGATGGTGACAACTATCTGGGTGGTTATTCGACACTCTCATGGCAGCAGCTGTCCCTTAGCATTTAAAGCCTGTTCAGGCTGGACGGATCTGTGTTAACAGTGACCATTGGCACCCACTGCTCTGTTCCCAGCACTCCCTGACATCCCTCTTCCTGAGGGATCCACCTGAACAGTGAGGTCACTGGTCTTGCCTCTGGCAGAGCCATGCGCTTCATAGGGTTTTCTCAGAATAGCCACCCTTGTTCTTCAGACAAGTTTTTTAATGATGAGGAAAATGTGTAACTTGGGATTCCACAGTGCCTTGCATACAGTAGGCGCCCAATACCTATTTGTTGAAGCAAATCAAGTTCTTTGTTCCCACAGTGGCCAAGGTATCTTCCTCTGAAGGGCTTGGCAGTTGTGGCTAAAAACTAAGTATCATTATTTGCTCGAAACCATATTTACAATTTGTATGAATTTCGGTATATTGCCAAGATGGGATCTTTTTCCTATTGTATTTCTGTAAATATTTCTGCCACTGATCTGTAAAGTAAAGGAGATGTAAATATGAAGGTGTGCTGTGTCCCTCGCTGCCTGTGTTGGATCTTCGTCAGCCTGGGAAGAAGGTACAAAGCTGCTGTTCGGATTTATGTCTGTCCTCCACCCTCAAGAGACCCACGGGATATTGAATGTAATACATGCGGTCAATTAAATTTTAAGGAGCTTCTTGTCTAATAACTTGGTGTGTCCTTTTGGTTACAGGTTACAGGCTTGATCACTCTCCAGGAGGGTCTGCTCAGTTTAACTAATCTAGGTTTTCACTCTGTTTTGTTTGTTTGTTTTGTTTTGCTTTGTAAGTTTTCCTGAAATACTCAAAATTAGGCTAATTTTAAGAGAAAAGGACTTGCCCTTCTTTTTTTGTTTTTTGTTTTTTGAGACAGGGTTTCTCTGTGGCTTTGGAGGCCGCCCTGGAACTCACTTTGTAGACCAGGCTGGCCTTGAACTCACAGAGATCCGCCTGCCTCTGCCTCCCGAGTGCTGGGATTAAAGGCGTGCGCTACCAACGCCCGGCCAAGGACTTGCCCTTCTAATGCTGGCAGGAATGTGTAGCATTAAGATACAAAGGCTGAAAGCTGGGGGATGAGTGAGTCCTGGGGTTTTCTGCCTGTAGAGAAAAGTAAGGACATTTCCAGAAGGGGAAGGCACAGAGGTCACCCATGCCCTCACTGCCCCTTTGCACAGGCTGGCTGCAGAGGGTCTTGCAGGAAGTTTGTAGGGGCCGTGAGCCAGGGTCATGGTGATGGCGAATCTTGGAACCATAAGTGGAAGCTGTTAGAATGTCTGCCTCTACTCAAAGCCACCCCTCCGACCTGGCACTGACCCCACAAAGCTGCTCTCCTGCTGCATCTAAACTGCCTGGGACCCAGAGCCGCCTCCCTTCTCACCCATCTTTACCTGCCAGCCACAGAGCCTCCAGTGGGGCCCACTGGCAGAAGGAGCTGACTTAAGTCGCCCCATTTTGGTGTCTGTGAGAGTTTCATAGCTAGCCAAAAATATAAACATTAGAATATTTCCACCTCTGCTGGGCATTGATGGTGCACACCTTTAATCCCAGCATTTGGGAGGCAGAGCCAGGTGAGACTAGCCTGATCTACAGAGCAAATTCCAGGACTGTTACACAGAGAAACCCTGTCTCCGGAAAAAAAAATTCACCTCTGTAGCTCAGTTCTCTGACACAACCCCAGCACCTAAAAATCCCAGCAGAACTGCTCCTTTTCTGGTCCCTGGGCTTGCACTGTCCACAGCCTGCCTGCATCCTGCTCTCTGGTATATGTTTGTATACTGTTCGCCCAGACCCCTTCTGTGGGTCCACTCAGCCTGGTTTAGTTCCCCTTCTGCATAAACTGCCTACACGATTCACCCTCTAACCCCATTTTGATGACCAGCTTCCCAGTCTAGAACCTCCATGATGTCAACCTGGGCTCTTCAGCTATGAGATGGTGGGTTCTCACAAGGCAAGCCTGCCTCCCCCGCAGTCCTGACTGACCCTCAGGGGTGCAGTCTCAAGATGAAGGTCAGTGACATATTTAATGTATGTCCAGGCCCCATTCATCTGTTTTAAGACTTTCTAGGACCTCCAATGCCCACTTCCTGCCACAAATGTTAGTAAAAATGGGCCAGGTAAGGGAGTTGTCTTGCCCACTGGGATAAACTAAAACTCCTAATAAGGATAAGTGGGGGAAACTTCCAAACAAATTACTGTTAAAGTTTTATGTGGCTGTTCAGTGAGTGATGGACAGATTTAGCTACAATGTTCTACCAAAATTTGATCTCATCAGTTTGTACCTGGAGGGGCGGATGCACCCAAGATGTTTTCCTCTTCAGTGTCTATATTGAGACAGGGTCTCTCACTGAATGGATCTGGCCATGTCAGCTGTTCTGGTTAGCCAGCTTCACTCTAGGGTTCCCTGCTCTACAGGCGGGCTGGCAAGCCCACCTGACTTTCTGTGGATTCTGGAGATCCCAACTCTGGGCTTCATACTTGTGGGGCAAGCATTTTACACACACACACACACACACACACACACACACACACACACACACACACACACACCCTGCCCCCACCTCCTATTTTAAACTTGGGAGTAAAAGCCAGACTTTGGGCTGTTGTGGGGGAGGGCAGTGTGGCGATGCTGGACCTGCCTTTCCTGTGCAGCAGGTGTTGCTGGAGCTCCCCAGCCTCTTACCTTCCAGCACCGAGCGCCCTCCATTTCCCTGCCCCGCAAGCGTGGCAGTATATGTGTGTATGCGCTACTGGAAGGCAGGACCCAGGGGCCTGGTTCCTGGTCACACTAACCACGAGTAGGCAAGTACCTTAGATGGGCTGACGTTTGTCCTGTATGTTTCTCTGACTTTGGGATTCCTCAGTTCACTTTCAGAAGATAGGAGGCTCACATGAGCCCAGTAGCTGCTGGGCCAGTTCAGCCCTGGCCGTCTTTCTCAGAAGCCAGCCTGTCTCTCAGCCAGACCCCTTCAGCTTCCTCTGCTGCAGGCTCTCTCTGTGACTTCCTTGTTGCATCACACTCACTGTTAAGTCACAATTGGGCTGAAAGCAGAGCCTGGCCAAGCTACCAGGTCCGCAGGGGCAGACTGGCCGCTCAATCCAGGCGCCCCGCATGGCTGCAGGTGCACGATGAAGTACCCTCTGGTACCCCTGGTGAACGACATCACCCTCTCTTTCCTGGTGTTCTGGCTGTGCCTGCCTGTGAGCTTGCTGCTGTTCTTGATGGTCGTCTGGTTGTGCTTCTTACTTAAGCAAGGTGAGCTGATCCAGGCTGGACTCTTCTTTTTTGGAGCTGGGCAGGGGCCTAAACAGGATAGTTCCCTGAGGCAACATCAGAAAGGGAGTCCATGGCATTTTAAGTGCAACTCCATTTGAAAAGCTTTTCCTTTCCCTTCTTTCTTCCTCCCTGTTGTTTTTTGTTGTTTGTTTGTTTGTCTTGTTTTGTGGTGGGATCTCACTAGATAGCCCCAGCTATTCTGGAATTCACTATGTAGACCAGGCTGGTCTTAGATTCAAGTCCAACTGCCTCTGCCTCCTGAGTGCTGAGATTAAAGATATTCACCATCATGCCGGCAGTTGGGAGTTTCTTAACAGAATGTCTGAGTTGGACTGACACATATGCTTGTCTGCTGCTGTCCCTCAAGGCCATTGCTAGTGCACAGGCTGACTGCTGAATTAGAAAATGGTGCCCCTTCCTGTGTGAAAGGCACTGAGCAGAGCTTGGGCTGGCGCTCAGCTTCACTTGGACCCTTCCCCGTGTGCTTTATAAACAACATGATCGACAGGGCATAGCAGCCTTTGCTATCTTGGAGTGCTCACACTATCCTGGGTTTTGGCCAGACCAAACTCAGAAAAGAACTGGCCTTCTCTAGAGCACAGGATCATGGAAGCTTGTTGACAAAGGTCCTGGCTTAACACACTATCAAGAGTAGCTAAAGCAACAGTTCTCAACCTGTGGGTCACGACCAGGGTGGTGGGGGGTTGAATGACCCTTTCACAGGGGTCACACCAGATATCCTGCATGTCGAATGTTTACAGTTTATAACAGCAAAATTACAGCTATGAAGTAGCAACAAAAGTAATCTTATGGTTGGGGGTCACCACAATATGAGCAACTGTATTAAAGAGTCATAGCATTAGGAAGGTTGAAAACCACTGAGCAAGAGGCCCAGACATAACTGACCATGAAAAAGGCTAGTGGGCAGGTAGGGCGAAATATGGCACAGGCTTTTCTTTCCGTGTTTCTTGGCGCTGTGACCTAAGACCGGCTGGGCAACAGTGTGCCCAGCTAGTTGCCAGCTCTGTTCACAAGTTACTGAGGCAACATGAGCAGCGCCCGGCACGACCTGCCCCACGATCCCTCTTGTCTGGCTTGCTAAAGGTGTCACTGCAATTTCCTGGCAAGACCCTCGGAGGGCCTTGGGTTTCTGAACACATGTTTTAAGCTAATTCACCTCACTTCCGGGGTGAGCTAGAGTCCTCCCTTGGGGCCCAGTCCAGGCATTAGGCCTGGTGTCTAGGGGAGTCAAAAACTTGGTGTGTGCTGGCTGTGGAAGCTGTCCCTCTCTGGGGTGTGAGTTGACAGAGTGCCTGCATAGCATGCAGGAAGCTTTGATCTCTAGTATTGTATAAACCAGGCATGGTAGTACATGGTGCAATGTCAGCACTCAGGAGGTGAAAACAAGGGGATCAGGCCATCCCGCTCATCAGTTACATAGCAATACCTGAGACTCTCAAAAGCAAAACCCTACCCCTCTGGAGTCTAGGATCAGTCTTGTTTCTTAATACAGTATAGTAAAGTTAACCCCTTTTGAACACTTAGGAGTTATACTTAATGAGTGATGCACACCATCTCCCTCTAATCCTAAGGAGAGCCCTGTGAAAGAATCCTTATTGCAGAGGTGGGGAAATTGAGGCTTGGAAAGGCAAAGCAACCTGCCAGGGTCACAGTCTGTGCAGTGTCATCAATGTGAACTTCAAATCCTGGTGCTGCATCTGTTGGCTGTGTGGCTTTAGGCCAGGGCTGCCCAAGTCTTAGTTTCCTCACCACCAAGTAAAGGTAGTCACACCCCCCCACACACACACATACACATCTTTCAGGCTGAAGCAGGCTTTATGAGGTCTAGGGCTCTTGGTGCGGTGAGCCAAGTACCTGTGTACATGGTACGTAGTAGGTGCTTTTAGTCAATGCTGGCTGAGTCACTGGTGCTTCTGTCACCGTGGAAGGAAGTATAAGCAGTGACTCTGGGTGGCTTCTCTGGGGATAACATCTTACCTCCACCTTTCAAATAAGCCCTTTGATCTTCAGTGAAGTCGGCCACTCAGAGGTGACAGCACCCTGGCATCATTGTCTTCTAACTTAGTTTCTCTGTTGTCTGCCATTGTGCTGGGATCTGACCCAAGGCGGTTGGTGGCTTGCAGCCTCAGGACCCCCAGGCCTATAGTTTTCTAGCATCATGCAAGCTGAAAGACACACAGAGATGTCAATCATCCATCCGCTTTGGGTGTGCCCCGGAGTGGCTGGACCAGGTCTCCTGTGAAGTGAGTGTGGCAGTTGACTGGCCTGGGTGATGAATGGTGGGAGGATCAGTGACTCGGTGTCCCTTCAGTGTCTCCCCTGGACAATGCCCAATAAGTACATTAGTTACCATTCTCATGACCAAAAAAAAATGACAAAAGCCATTTAGGGAAGGAAGGTTCCATTTTGGATCATGGTTTAAGAAGGGACCATGATGGGGAAGGCGTGGCAGAGCCTGAGGTGCCGGTCACACCGCATCCTTGGTCAGGAAGCAGGGACAGGTAAGAGGAGCAGGACTGTAACATGTGGTCCCAGCTCCCCATGCCCTCTAGTGAGGTTGCCACCTCCTGCAGTTTCTATAGCCTTGCATAGCAGCACCACTAGCTGGGGACCAAGACATTTCCCCTTCAGCCTGCAGCGGTGGGCATCCTACACCGCTGGGGTCCTTCTGGTTTCAGTGCATGGATATGGCAGCTCTGAGTCAACCTTCTTTCTAGGTCCTTCCTTGTTCTCCATCTGGTCTCAGAACTGGACCCTCGGCCTCTGACCTCCTAGAGGGCCACTGGGACCACAGGCCTGGCAGGTGACTCCTCTGGAGCTGGGGAGTACTGCAGGCTGTGTCTAACCCAGAAGCCTTGTCTCTGGTTTCCACAGATTCAAAGGAAGAGGATTCAGATTTATGTTTCAACTGGGAGCTCTGGAACAAAGAACCAACTGAGTCTGGCTGTGAGGGGTCGTTCCGTGGCCAGGAGGACAGGTCCCACTAGTGAGCCTGCTCTAGGTAAGGCCTTTGTAGGGGATAGGAGAGTACAAGAAGACCCTGGGCCTGCCCACAAACCTCTGCAGCTGACTCAGTGGAACAGACTGCCTTGCTGTGTGGACACCCTGTGCCCTGCCATGCTCTGGGTGATCTGGGCTCTTGAATGGAGCATGTTTATTATATACATTTTAATAGGGAGGCAGGGTCAATGTATAAACCTGCATGATGAGGCAGGGTCTATGGTATACAGCTGGATGAGAAATGTCTTAGGGTTTTATTGCTGTGAAGAGACACCATGACCATGGCAACTCTTAAAAGAAAATATTTAATTGGGGCTGGCTTACAGTTCAGAGGGTTAGTCCATTATCGTCATGGTGTGACATGGTAACATGCAGTCAGACATGGTGCTGGAGAAGGAGCTGAGAGTTCTCACATCTGGATCCACAGACAGCAGAGAGAGACTGAGAATACTAGACCTGGCTTGAGCTTCTGAGACCTCAAAGCCCACCCCCAGCAACACACTTCTTCCAACAAGGCCACACCGCCCAATAGTGCCAGTTCCTGTAAGCTTATGGGGCCATTTTCACTCAAACCACAAGAAGTCAGGGTCTAAGGTGTACAGATGAACCAGCAGGCAGGTTTAGCTAAACTTGTAGGTGCGGTTTCAGTAAGGGAGTAGTCTTCAGCCATACACATCTGGGGAAGAAAACTATGATTGACAACTCCTGCACGCTGTGAACATTTGTACTCAGACCAGAGGAAGACTTTGCCGTCCCTCTGAGCCTCACCCCACTGGGAGTGGGAACACACCCGTGAGTCTGTGGCGTTGGAGTCCTCTCCATGGCTGTGCTCATGTCTCCACATTCACTTACGATTTCACTTGCTCCTACTCTGTGTGTGGAGGACCCTGCTGTGAGTTTCCTTACAAAGCCCCACCCCCTTCCTCTCTGCCCTCACCTCAGAGGTTTCCGCTGGTTCTTCTCTCCGCCTGGAAGCTTCCTACCTCACACAGTTACTGGATAGTCCTTCTTACTCCTACATCTTGCTCAAATGTCGCTGTCAGGGGGTTCCCCCAATATTTGAAATTACAGTGCCCCCTGTAATTACAGGCTAAGACTCCCTGGCCCTGTACTGCTGCAGTGCTTACCGTCTTCCAGAAACATAGATAGTGGGGGCATCCAAACACCCAAAGCCCCTTCCTGACACACAGTGGGGAAGTCCGCATACACTGCCAGAAGTCCAGGATGCCACTCTTCCTCTTGGCTGGATGGTCTGGAGTGTTCCCAGTGTGCCCCTTCTTCACTCAGTGTGAGAGCTGTGGCAAGGATATTCTCACCTCCACATGCACTTGGGAACTTGGAGTACCTGGGTGATTGAAGAATTTACCCAGAATGCCAGGCAGTGGTGGCGCACGCCTTTAATCCCTGCACTTGGGAGGCAGAGGCAGAGGCAGGTGGATCTCTGTGAGTTTGAGGCCAACCTGGTCTACAGAGTGAGTCCCAGGACAGCCAGAGCTACATAGAAAAACTCTGTCTCAAAAATAAAAAGAATTACCCAGAGGAACAGAGTGTTGGCATCCATTCCCACAGGGCTAATGCCATTTCCAGCCGGTGATTCCAGCCCAGTGACATGCTGTCACTCTGATCTTTCTCTGAGCTCTGTCACCTGCCCATTTGAGCTCTCCATGTCTGGCGTGGGATTCTCCACTCACACTGCCACCCATAACCCAATGGCCGTGTCCCCTTCTCTTTCCTCCCTCACTTCAACAGCGGAGCAGCTGGCTCAGCCTCAGGCTCCTCCACCCCGTCATGGCAGCAGGTCCTGGCGCCTCCGTCTCCGCCTCCGCTGTACCCACATCTATTTCTCTCTGTCCTCACGGCTGCCTGACCGTGAAGCATGGCCAAGAACCATGTTCTACAGTCTACATGGCGGGAGGAGGTGGGACTGTGAACCAGGGCGCCTCACAGAACCCTCTCCATGTCTTAGAGACCTTGCCTATTCTTTCTGAGTCACAGCCTCACCAAGCAAGGCCCTTTCCCCCAGAAAAGAAAAACAAAAACAAAAACCAACTCACACATAAGCTTGTGATCTGGGCACAGCCTTGCCAAGTGAGGCCCTTTCCCCCAGGGGGAAAAAAAACAAAAAACTCACACATAAGCTTGTGATCTGGTTGGCGCTCAGGATGAGCTTCATGACTGTTGAAATTACACAAGGCCCCAGGGTCAGAAGCCTCTGTTTGATTTCACTCCCTGCTATAGCTATCTTTAATTTTTTTGGTGTCTTAGCAGTGCTAGGCATTAAACCCAGAGGCTCAAGCATACTACTAGGCAAGCATTGTACCACCGAGTCACATATATCCCAATCCAAAATTCTGAGTTTGGGAGCAAGAGACCACCCATGTCCATTGTTAATGGGCCCTATAGTCAATGGACGGGCCAAGGAAACAATGTTCAGACTCTGTGAAAGGACCCTGTCCATCTACAGATGGCCTCCGCCTACCCACTATCGCTCTGCTCTTTTATCCTTCTCTCTGACTTCATTCCTAGCCCAAGTACCACTACTTTCCCGCATGTTTGTCTAGGTGTCATCTGGACCTGAGCGGATGGAGGGAAGAAAACGCTGGTGACCAAAGGGCCTTCCTGGGACCTCCAGTAGTCGGACCCGACAGGCCTCTTGCCGAACCAGCCATTCTCCATCAACACAGATGGCCTGGAGCCCTTCAGGGGAGAGTCAGGTCCAAGAAGTTTATAGGGGACAGCTCTCAACCCACAAAAGGTGCTGGGGCACCTATTAAAGAAATGGGGTTCTGCTGTGCCCTGACAAAGCTTCTGATGTTCATTCATTCACCCCGATTCCCTCTGGACTGTCCCACCCTCACGTCTGCTCAGAGTACTCTGAGCTTTCAGTGTTACACAGCAAGCTCGATCCTCCCTTAGACTGCAGTATGAAGGTCTACAGCCTCTGCTGTGGTCTCCTTACAGCAGGAGTATTTAACAGTAGTCACATTGGGTGGTGGTGGCGCACACCTTTAACCCCAGCACTTGGGAGACAGAGGCAGGTGGATTTCTGTGAGTTGGAGGCCAACCTGGTATACAGAGTAAGTGTCAGGAGAGGCTCCAAAGCTACACAGAGAAACTTCGTCTTGGAAAAAAAAAAAGCAGTCACTATATGAACCACACCCTCCTAAGGCTTCATGTGGGACTGTTACTAAAAGAATTCTGTGAGGTAAGATCTTGGTTATCTCTCTGTTACAGAGAGGGAAACTGAGGCACAGCAGTTGAGTCACTTTGCTAAGGCATGTTGGAGGAACACAGCCCAGCGACTGCTGAGCCAGGTGCTGACCCAGTGTCCATCCTCTCCAGGTGGGGAACTGGGCACAGGTGGTGGGAGGTTTTTTATTTTTTTTCTAAGACAGGGCATTTCCATGTAGTTCTGGCCTGGAACTTGATATGTAGACGACCAGATTGGCCTCAAACTCACAGAGACTGGACTACCTCTGCCTCCTGAGTGCTGGGATTAAAGGAATGTGCTACTGTGCCTGGAGAATCCCCAAAGTTGTCTGCAGCCCTTCTGGTTACCCAAGGCAACAGGAAAGATGGACACAGGCCTCCCAGGGACCATCTGATATCACTTTGCCCCTCCCCAGCATCCCACTGAACACCACAAAATTGAAGATGCCCCGAGGAGAAAACAGATCCTGGCTTGCTAATCTGGCCATTCACTGCTGTTCCTTCTGTCCCATCAGAATGGTCTACCCACAGCACCTGTCAGAACAGCCCCATCTCCCTAAAACAGTCTGTGGCTCTCTGGGGTCCTGCCTGGAATCTCAGCTCTTCATCCAGAGGAGCACTGCCCTTTGGGATCTAAGCCCAGCTGATGTTGCTGGATGGGGCTTCTCTCCCACCCGTGGGATGCAATGACCACGCCTCCACTTCATCCCCGAGCCTGCCCCTGTGTGGAGATGTTCCAGAAGGTGCAGGGCAGGCTGTAGTGTGTATGATGTGGCCACACAGTGCAGCTTGCACAAGTTTCCAAGTCTCCCCATAAATGGTGACACCAAGGGTCCCGGAGAAGGCCGTGTTTCTCTAGGCCTCTCCACATCCCCCAACACACAGACACATATACAGACTCACAAACACACATCATGTTCTCATATGTGTATACACCCAACAAGTACACACATAAAGCCCCACTTGGGCTTTAATCTGTCCAGTGGGGCTGGGCTTCTTGGTGGCATGTGAACAAATACTTGGGTAATAGCCCCCACTCAGCATGGCTGGAGCTGCCTCCTGGCTTTGCCTGGGGTCTTCTACACAAACCCTGATACAAGAACCCCAGCAGCTGCTCAAAGATCAGAAGTCCACTGTAGCTGGGCATGCTGGGTGCTGTTGGGCTTCCCTGTAGTCCTGGCCATGCAGTTCAGGCCCCAGATCACTGCCCCAACCTGTCTGGAAGTACGTGGAATGGACCCCGAGGGGAAGCGGGAGCAGCCAGGCCCTTCTGCACCTGTAAAGGAAGATGAAAACTCCTTGGGCTGGTGGGAGAAGATCTGACTGTCGGGATCTCTGATGCAGCCCATGTCCCTGGTCACACCTCCAGTCAGATGCCAAGAATGGCCTCCAGCGTAATGTGGGTGCTTGCCGGGCCCTTCCCCAGCCTCTAGGTGTCTCACATGCTCCTTTTCACACCTGCAGTCTTGTCCTCATTTCCAACTCTGAACTCTGTGTAACAGGCCAGGACTCCCACCCCTCAGTGTTCCCCTCCCCCAGTCTTCCCCCGCCATTGTTTGGAGCCTTATGTCCTCATCTGTAGAGCCTGTCCCCTCTAGGGAGCCACAGCACAGGCTTAGAGCCTTGAGCATCAGCAGGTAGTATCTTAGAGTGTCAGAAAGCCAGTGTGAGGGGAGGCACACCAGACTGAACCCACTGCAGGCTGTAAGGCAGGATCCCTCCTGGGCCTCCCCAACATCTGATGGCTGCAACTTGGTTCCTTGTCTTGAGGCAATGCCATCAAGTCTGTCTTCACACAGTCTCCCCGATTTCTGCTGCATGCTGTCATCCCCACGTTTAACCTCCTTGCAAGGACCTCCGCTTAGGTTGAACTGTCCTAACGACTCACTTTTTGTTTGATTTCCTGTCAACATCCTGTATCTATATAAGGTCACAGTCTGAGATCCTGGGAATTAGGACTTTAATATCTGCATGGAGGGACACCCATGCAAGGCTCTGAGTTCACTTGGCAAATGGCCTACAAACTTCCATTACAAACAGGCTCCTCAAAACAAGCGGCTCCAGGCCTCATGTGCCAGGGCAGCTGAGGTGCTTGCCTGTCTTTGGTTTCTCGGAGTCCTTACACCAACTCTCAGGACATGTGATATTTTAATTTAAGTGAGGAAGCTGTGACCCAGCGAGGTTAAGGCATTTGCCAGAAGTCACACAGCCTAGTGGCAAAGCTGGAGGTCTCCCCTAGGATGAGGCAGCACTATACTGGGTAGAATAGTGCTGTCCTGGGGTAATGTGCTATGCTGGGGACACAGAGCTATGGAGCAGATTCTGAGCCCAGAATGTGGCCTGGGGTGGCCATCTGGTGTGAGGGACACAGGAGTCCATGGTAGGAAGAGGGTTGTCCAGCTCTCAGGCTGCCTAGGGAGGTGCTGGCAGGCGGCCAGGTGCAGGGGCCCACAGGTCTGAGTCACCACTGTGACCCAGCCAGCCTGGCCGATACTCCAGTGACAGGGCCATGGGGCTGAGGAATGTTGCAGGGCTGCGGAGGTGGGTCACACTCCTGCCTCCAGGCTCTGCTCTAAGAGACACAACTCTCCAGGAAGCTGGGAGGCGGCACTTCCTGCCAGAGGCTCAAGGCTCATTGTGCAGGATCCAGGTCGATGGCTCACCCTTCTTGCTTTCACCGGGCAGCTGGTTTGTAGTTCTAGGTTAGTCATTTACTCAGGCCCTAGCTTACTCACTCGGCATTCATTCCTGCATCCATTCACCATTCCCAGTGGCTCCATGACTTACCACTTCACTCAGCCCTGCCGGCGCCCATCCCCCACACAGTCTCTCTTCCCCTCACCCACACACCTGTTTGCCCAGCAACCATCTAGCCTCTCACTTAAAGGTCCCAACTATTCCCTCACTCAGTCACTTTCTTTTTTAAGTGTGTGTGTGTGTGTACATACACCGTGCATGTGCAGGTGCCCAAGGAGGCCAGAAGTCATCATTGGATTCCCTGGAACTGGAATTCCAGGTGGTTGTGAGCCACCCAGTGTGGATGTTGGGAACTGAACTCCTGCCCACTGCAAGAGCAGAAGTTCTCTTAACCAGTATGCCACCTCTCCAGCCATTCAGCCATTTTTTCATACTACCCCTTACCTTATTATTCCACCATCCATCCATGCATCCATGCATCCATGCATCCATTCATTCGTCTGTCCGTCCATCCATCCACATGTCTATCCATCCACCCACTCCCTGCCCACCCACTTATGCTCCCATCCTTTATTAAGCACCTGCTGTGTTCTGCACACACAGCTCCATGAACCCTCATCATGAACCAGCTTCATACCTGTCCTCCATGCTGATTCACTTTACACACTGGGAGGAGCCTGGGCAGCAGCTGGACCCCAGCTCTTCTCCCTTCCTGTGACATGCTTCTTTTTGTCCCCTCCTGAGGAAGGGGTGCTGCGGAAATGGACAGTTGCTCTCCTGCATGGTCTGTCTGAGACAGTGATGACTTCCTGCAAATTAGGATTTCTGTGATCCTTGTTCCTGTGAGGCCTTCCATCTTACAGGACCACACGTAGTTCTAGGATTGGGGCTCCTACGGAACCATATTTCGAGTTTCTTCGACTCCATTTCTTGATTCCCATGTACTTGGTTCCCTGACTACAGAGTACCTGGGACCTCTCTTCTTGAAGGTTAATATGATTCAAGGTCACTGGAACTCAGCTTTCCTAGAAGGGCAGAGAGAACCAGGACTCCGTGTAATGGGGCCATGGCATTCTGGTGAGTGAGCAGGGGGCAGGGACTCGTGAGCCACAGCAGATGCATGGTTCAAACCACAGGTTACACATCTGCATCCCCTGCAGGAATTCCTTCCCACCCCTGCCCGCAGGCCCCTTAGCCTTCCATCTCACAGTGGTTAAAAAACTGCCTCTCCCAGGAAGCCTTCCTGCAGCTGTTCCCAGGCTGGCAGGCAGGGAGTTAAGTCCTCAGCCCCTCCTCCTCAGCCGGTCCCATCCAGTCTCAGCTGTTTCACCTTTCAGCCCAAATGCCAATTCCCAGGAGGCCTCTGACCTCTGACACCTCCCCCCCCCACTAATCCACAGTGCTGCTTTCTTCACTGGCTTTATTTATTCCTTTTGGTTTTACCTTGATAGGGATGGCTGTGGGGGATGAGAGTGACCACATCAATAGCAGGTTTCATGTCTGGTGCATGTGTATTTGGCTGCTTACTTTTAAAAAACGTCTATAGATATTTTGCCTGCATCTATGCCTGAATCTATGCCTGCATGTATGCGTGTAAAGCCCACACAGGTCAGAAAAGGGCTTTGATCCTCCTGGAACTGGAGTTACAGATGATTGTGAGCTGCCATGCAAATGCTGGGAATCAAACCTGTGTCCTCTGGAAGAATAGCCAGTGCTCTTAGCTGCTGAGCCATTTCGCCAGCCCTGGGGTTTATTGCTTCTTGAAGCAGAGTCTCACTCTATAGCCGAGGCTGGCCTTGAACTCATAATCTTTCTCTACCTTTTAACTTCCGGGCAGATGTAACATGCTTAATTTGTGTCTGCTTCTTTTTGTGTCATTTCTGGTTTGGCAGAGGGCCAAGTGTGTGCTCACACATACCTGCCTGTAGGCGGTCCTGACTAAGTCAGCCCCACCTCAATGTGGGGGTGTCTTGGAAGGGTGTGTCACCTTCCTCCAACTCTCACCGTGAGTCATTCAGTCCCGGAGGCAGCATTGGTAGTCTTGTGTGCCTGTCCATGACAGAGCCTTCCCTTCTCCCTGCTGCCCAGATGGAAGGGCTGGCCCTGCTGCCCCTGGCCTCACCCTGCCCCCGGATCCCACGAGCCCGCATCGCCAGGACTCCAGGGCGATGGGCCCACCTGGGCTGCAGGTACTGGCATCAAGGGTGGCGGAGGGAGGCTGTGTGCCAGGGACAGGTGCCACCACAGTCTTCACAATAGTACCATGGGGCAAGACTACTTTTAGATTGGTCCAAATTTTTAACAATTCTAAGTGATACTGGGGACTAGCTTAGGCAAATCCATTCCTAGATGGATAATTGCAGGCGAGAGAGCAGCCTTGGGCGGCTGACAGCTGCTGCCAAACTCCTGGAGACTGCCCGTGGTCCTTCCCCAGACAGTGATTCAGGAATTGGGCTAGGTACACTCAGATGGGGCTAACCTGGGCTCTGGCAGGGAGTAGTATTCAAAGACCTTTGTGCCACATAGCACATTCCCTGAGCGCCTGTGGGGGATGTGTGGAGATTCTGACCATCAGGAGGAAGTGGGCTCAACAGGGGAAACTTGTTTATCTATGCACTTAGCCCCTTGCTGGGGCTGTTGGGACATGTGACACATCTTTGAGTTCTGCATGTAGGTGTCCCCAAGCCAAGGACTCTTTCTCTACCATCAGGCTCTCAGGGGAACTGGCTTCCTTTCCCAGATGCCAAGGGCCCACACATTGCTCGGCTTGTAGCCCTCCCCCATCTGCCATGCCAGCATTCAGCACCTTCAACTCTCTGGCTGTCATCTTTCCTTCTAACACCTCTGCCTCTCCTGCCTGCCTGTCACTAATAAAGTGACACCAGTGACACCTTGGGTCCACTCATGTTTCCAGGCTCTCCCTCATCTCAAGGACCTGAACAATCACAATCATATCTGTAAAGTTCTTTTTTTCCCTCCTGAGAACATGGTCACAAATTCTGGGGATTAAGATGCAAATATCTTTGAGGGAGTATCATTTGTCTATGAATCTATACATCCATCCCATCCCCTATACTCTTATTGTCACCCACCCACCCATTATTTATCACCCCATCTACCTATCCAAGAACCTACCTAACAACCTGTTTACTAAAGCATCTCTTCCTACCCCCTTAATCTCCTGTTATTAATACTGGGTCCAACTGTGAGAAACTCTAGTCTTTGAATGTGCTCAGTGATTACGGTTGAATGAACCATATGATACTTGTAAGAGAGTGAAATTTCATAGCGTCCCCTTTATTTACTTACAGCAACACAAAAGGAACAAAAGTGACATGCTTGCCGCCCCAATAGTGGCTTTCCAAACTGCAGGGTTATGTGAGCATTGCTTTAAGCTTTACTTGTATTGTTTATTTTGGAGACAGTCTTACTATGTCACCAAGCTTGCTTCTAATTATCAGTCTTTCTGCCTCAGCCTTCCCTATGATGATGTCACCTTGCTCAGCATTATTAATTTTTAAGTGTTTAAGAAACACTAGTTAAGGGGATGGGGAGATGGCTTAGGGGGTAAAGTACTTTCTGTGCAAACATGAGAACCTGAGTTTGGATCCCAAACTTGAAAGTAAAAGCCAAGTATAGTGTTGTGTACCTGTAATCCCAGAGCAGGGTGGGGGCTGTGTGAAGCCAGGCGGATCTCCAGAGCTATCAGCCAGTCCGACGGTCTGTCCAAAGCGGGAGCAGCAGATCCAGTGAGAAGCCCTGTCTCAAGACAGGAAGGTGGGTGCTCGCTTCAGCAGCACATATGCTAGAATAGAACGATACAGAGAAGATTAGCATAGCCCCTGTGCAAGCATGACACACAAATATGTGAAGTGTTCCATATTTTAAAAAAAGAATATAAGGTGGAAGACAGCAGAGGTAGATACCTTTGGCCTGCACAGACAAACATACCTATGCATACCTATGTACATATACCACACACACGCACATACACGAAATAAAATGACTACTGAAAACATGTCCTCAAACGTGCTATTTAGTGAATATTTTTGTCTGTCAAAATGATGCTAGAGATCAATAGGTGCCTTACAGTGAACTCTTACTGTGAGCTTTGAACAGGGCATCCTCTCTCTCTCTCTGTTGAGAATGGCATCCACTGTCCCCAACGGAAAACCACTTCCCTGGGACGGCATGGCTGTGTCCCCTCCAGGCTAGGCTTTATGTGCCATCTACCAAGTCGTATGTCAAGTTTCCCATCACTGAGCCTATTCCTCCCAGCAGTCATTCACCGAGTCATCTATTTATCAGGCAGGTTCCAGTGAAGCCATAACCTTCAGGTGCCATTCTCCATTTGACGTGGCTCTAGTCACCTGTGTCTGCTGTGGGCATCCAGGGCTGGTCCCTCAGAACTGTTGGGAAAGATATTCATTCAATGAATGAAATGCTCGTTGCTTGTCTGTGAAGTCCCAAGTGTCCAGGGAGGTGGAAGGCCAAATAGGCTAGTCTGGGAGGAAGACACAGAAGGTCGGAGGTTCATCTAGTAGGACTTCCTATAAAGTGAATGGAGACAAAGCACAGAATCTTAAAAACTGCAACCTCACAGTGTTGACCATGGGAAGAAACTTAAAGTACCTTCTGAGCAATGTGACCTTGGCAGGGTCCCTTTCTCACTCCCTGGTAGAAATATATTTTTGTTTTCTACTCAAATTGCAAGTTCCGTTTCCCATTAGCAAATATTTATATTAAAATGATTTATTTGTGTGTGTGTGTGTGTGTGTGTGTGCATGCATGTATGCCATAGCAGAGGACAATTTGCATGAGTTGTTTTTCATCTCCCACCGGGTGAGACCTAGAGGTGGAACCCAGGCTGTCAGGTTTGGTTAGTGGCTGAGCCATCTTACTGGCCACAGCCATGTGGCAACTTAGTTCCTGGCAATGACATTCACTCATGGTTGTTAGTGAGCAGTAACTGAGATAATGTGCTGTAGCATCTGCTAACTCTTGGTTAAATTTTATGAGAGGACCATCAGCACTTTGAAGCCAGGGAAACACAAGCTGTTTCTGGAGGAAAGTGTGAGCCAGTGCATCTGAAGGACAGTGCGATCCAGTGTGTCTGGAGGACAGTGCGATCCAGTGTGTCTGGAGGACAGCGTGATCCAGTGTGTCTGGAGGACAGTGTGTCTGGAGGACAGTGTGTCTGGAGGACAGTGCGATCCAGTGTGTCTGGAGGACAGTGTGATCCAGTGTGTCTGGAGGACAACCAGCCAGTGCTCTCTAGTAAAGAGCATCTGTAGTTTCAGAGTGGGGCATGACATATGCTGTTGACTGTGGCATGGTTTCCCCAAAAGCAGGATGGATTCAGCCATCCTAGCCCTTACTTCATCAGATCATTCAGCTCTCTGTGGACCAGTGACCTCTTTGAAGATTAGTATTGACTCCTACTGACTGCCATCAAGAAAGCAGTGTTTACTGTGGAAAAATATTACAAGCAAAATTCACCTGCTCCTTCCACCTGAAACCCACAAGGGCAGTCACCAAGAGCGGTTTCGTGCATATCCTGAAGGATACTATTGTTTGTGAATACACACCAACATACATACATACATACATACATACATACATACATATATACATATTGTGAAGACTTGTTTATATTACATTCTTCTGAGTATGCCTGTGGGCTTGATTAGGGCTGAAGACCTACCATAAAGGAGGGAGCACTATTCCCTGGACAACATCTAAAAGAGGAAGCTGTCTTGGGTACACACCTTTAATCCCAACACTCAGGAGGCAGAGGCAGGCAGAGCTCTATAAATTCAAGGCCAGCCTGGTCTTGGCCTCCTGAGACAATTCCAGGTCAGTCAGTGTTACATGATTCCCCATTTCAACAATAACAAACAAACAAATAACTAAATAGGAGAGGGATCTAGCTGAGTGCAGTTATCCCTCATTCTGGCTTCCTGACTGCGGGTACAGTGAGCCCAAGCTCCCTGCCATGATGAGCTATGATTGCCAACTTCATACCAAAGTAATACCTCCATCCTTAAGTTGCCTTTGTCAGAGGCCTTATCACGGGTCTTATCTTAGCAGGAAGAATAACTAAGACAGTATACATGACCCTTTCATGTTCTAACTGCATGTGCACACACCTGCATTATTCACTGGCGTATGGTACAGACTGTCAGTGAATGACCTTTCCCACTTTATGACAGATGCTGGAGACAGGCCGATGTTGCCTCTCCTGACATTTCCTTTTGTTCCTTGTTAGGTAGCCTCCCCTGGGTGGAATGTGGGGTCTTTCCCTGGCTCTTGCTTTGCAGGGAACTGTGGTAGAGTGTACTGCCGTGTTCTCAGACATGGATCTCTGGAGATTTATCCGAATGACAAACTTGTAGAACAGGAGGCACCAAGCCTAAGGTGTAGACTCTGAGAACATTGAAATCTGTCCTCAGGGGTTTCCAGGGAAGCTGTGCCCCTTACAGTCTCAGGAAGGACCTTATGTTCTTATTTTTAACTTTTATTTCATTGTCAGGGGTTTGTGCCCTGCCGTGTGCCGCAGCACACACGTGGGGTAGAGAACTTGTGTCCTTGTGTTTAATTTTTATCTTATTATCAGGTGTGTGCACGTGATGCGCCGCAGCGCACACGTGGGTCGGGAGGACTGTGTGGTGGAGCTGGCTCTGGCTTTCCACTTTTATGTGGGTCCTGGGAACCAAACTCAAGCCCCCAGGCCTGCGCAGCAAGCTCCTCTTCCCTCTGTGCCATCGCACTGGTCCCGTTTCTTCTCTTTCTTCAAAAAGAGTGTGTCTTGAGCCAGGCGTGGTGGTACACTTCTTTAATCCCGGCACTCAGGAGGCAGAGGCACAGCACTCTGGGAGTTCCAGGCCAGCCAGGGCTATACAGAGAAACCCCGTCTTGCAAAACCAAAAAACAACAAAATAAACAAACAAACAACAGCACACACAAAAAAACCAGGGTCTCACTATGAGGTTATGCCTATCCTGGAACTCCCTATGTAGACCAGGTTAGCCTTGAACTCATAGAGATTTATCTGCCTGCCTCTACCTCTACAATGTTGGGATTAAAGGCGTGTGCCACCACTCCTGGCTTGTTGTCGTAAATTCATTATTATTTAGTAGGGTTTTTTTGTTTATTGATCCAAATAAATGTCTTGTAATGAGTGTGTGTGTGTGTGTGTGTGTGTGTGTGTGTGTGTGTGTGTGTGTACTAAAACTCATAATGTAGGTGAGGACAGCCTTGAACTCTGATCTTCCCGCCTCAGAGTGCTGGGATTACCGGTGTGCTCACCACTGTTTACATTGGGATCTGACAGAGCTCTCTAGGCAGGGCCTTCCACCCACTGAGCTGCATCCCCAGCCCCACAATTCACCTTTTATAGATCACTGTGGACACTGCGGATAGGTTGAACAGCTTTTCCCACGATCGGTGTGGGGCAGGGTTTCCAAGCTGGAGCCGAGATGCAGGAAAACCCATTTTGATCCTAGATCAACTATCAGATTCCCTCCATCAATAATAGCTAGGAAACTTGACTGACGACACCTAAGTAGCTCATGAGCCAAATCACCCTTAACCTGCTCAACTCACACCTTTGTCACGTGTAGCTCTGCTCTCTGCCACTGAGGTCAGTGTCAACTTATCTCCACATATCAAGACCTGAATGAATCACCGGCATACTACTCCAATGACAAGGTCAACTCGAATCTCATAAGCCAGCTGTGGGCCTCTGAGGGACATTACTCAACCTCTCTGAGCCTAATTTTATTTGGGTCTAAATGGCTGTGGCCAGCAGTGCCTCCTGGGTTCATTGTGAGGATAAAATGGAGTCTATGCTTGGCACAGTGCCTGATATACAGGACATGAAGACGCACCTAAGCTATCAGTGGTCAGAGGGAACATGCTTGGAGGCTGTTCCCTTGGGAACGGCACATCCAGCCCCCACTGACATCCTGCAATGGTAGACAGTTTGACTTAGAGTTCTGAATCTACAGCCTCCTTGCAAAAGACCCCTCTTCTCCAGGCCTTTTTTTTTTTTTTTGGTACTCAACTTGGTGCCATTCTAAGAGGGGTTGTCATCCACATGAGTGTCCTTGGGGATCTCCACTGTGGCCCACAGAACTGGACAGAAGCACCGAGGCCATAGCCTGGTCCCTGGGTGCTGGTACGCTGTTGCTCACCACTGCTCTGGGATTTTCATCCTGCCTGCAGTGTGGACCCTGGTTACATCCTCCTCTGCCAGGCATCCCAAACTCTACCAATTCCTCAGCAGATGCTTATGGGGTATGAATGCCTTTGTCTTGACTCATACTCTGAGGGATCCCTTGGCTGGCTGTCATTCTGATGAGTGCAATATTTCACTGGCTTTAATTTGCATTTTCCTGATCATTGTGGGTTCTGTATCCCTTCATAGAGAGCACTGACACTTTTGTCTCCAAAGAGTAGAGTATGTCAGCTTTCCTAGCCTATTGGTATTTTATTATTGGTTTCTGGGAACTCTATACATAATTGGATAAAATGCTGCCATTTGTGTTTAATTGCATTTACTTATTTACTTTGTGTGTGTGTGTGTGTGTGTGTGTGTGTGAGAGAGAGAGAGAGAGAGAGAGAGAGAGAGGGAGGGAGGGAGGGAGGGAGGGAGAGAGAGAGACAGAGAGAGAGACAGAGAGAGAGACAGAGACAGAGAGAGAGAGAGAGAGAGGAGAGAGAGAGAGAGAGAGGGAGAGAGAGAGGGAGAGAGAGAGAGAGAGAGAGAGAGAGAGAGAGAGAGAGAGAGAGAGAGAGGGAGAGAGAGAGAGAGAGAGAGAGAGAGAGAGAGAGAGAGAGAGAGAGAGAGAGAGAGAGAGAGAGAGAGAGAGAGAGAGAGAGAGAG